AAGCAAAGAAAACAAAGACCGATGTGGATTCCTGTTGGCTGCTCCTTAATACCTACATCAAGCAGGCATGGATAATCATGTGTACCTTTTCGGCGTGGGTGTAACTTTTGGGACTGTGGTTTAACTTATAAACTCCTGAAGCTGTCAATATTAACTTTCCCTTTATTGAGAACTCACACAACTAACATAAACCTTCCTCGTTTTAAAAGCAGAAGCTGCTGATATATATTTCTAACCAATATTCTCTAGAAGTAGGAGTACTAATTGTGCTGCTGCCAAAATAGAACACTGTGCAGTACTTTAATCTTGCAAACTAAAAAACAACAACAAATAGGGTTGCAAATTCCTTTACCGTGTGAAATGCAATTGTTATAACTTCACAAGTAACAGTATGCTGCTGCTCACTCCTATTAATCACAGCACATACAGTTTTGACTGTGATTGGCATCTGAAAAAACAATGAGCAGGTATTACTTTTCACCTTGTGAGAAATGCTGTGTTTGCTTTCTGCTTCAATTAGGTTTGCTCCTGTGCCATTCCATAACAAAGGTGGTTACGGTGATAATTTCCCCCACTGGTTGCCCCACCTCTTCCTTTCATTTCTAGCCCTGCTTTCAGTGCTTACTACACCACTATCACATGCATCCATGCGATGATACCTTTCCAGGTATATAGCCTGCTTCTTTCCCCTCTGTTATTCTCTGTTAAATCTGTACAGCTGGAGAAGGAGGCACAGACTGAAGAAGGAGCCATTGTGGTACCCTACAAATTTTTGGACTGCAGCTCCCATCACCCTTGACTATTGACCATGCTGTCTGAGGCTGATGGGAGTTGTAGTCCACAAGAAATGGAGGCCGCCACAAGAGGACAAACTGTAAGTCCATGAAGCACAACCCACTTGCAAAAATTCAGTTCCATACACCCAATATGCAATAACACAAAGGACCAGAATTTTATAAGGATACTGAATTTGTAAAGCAATGGAGTGTGTTCATTAAAAAAAATATGTTATGACTGCATGGAGTTCTGTTTTTTAAAGAGTCTTCACACAATTCTAGGAAGTTTATCCATTTTTCAAACATAATGCAGTAGTTAGTAAAAAGCTGGCCAGGAGTTGGTGAAGAGCCTGCCAAGTTTTTAAAGAAAACTTTCAAATAATATCCTAGCTTATCAGCCCAGTTCTGTGTCTTGCATGGAATTCTACAATCCCCCATTGTTGAAGCAATAAACATCTACTTCTGAAAGCTACTGTGATACACACTTCTTTGACTTCTCAGACACACAGTTTCTAGCATGATAAATTAACTGTGAACGCACTTGAGAACCAGATCAGGTGGCTTGTGAAGGATTTGAGAATCTGATGTCCGCCTCTTTAAAAAGCTCTCCTTCTGGCCCAATGACTTCAAATCTCCAATACAGGGATGATGTCTTCTCACATCTCACAGACACAGAAACCTGGAAATCTACCCCCCTCCATTATCACTTTTTCATCTTCTTCCTTCCTGGGCTGAAAAGGTATTAATTACTTGTCTCCTTCTGTGTGTGTGCTTACACAACTGCTTACACAACAGGATACTTCCCTTGCCACGGCCACCATTTGGGACACAGACCAGCTCATCCTCCTCCCCGAGCTCGGCGGTGGCAGTGCTGGCTGGGGAAATAGGAATGTCCCTAGAGAATTGGGGCATTTGGAGGATATGCCATGCATTTCAGTTTCAAAGTTTCCTTTGTAGTCCTATGGTCATATGATTTTTGTTCTCTCTCTGAAGTCAAGCATGAAATTCTTCATTGGCTTCCTCCCTCTTTGTTGGACATATTACATGCATGTGTTTAACCAACACAAACACAGAAGCCAGATGGTTCAACTGAGTTCTTCTCAATGGAATTTTATTTCTTACATCAGAAAAACCACCTTAATTAATAAACAAAGCATGACTTTGGCCAGAAAATTGGTGATTTTAGGATCATACTGCTTGCTCCAAGCTAAATTCCGTCAGCAGCTGGGCAACTGTTTTGTCTTCGCCATAAGGCCTCAGTTGACCTTACCAGCTTTTTCAGGGCTCCTCCTGACCCTTACGTCTCTCTGATTTGTGCACAAGGATACTAAATGTTGTCACTCAGGGATCTGGGCATTGGTGCCAACACTACATTGATGACAACTCCTCATATGAAATGCAACCAGAACTGTCTGTTCTTGTACCACTATGCTGCACTTACATAATGTCAGAATCTGGCCTACGGACATAGGTGGCTTAGTGGTCTAAAACACTAAGCCTCTTGGGCTTGCCAATCAGAAGGTCGGTGGTTTGTATCCCCACAACAGAGTGAGCTCCTGTCACTCTGTCCCAGCTCCTGCCAACCTAGCAGTTTGAAAGCATACCAGTGCAAGTGTTCCGTTTAGTCATGCTGGCCAGATGACCCAGAAAGCTGTCTGTGGACAAAGGTCGGCTCCTTCAGCCTGAAAGCGAGATGAGCGCCACACCCCATAATCGCCTTTGACTGGACTTAACCGTCCAGGGGTCCTTTACCTTTTTACCTTAGAGTCTGGCCTTAATGGTCTTTTACTGCCACTCTTTTAAGATGATGCTTCAAAATGTGATAAGCCAATCCTGATGAGTCTGAGGGCTCTCCTGTTCATTCTGATGAGCAGGATTTAGATGTCTGCCCTCAAAGTCATCTCTTGATGGTACCATGTCTGACCATGGTCCACGTGTAGATTTCAAAAGTGCCTTTCTTAAGCACACACACACACAATGTAACCAGAGACCCAATATTTTGGAGGAAAAAAGCTACACATTCAGCTATGAAAAATAAACAAAAGTGCATCTATTTCCCTCCAAATGCTTGGATGTTTTGCACGATTTCCCTTTGCCTTGTATTTTGGCAGGGAAAACTGCACTCACCTACACAAGCAACAGCCCTAGTGATGTGATGAAGCTGTTGCTGGTCTTCTTACCATTTGAGATCTGAGGCAGAGGACTGATTATTCCCCACCCAATTCTCCCAAAAATGTCCCCCCCCCATGGAAGCTTCTCTATACATGCAAAACTACCATGAAGATTCTAGCATGACTTTCTGCTGCCAGTTTTGAAAGGTCAGGGATCTCTTCCTCCTTGGAACTGAGCGAGCTGAAAATCCAGTGCCAAATAAAGGTCACAAGATGTCACTTGCTGCCTTCTTCTCTACATTAATTTACAGGTTCAAAAATACAAAATCGAGAACATGTAGTGTTGGCTTTTGGAAAAAAACCACACAGTGATGAGTAACTTTTTGTGTTGAGATTTTATGGGTAGCTTCGGAAGTTTCTTCATGCAAGAAAAGCTTGTGACTAATATTTTTAAAATAAAAAGATTTTCATAATAACTAATAATAGTTTATAATAAATAAAAAATAAAGAAATAAAAACTCATGTCATGATGCCTAAAATCTGTGCTGTCCCTTTCTCAACAGACAAATCAATACTTTGCTAAAATTAGCAGTGCAAGAGCTGATGGCGGAAATGTTATGGCTATGATACATTATTTTTAATAGCCTCAAGAACTCTAACTGACCTTTTTATTTCAGCAGCCAGCCTATACCTTCTCATCTGAGAAACCAATGCTAAATTCACTAACTCCCCTCATTTCATTTGAACATTGGCATCACATGCGACAGACATCACAATTACATAATGTCTTATGTCTGCCAGAGCCATAAATTGAAACCATTGCCACAGTAACAAAAGAGCTGTTTTTTGAGTGGAGGGTTCAGACATGTATTTAGTACAAGTTGTGTTGTTCTTACTGATTTGCAGCAGCACATTATTACAAGTTGCCCTTTAATAAAGTTGGGACAGATATTAAATGGATTATGCAGATAATCTATCACGTTTGGCCAATATTCCTTTTTTAAGATACTTTTTTATTGAGTATATTTTTAATAATATACAAGAATAAAAGAAATATTTTAAAAATCTAATCTAAAAAGAAACAAGAGTGAAGAGAACAAAGAAGGAAAAAAGAAATGGAAGAAAGAAAAAGAAAAGAGAAAAAGAAAAAAGGGAAGAAAAAGACAAAAAGACTTCTGATTCTCTGTCTGCCAGCTAAATATAATAACTTGTTCAAAGTATTCACTCAGATTGACATCCAACTATTCTATTTTCTATAAACCACTATTTTTTCAATCTCCAAATCCAGATTTTACAAGTTCAGTTTCTTTATTACACAAAAAGTCCATAATAAGTTTCCAATCCTTAATTAATGTAAATAATGTTTTGGGGGGTTTTCTGATTGAACACATTTGGCCAATATTCCATACCTGTTCATTCCTTATCACCTTTGTTACTGGAAAGACTCAACACATGAAAGACTTTTGCTTGTCTGTCTAGCATTGCCTGTGCAGTCAATTGCTCCCTGTATTCCTTAAGGCGCCCTAACTCTGTTTAACTCTCACTTGACTGGTTATGACCTAACTGACTGCTGATTTGGGATGGACTGGGAAATGCATGTCTGAATCCACACCTTAGAGGGTTAACATCATAATATAGCAATCTTAGTTGACTGCTGGTTGTAAAAGGTAATTGCACTGAACAAAGGTAATAACTATATATTTCCCTGGACTAATTGGCTACCGCTGAACATGAACTTTGCTACAATTGTGCTTCAGGAAATAAAATTACTCCCAATTGGTTTATGGCAACATTTATGACCTGCCCTATTATTGTTGACATTTTCTGTTGTAGGAAGTATAAATCATGTGAAAAGGCTTAGCTTCATGCCTCCTGTCATGGACAAGAATCTCAGCTAGGCACACGGCACAACTGACTGTCCCAGACCTTTTGTGGGGAGTGTCACGCAGATTCATTTAAAAAGAACTACACCCCCAGTGACCTTCCTAATAGGTGGTTAACACAAGCTGCACACCTTGCATTAGAAAAATCTGTCCTTAGAGATCGTAGACAGAAGAAATGAATAACCAGAGGGAAAGGGACGGCATAGTCAATCCTTTCCAAATAGCAGATCTTCAAGATAGCTGAGTTAGTAGAGCTTGAGACTCTTAATCTCAGGATTGTGGGTTCGAGCCCCCCACTGGGTGAAAGATTCCTGCATTGCAGGGGTTTTGACTGGAATAGGTGACCCTCCTTGTCCCTTCCAGCTCTATGATTCTACAATTCTACTTTCATTTTACAGGTTACTGGAGGTCATTAGGAGACACATGCTTCCTCTGAAGCTTTTCACAATCTCCTCAGCAGAACCCAGGCCTTCCCATCACCCACCGCAACAGAAAAGAATACAAGAAAACTTTCTGCCAGGCGGAAGTTCACAAAGTGTTTGTGCCAGCGTTGTACAGTTTTATTTCCAGAACAATCTAATCAGGATTTATTTTGCTACACCTTTAGGAGGCACACCTGGATTTTCTGAAATGTCTATGTGCACGTGTCTGTGTATGTATGTATGTATGCATGTGTACACACACACTTTCCTAACACCAATGCATGCCAGCATCTTTTAAGGCATTCCAAGTGAAAAAAATCAGAAAAAAAGCAAATCTACTCAGCAAAGCTTAATAGTTTTGCTAAAAGGAATAATAAATGATATCTAAAAATTATTAGTTGATCACGGATCTAAGCCAAAGATTTTAAGGTTCTGTAATCTATGCAGAATATAGATTGGGAGCATTTTCCTATGCCTGCCTGCTCAGAAGTGAGTCATCTTGAATTCAAGGATTGCAGCCTTGCTTTCTTAACAAGCTGTGACCTCGATGAACAACAGACTCCTGCATTTCACTTCCAAATCAACCAGCCACAAAACTTAAAGACAGCTACTCTGTTGAAGTACCGTAAATGGCACTAAATCAGCTGAAGTCAAAGTGCTCCCATTTAAATGGATTTGTACATGCAGACCTCATCTCTCTAAAATGAGGTAACAGTAGTAAATTATATTGCCCCAGCTCCTCTTTCCAAGATCAAGTAGAAATGACATTGAATAGTCTGAACAAACTCAATTTTCTTCACAAAGAATGGAATAAATCAGAGAAAATGATCCACAGCAACTGTTCAGCTTAGGCAGAGCACTGCATGCTATATTCATGAACTAGCTCTCTATCCTTAGATGCTTCCCTGGTATGCTGCTGAGAAAGAGTGTCTGCTGTGGTTAAATAGCACATGTTCTCCCAAATGGGCTCTGGATTTATGGGAGGTCTCCAGCATCCCCAGCATCCTTTTGTGTGGTGTGGAGGAGGAGATATAAAATGGGAAGGTTCCAGCGTCTGATACAGTGCTGGATTTAAGTGGCGCTGTGGGTTAAACCACAGAGCCTAGGGCTTGCCGATCAGAAGGTTGGCGGTTCGAATCCCCGCAACAGGGTGAGCTCCTGTTGCTCAGTCCCTGCTCCTGCCAACCTAGCAGTTCGAAAGCACGTCTAAGTGCAAGTAGATAAATAGGTACCGCTCTGGTGGGAAGGTAAACGGCGTTTCCATGCGCTGCTCTGGTTTGCCAGAAGTGGCTTAGTCATGCTGGCCACATGACCCAGAAACTCTACGCTGGCTCCCGCGACCAATAAAGCGAGATGAGCGCCGCAACCCCAGAGTCAGCCACGACTGGACCTAATGGTCAGGGGTCCCTTTACCTTTAAACAAGCTATAGCTTAGGGTCCCACTCTCTTGGGGGCCCCAAAAAAGATTTAAAGGAAAAAAACCCTGGATGTACATTTCCAAAATATAAGATAAAAAACAAAATAAAACCTACATACAGCAACAGTGTTTGTGTGTTGTGTATGCTCCTATGATGTAAGTAATGGGCCCCGCCTGCTAGAATTCTCCCTAAAATATCACTATTAATATGCTTCTTCTTAATTGTATTTCAGTTCAACAATTACTTTGATAAAATACATATTTTGTTATGTGCAAATGGCTTTAGATACCTATTATGCCCATAAATTACCATGTGGCATATATTCAACACAAAAAACAGTGACAATTTGTTGCTGACAAAGGACAGCTGGACATATAAAGGGCCCCATTACCTTCAGTAGCTTAGGTCAAGCTAAAAGGACCCCTGACCATTAGGTCCAGTCGCGGACGACTCTGGGGTTGCGGTGCTCATCTCGCTTTATTGGCCGAGCCAGCGTACAGCTTCCGGGTCATGTGGCCAGCATGACTAAGCCGCTTCTGGCGAACCAGAGCAGCGCATGGAAACACCGTTTACCTTCCCGCCAGAGTGGTACCTGTTTATCTACTTGCACTTAGACGTGCTTTCGAACTGCTAGGTTGGCAGGAGCAGGGACTGAGCAACAGGAGCTCACCCTGTTGCGGGGATTTGAACCGCTGACCTTCTGATTGGCAAATCTTAGGCTCTGTGGTTTAACCCACAGTGTCACCCGCATCCCTTTCAGTAGCTTAGGGCTCATCAAACCTAAATCTGGTCCTGATCTGATGTATATGTGTAGGTACACTCATATCAAACATTATATCAAATGCATGGAGTGAACGCAAGCATGCACCCATTCCTCCATTGTACCAAACAGAGCACAGATTGCAAAAACCAGTCCTATGAGTGGTTACATAGTAAACTGAAACTGGTTTAACTCTCATAGCCAAATGATGTCATTGCTTCCTGACATTGTTACTTGTTACAGTGCTTTTACATCATTTTATTGTGTGTTGTTATTGTTTCCAGGGTGTCTGCATTGTTTTTAATAGCTTTGATGTTAGAACAACATTGTATTTACTTATTTATACCCTGCACGTCCTGTCCCTGAAGTGGAATCTAAGGCAACCTAAATTGTCAGTTGAAAGATCTAGCTATCTTTCCTTAAGGCAGCACTTCATTTTCATAACAGCTCACAATCATTTGCAGATGGGAAAGTGCTATTCAATTGCATGCAAAAATAAAATAAAAAATAAAATAGCATGAACACCTAAAGAAGGATCTTGCCCAGGTCTCTAATTCAGTACTTCTCAAAGTTGTTGCCCCGCCCCGCCCCCCCCCCCCCCGCCTCCCATGCAGATCATCTGAGAATTGCCAGGAGTCTCTGTGGACCACTAAACAAACTTTTTTGTTCTACAAATGAAAGCACATACCCTACAAAAGAAAGTTGTTTACATTTACAAGGAGATGTACACTCCTACATCTCTCCATAGCAATATGCAAGAGGATCACACCTAAGAACTTTTCAGAATTTGCACATTTTCAAACTTGGAGGCTAAACACTTGCTTGGAAAATAAGAGTAAAAGCTGGAGGAGCTGTCCAGGTGGCAGATGATATACAAAGCTACAATCTGCATATATACAGTGAATCCACAGGTACGTAAAATTAATACTGCCCTGTACATTGAAGTTGGCATCTCATTCCACCTCTGCTTAAAAACCTTCAACGAAGGAGAGTCCACCACCTTCTGAAGGAGTCTGTTTCACTACTGAACAGCTCTTACCATCAGAAAGTTCTCCTGAATCCTGGGTGGGACTGGATGAGGGTTATCTTTTTGGGAAACACACAAAACAAAGACTGGGAAGGCTGTCCCAAAGTAAACCACAATTCAAGCCAGCAGTTCCAGTAAGTAGAGTTTTGCATCCCGGCAACTTTAATTTTATGCCATTGCTATCACACTAATAAAACTGAATTTTAAGAGCCTCCTCATCTGGTATCAATTTAGTCTGGCAGGTAGTAACAAACTATCCATTAGTACATTTAGACTTGGCTGCTGCTACGTTGCATTTAGGAGTCTGTCATCGCCATTCCCCCTTGGATTGGGTTTTATTAATGTTGAAGTGAGAAAAAACACCATTCAGTCCAGCGTACAAGTCACCAAAACTGTGAAACAGTGGTCTCATCACCTCTCAAGGCCTCTGCAATACATCTGCACAATTAGCAAACATCTGCCATGCAGTGGAAAGAATGGGGGGGGCGGAATAGTGTGAAGAGCTGGCAGCAGTTAATGTAATAACAGACCCAAAGTATTCGTCACATCCTTAGTGACACTTTTGTCAGTGCCATGAGCATCCATGTGTGCGGCATTTTGAAACTGCAACATGCAGATGGAATGGGAAAATGAAGATCAAACGATCCCTGGGACACACAATACCTAGGTGAGATGGCTGTTGACAGCTTCCTAGGAGCTGACAGACTTGTTGAAATTTCCGTTTGGGGAAAGATGGAGCAGAATGGGACGAGTGGACATTTCCAGGTCTCTGGTGCCTGACTTTGGGCTGCCAATGGAATCTTGTCCAATCCTATCCATATCTACTCAGGAGTAAATCCCATTAAATTCAATGGGACTTAGTCTCAGCTCAATGTGTGTATAAGATTTCAGCCAGGTGGCACTCCAGCTATCATAAGTTTTGGATGACAACTCTCATTGTCCCAGACCATTGGCTGGGCTGGATGGAGCTGATGAAAGCTGCTATAGTCTCCTGCGTGTATTCCAGGAAAATATATTCCTGTTTATGCTTATAGATGGGGATGCTAGAAACATGACCCTTTACACATGCCATAGAAACAGCATCTGTGCGCGCTCTCTCTCTCTCTCTCTCTCACACACACACACACACATGCACTTTCTTTCTTTCCAGGAATTATTATACAATTTGCATTGCATCGATGTTGCATTGTTGGTGAGGTCATGAACAAAACAATGCTTAATGATTTTTATCTATCAGTTCTTTGACTTGCAGTAATATACAGTGAGGCACACCACTCTCTTAACTATACATAGTTTCCCCCTATCTCCATTAATTTTGTACCTTTTAGAGAATAGCGCTTGGCAGCTTACTTCATAAGTTCCTGCTTCCTCCAATCACTCACAACCCTGCAGTTCTGCACATACTATATTCAGACCTCTGCTGACTGATAATGAGGGGGTACACACTTTTAAACAATTGTAGAGAAGTCATTAAATGCTTCTAGAATTGGCACGAAATGGTTGCTGTTTTCTGAGCTGATACACAGCGATACACCCACACACCAGAAGCTGCTACACTGAAAGCTGACACAGAAGAACCAACTTCAATTATTATTAGTGTGTGTGTGTGTGTGTGTGTGTGTGTGTGTATCTCAGCTTCATTGCTCTCCCATGTCTATTTTGAGGGTGAAATGCATTAATTTCTAGCAACAAATAATACTGATAAAAACTCTGCTTTCACTCACTGTACATTTTATATTTAAGCATTTCATTGTTGCCTTGACAAAGGCTATTGTTAAGAAAAGCTATGGCATCAAAACTACACTGCAGTTACCAATATTTTTTTTAAAAAAACCCAAAGAAAGGTGAGAATGCTCTTAAAATATTTAGAAACCAAAAGTCACACGTACAGTATGCTACTTCCTAGAATTGTGATCCTTTCCTCTCCAAAATCTCCCCTATTGTGCACATGAATAAACTACAAATGTAGGTACCCTGGTCATCACAGCTTAAAATACACCAGCTCTTTATAAGTTGATGAGCACAAAAGCGACATGCTGCGTAGATGCAAGCTGCACTGTGTCTGTTCTTATGGTTCAATGTTCACAGTTCCCTTTCATCCAACAACACAGTGTCTATGCCTGGGTTCACAGCTACCTGTGGAGGCATAATCCTACATATGCCTGAAGTATGTTCTCTAGCTCACTGTCCATCTATGCTCTCAGAACACAAGTGGAACAAAATTTCAGCTAATGCAGGGAAGTTTAGTCTTACCAAGCAATCATATGCATATCTAGTCAGAAATAAGCCTGTCTGAGTTCAGCTGGACTACCTTCCAGGTATATCGAGGTAGCCAGTTTGATATCTTTTTAAAAACATAGGTTTATAAAAGCATACAATGGAAGGCCACCGAAACTGAAAAGATTCCATGAGCAAGCTAGCTGGAATTAGATTTTCCCTGAGATTGTGACAACTATAACTACAAAGCAGTGTACTGATAAGTTAAAATGAATCTGTGTCGTTTAAAGAGCTTTGTGGATGCTTTGCCATGATCTTATTCCTGTTCAAATATAGCCAAGGAAAGCCTTGTTGAACATTCAAAAATAGAGACTGTAGTAAGGAAACATATAAGCCTATAGGAGGAAAATGGCAGGTCTTGCGATCCACCCTCTAGCATGTGCCATTAAGGGTATAGAGTGAAAACAAGCTGCTGCAAGGCAGATTGTTGCTGCACTCAGGTACAGTGTTGAAATAAGATTTCACCAGTGCAATTCAAACTATTTATTTGAGTCTTCTGTGGTGTGATATTTTGGTTAATGTTGGACTGGGCTCAAATTCTCATGCAGGCATGGAGCCTGCTGGGTGGCCTTGGGCCAGTCACAGTCTTTTAACCTAACAGAATTCACAGGATTGCTGTGAGGATGAATCGAGTAGGTGGGGAAGACCTTGAAGCTAGCATCCTAGTCACACCAATAATGGATGGCATGCTGTTGACCACTGTAAGAACCAGGATGACATAAGCGATGCTCAAATATTTGCCAGAACACACAAAAGGTTATTCTGGGGGTGGTGCAGAGCAGCAAATAAAAGCCATGCCCCTAGCATCCTGATGCCTAGGCTGCTCTTCAGATCTTTGTACAATTGCTACAAAGGTCTGGACATGATTTTTAAGAGTGCTCAGTTTAGGAATTCCCATGATTCAAAACTCTGATAAGTCAGATTTTCTGTTTGTGGGCAGGTTTTTAAGCATGTTAAACACAGTTTAAAACCCAGTCTACACTTTTGTGCTAACCATGCAAAGATTGTAAGAGCACCCCTGGGATTCTGGGGGTTAGAACTTGTTTGTATGCATGCCCTTTCTCCATCTGCAGCTAAAACTTCAGAATGTGGGTCTGAACACAGCTATAGTTAAGATATTAACATGAAGTTAGGATTATAATTAATAATATATTATTCTTGAGTTGAAAATGTTGTCCTCATTACAAAAAAGGAAAGAAAGAACTCTTAACTAGTCCGAATTGTCCCAGATGTCCAAAATATTCCACACATTCAGTTAAACAAGAGTTCTATTTACAGAGGTTTTCACTGACCCTTGGTCTGATCATTCATAAAATTTATAGAATTTCGATTGCACAGTTTCTCTTTAAATTTGGGCAGGTGAGTGAAAAGCAAGAGAACGAAAATGTGCTCATAAAGGAAAGGAAGCTTTGGGGTTAAGCCATCCATTGAAAAAGGGCCCTTTGAAGGTGCAGTGATTCAGATCAGGGTTTGATATTTTTTTAAGCCAAACTGAAGGCTATCAAGACTGATGTTGAAACTAATTTTCTTTAACACACACACACACACACACACACACACACAGAGTTTGGAAGACTCACTGCCTACCTAATCCGAGAGGTGCTGGAGGTTGTTGCATTCCCCAATATTTTTGCAAGGCCAAATAACACGGGCATCGAATACAATTATTGGGTTGAAACCTGGCTGGGGGTCCATCTGCACAACACATTTAAAGCAGTATCATATTACTTTAAACAGACATGGTTTTCCCCAAAGAATCTTGGAGAAGTCATTTGTTAAGGATGCTGAAAACTGTGAGGAGACCCCTGTTCTCCTCGCAGAACTACAATTCTCAGAGTGGTTTAGCAGCAATACCTCCTCCCCAGAAACTCAGGGATTGGTAGCTCTGTGCATCAAAGGACTATCATGTGATAAGTCATATGAGATTTGCCTAAGTCAGGGATGTTGTTGCATTCCAGCTCCCAGCCAGTGTGGCCAAGGATGATGGAGGACCACGGGCTCCCCACATCCATATGTATTGTCCAGATCCTTTTGAGATAGTCTTTTTTACCTTTTCTGGCTGTGTGGACAAAGTTTTCTAAATAGAGATGCTCCAAATACTAAATCCAGGTGGAGAGGTCACTTGACCCTACAAGGCCTCACTTCACTACAATCTGCTTCCAAGTTTGAACTGTTGGTATCTTCTTCTTCTTTGGCGATCACTCGTAGCCGAGTAAGATTGTCTTCCATAAACACAGTTTTAACAGTGAGTCTGTAAGTGACTGTGGAGGCCAATTCTGGATCCACATGTCCTTCCACAGTGGGGACATAGGTTTCCGGGCGGGAGTTGATTACAGTGAGGGTGTGCCTTCCTCTTAGCACATTTCTACCTTTCGTCCCGAGTTCGAGCATCTTCAAAGCCCACAACCCCTTTGGTAAAAACTGTTCTCCAATTGGAGCGCTTGCAGGCCAGTGTTTCCCAGTTGTCAGTGTTTATACTACAGCTGTGGTTGAAGCTGTCTATATGGTATATACACAGCTTCAACCACAGCTTTCTGAAAGTATGTATCAGTTGAACTATATTTTGAATAAATGAAAGCCCAGCCTCCAGATGCCCAAACTATCTCTTGCTTACTTTGAATAAAAAGTCACTGGCACATAGAATCCTGGTATTCTTAACCAGGGATTAAGAAATACATGTATTATTGTTGTGTTTTGTGGTCGTACATTAGATGTGAATGACTGGTAGCATTTGCCCTTTGTTCTTATTCCTTCCAAAGCATAGGATTTTTTGTTGCACTTGCAGGAACTTGAGATGCAGTTTGTGATATGGTAAAAGTTGAAATCCTTTTTTTGTGTGCACAAACTGTCTGGTCTTGTGGCTGCCCTTTTTCCAAAAAACAAACAAACAAACCTGAGTGTTCAGAGCTTAAACTAAGCACTAAATTAATTCCAAGGTATTTCATGTGATCAATTTAAATACAAGATGAAAAATGTTTGCTTGCGTCAATTACTCTTGACTTCCCAGTGTTGAACACACTGAAGAGCTCACAGTAAAACAAAACAAAAAGCAGCATATTTTTTTTAGGCAATCCAACAATATATTTAGATGGGGGGGAATGCATAGCCACCAATATAAAATGCAGAAGTTATCAATCCATGTTTCATATAAGGAATTGGGTTAACTCATTTTAGAAAAACAATGTCATTAGTGGAAACCATTTGAAAACTTAGCAGACTGAATAAATATTTAATTAAAAGCCCTAGAACTTTTGACATGAAAAGTGAAACATTTAGTGTGTTAGCAATCAAACCAGAAGTCAGTCTTTCAAGGTTGGAAACAATGCAGAATCTGGAGATTACACATCATTTCCAAATGGAATATACATTAGGTGTATGTGTGATCATCATAATTTGCTTTATGGACACATGATGATCCACACACGTTGCATGCTCTCTCCTACCAGGAAGTGCTTTTACTGCACAGCCTTCCCTAGCCTGGTACTTCCAAATGTTTTCAACTACAGCTCCCATCTGCCTCTGTCAGCATGACCAATGGCCAGGGATTATGGGAGCTGTAGTATAAAACCACCTGTAGGGAATAAGGTTGGGGAAGGCTGATCAGGTGGTCCTCCAGTGTCCTGCGGAAGTGGTTTTCTCCAGCCTGCCCTACAGCTGTTAGGGGCTGATTGAGACCTGTTGCATGCAAATGATGTGCTCTGCCACTGAGCTACGGATCTTCCCAATTAAGTCCAGTGGGGTTTATTCTCAAGGAAGTGTGCGCAGGATTGCAACCTTAGACAGACAAGCACTGGTTTATGTCAAAAAGTTAAAGCACATTTATAGTGATTGCAAAAAATAAAATAATGAGTAGTGATGTTTTGCAATCCATAAAATTTTGGGAGTCAATTTGTGAGAAACTTAAAAGCACAGGATGCCCCACAAATATTGCTTAATTGAAAAGCAAAGGGGAAAAAGAAAACCCACAAAATTTTGCACACTGGATTCACACAAAGTGATTCCCTACAGCATGGCCGGGGGCTGTTGAGAAACAATCACATTTGTTTCTAAAACGTAAGAGCTCCATAGGATTGCAATAAATAGCATAAGGGGCAGGGAATTTCAATAAACTTGAATAATATTCAGTGGAGCCACTCAGCTGGGAGTAAGGCTGAATGGGAAGGCAGGCAAGTTTCAGCAATCTCCCTTCCCAATGCAAACCCCAGTGAGTGACACAAGGATGGGGCTTTAGGGGGAAGGGAAACAGTTGAAAATTGCTTCTCTCTCTGCTCCACTGATGAAACCCTTAGCGTCAACTTAGTGTCACTGTTGAATACAAACCTCTGTGGGGTTTTTGCAGGGATGTCCCCCCTCCCGGCATAGCGGACCGCTGCACCTTTAATATGATCTGCGCAGGACTGAAAAAACTACAAAATGCATGCATGCACATACATAACATGAGTGATATTTCCTAGTTAACCTTCAACACATTCTGGAATGCCTGTAATTCCAGGGTGTAGGTAGAAATGGACTGTATGATGCATAACTTAATACCTATAAAAATCACCAATGACTTGATGAGTAAACCCAAGCAAAGAAAGTTATCCAAACGAAAGCTGTGTTCTTAAATCATTTGCACCAGTGAATTTCCCTTACAGTCAGCCTGGAAGCCATCATACCTGAGGTACCCCTGTTAAAAAATTGCCTTCTAGCACTTGACAGTTCTTTAGAGGACACGAAGAACTGAAGATACCTGATTGCTAGTAATTTGCAGCCTGGACCTAAGCAGGTTTACTCTGAAGCAAGCACCACTGGAGTTCAGCAGAGCTTGCTTCCTGTGACTCGGCCTGCAGTTCTCAACAGCAGCATTAGAACTGCAGGTGCTGTACCTGGGAAATCCCCATGTTGTCAGTTATGTTCAAAAGCCTAAACCAAAAACATTAGATTAAAATCCATTATTTTTACGAAGTATTATTTCTTTGTGTAGTAGGAACAGCCTTCTCCTGCATTTCTTTTTAAAGATGATATGGTTTCAGTATTCTTTCCAAATTCAAAAGCTGCCTAGCAGTCATACTGACTGAACATAAGACGCACAGGCGCACAGAACCCCGGAAGTAGGTGCAAAAAACCTCCGGCACTGGAGGTATTCCCAAGAAATTATTCGCCATTCAATATACGCTCAATCTCTTCTAGTCTTTTCAGAGCGGCAACCCTTTTTTTCTCAATGTCTTTGATTTCTTTTGTAGACTTCTTTTTCGTCTCTTTGTCTGTGGTGTTCTTCTCCCCTTGTTTCTTGGGCTTCGCCTGCCCTTTGTTGCTGTCACTGTTTGTGGTCCGAGAGCTCCTCTGTTCATTTTTGGCCACTTTCAAGTTTTCATTTTTTGCCCCTTTCAAGTCTTCAGGAGGGGTTTTCCCTCCCTCTGAAGCTGTCGTCTTTTCCGAGGGAAGGGTAGCTGCTTCTCCGGTACCGAGCAAAGCGATTTTACTTCGGACTATGCTCAAGTGACGCTGGATGTATTCCTCATGCGGCGCTAAGGCCAGAGTCTCCACCAAACACTTCTCCGCTTTGATCAAGTCCCGCTCCTCAAAATAAACCACACAAAGGTTGTGTTTCCCTTGTACGTTGTTAGGGTCCATTTTCAGAATCTTCTCAAAACACTCCTTAGCTCCCCGTATATCTTTCTTTTGGTTCATCAAAATGTCTCCCTTCAGGATCAAACCTTTGGTATGATCAGGGTAGTATCTTAGCAGCTCTTCCAGAACTGGCAAAGCTTTCAACTCCTTTGCAGTCTGGGAGTAAAGCAGGGCCAAATTGAACAGAGCGCTTCGGAAGCCCGGCTGCAGCTTTATGGCTTTTTTCATCCAGGTTTCCGCCTCAGCATCCTTTTTGTCATCCATTGCAAGCATGCCCAAGTTGAAATAGCCATTTGCATCATGAGGCTCTTCTTTCACATAATTTAGAAGTCTTTTCTTAGCTTCCGGCCTAAGTCTAGCATCACCTAAAGGAAAGAGGGAGAAAAGTATTATGAAATTGTCCTTTTGCTGCACAGCTGTGACAATACACAACATGAATATATTCAAAACGAAAGTGATCACTATGTAGTTTTAGCTGCATGCTGTGCATGCTCTGTTTTCCAGTAAAATAATAATAATAATAATAATAATAATAATAATAATAATGGGAGGAAGGAGAGACAGAGCCTCAGTGAATGACTGACAGCAACTGACTTTGAATGCAAAAGGAGGACATTGCAGGAAGACATTGCAGCACACCAGACCCATAAAATTGGACCCGAAGAGGAAGTGATTTCTACAAGGTCACTAATGACAGGAGAGATGTGAATGCCATGAATACAGAATTCTGAGGGGTTCAGTAACTAGAAAATGGCAGTCAAACACAGCACATGGTGTCCATGGGTGCCCTATGATGAGAAGAGTCTGAGATTTTGTTCTGGAGGAATAAAAGACTCACCAGAACCCCCCAGTGAATAATAAGAGGGATTAGGGGGGCTATGGGCATACTGAGCCTAAAGGGGGAAGAAAACTTATGCTGTAGGCAAGGCCATGAGTACATTTATAGTACTGAGTACATTTAACACATTAGTATTAAATCTAAACTGGAATAGTACTCAGGATTTACTTAACCATGCAAGGGTGTTGAAGCTGAAAAGAATGAGAATTCAATGTTGTCTCCTCCATGGATGGAAAGGAATTTTTTTTGCAACTCCTGCTTCTGCCCAGCCCAATCTGTTCTGGATGGTCCCAGCACCCTCTGGAGCAGGTTTAGGGAGGGAATGGGGTGGGGACGAGGAGAAATCACTGGAAATCATCTTTACACCCTCCTTCACCAACTGATGTTCTCTATCAGCGGAGGAGACATCATTGAACACTGCCAACTGTACTAATTGCACCATTTGTTGCTGTACTTTGAGGTGTAGATAAAACATTGTCCTGCTCATGCACCTTTTAAAGGGGTTCAGTGTCTGTTTTGTATTCATGTGCTCTGTGTCAAGCTAAGGTGGAATCTACACACATATAAAAAAACACTGTGGAAATATTTTTTAAAAAAACAAAATGTTTTGAAAAATATATTGAATTTGCCACAGCTCACCATCACCATCTAGAGTCACATTTGTATATTTGCAGCTGCATAGCTGAGTACTAAGAAACATAACACAGCCCTTGGTGTGCACGTAATACATTTGTGAGTTTTAAGTGAACACACACACATACCGGATTCTTGCATTAGTAGTGCAGAATTAAATAGTGCTAGTTTATGACTAGGATTCAGTTCTAATGCCCTGTTGAAGTTCTTCAGAGCTTCCGTCGGATCTTTCAGTTCAATGTAAACAATTGCCAAGTTATACCACAGGTCTGCATTGCTCCTATCCAGTTCGAGGGCTCGAAGGTATGCTTCCTTGGCTTGCAGAGGTTTGTTCATTTTCAGAAGCAGTTCGCCCCTGTTGAGGAATCAAACTCAATGAGTCTGACGTCTTTTGAATACAAAGTAAGACGCAGAGTTTCCAGAGTGAGAGACTAGCTGGATGGCCCCCCATCTTCAGGTTCTTTAGAAGAACAAGATCTCAAGTTGAAAAGGGGGCCTTTGTTACTTGAGATCAACATAGACCAATTTATAGAACAGATTTACACATCCCTAAAAGAAATGAACAACATGAGCATTGGCTGGCTTTCCCAACCAGGTGCCCACTAGATGTTTTGAACCTCAACTTCCATCAACCCCAGGCAGCATGGCCAGTGATCGGGAGTGGTGGGCTTTGCAGTCCCACAACGACCATGGTGGGTACCAGGTTGGACATGGCTGATCTATGTGCTTGCCCACTCTTGCAGTTACACCCTTCAAGAGTCAATTTTGGAGGCAGAGAATCCCTGCAGATGTTCTCTGGACTCCACTATGTCTGACCACTGGCCATACTGGCTAGGGCTGATGGGTGTTCAACCACATCTGGAGGGGCACAGGTTCCCCACCTCTGTCCTATTTTGCTCATGATGCATTTAGTCAGCTTCTTAAGTGCCAAAAGGTTCTGTTCCCATTTCTTAATAGCATTCTGGAAGGAGAAGGAATGCCCAGCCTGGCCTTTTCAAGAGTGCATTCCAAGCCCATGAACTCCTTTGTTTTATTATTATCTGAAGTGTACACAGGATGAAGAGCTACAACCAGATGCAAAAGGAGAACCCATCCAGCTTGGCTGGCTAAAGCAGTACATTCCTTGCTCATTCTAAATAGTTCCTTTGTGTTATCCAAGCAGTCACGGGGCTGGAGTTAGACCCAGTGTACAGGGGAAAGCCCTTGAGACTGGACATGTATTCTTTCCCAGATCATCTCAAAAAATAAGTTGTAGTGTTATGACAAGTCTACACCAAGAACTTTAAACATGTCTCTGTCCAGAATCTAACGCTAAATATGGACGGATAATGGTGTGCTGCTCTGGCTGTGTGCAAGGGTATTTCCTGCAAAGAAGGAGATACATCTGTAGGGAATTCTAACTATGCATCTTTGTTGATGCTGAATCATAAGGTCAAAACTTTTTGTTTTAAGTGACCGGTGTAGATGATGGTACTCTAACACCTTTCCTTTGAAACTTAGGGAAATGTGAAATGTTTTCCTGCTCCAATAACTTTGAACCTGAACCTTTCACACCTATGCATCTTGCCAAAGCCGATTGTTACAGGAGGTAGTCAATGGAAATGGGGACCAGGTTCCTGGGAAGCTGAGGGAGCAAAAAAACTGTGTGAAGGACAACATTATTATGCAGTAGGGCAGCCATTGCTAGGTGGGGATGATGGAAGCTGTAGTCCAAAATGGCTGGAGGGCACCAGGTTGGCAAAGACTATAGTAGGTTATGAGGCACTCTCTTCTGATCAAGGCCCAAGGTTATAAAGAGATAACCCTCTTGCCCAGCTGAGAGATGTCTTAAAGCAATATACCTTGCCCCCTTATTCACAGCACACTATTTTGCTTACATTAATGAATGTCTGGAAATATCTCAAAACATAATAAATACCTGCTTATGTACGCCTGTTTGAAGTCTGGCCTCATGCTAATGGCTTGGCGATATAACTGGTCTGCTTCTTCAAGGCGAGACTCATTCGCTCGAATCAGGTTTGCAAGATTGATATAAACATTCAGGTGGTTAGGAGCGACTCGGGCAGCGTATTTTTTACCTGGAATAATCTGACAGCAGAAGAAACTGTTCTTAGGCCTTGAAGGCATTAAATTGAGCTGAATGACAAGATCTTAGTTGGTCTCTAAGGTGCTACTGGACAATTTTTTAATTTTTTAAATTTATTTTGACAAGATCAGCGACAGTGTCCACACATATCTTTAAACCATAGTTAGGTTTAGCTATAGTTTAAGGGTTGAAGGACACAGCATGTTGGTGCACAGCTCTTCCCTTCTGCTACATGGCTTGGCTTAGCATCTGAACCGAAGCTCATAGTTTGTTTCCCTTGACAAATCATGAGCAGTGAGCCCAAAACAAAACCTTGGTTACAGCTCATTTTTTTTGGAGAGAAACCACAAATCTGGCTTTGTGTCTAACACTAAGGAAAATAATAACTTAGCTTCCAGCAGCAGGGACTACGATTTTCAACCTGTGTACCAGTATGCTTGCCCATTCACCTTTCAGCTGTGGTTAATCTTAACTATGGTTTAAAGTGACCTGCAAACCAGGGCTATGTAGTAAAAATAGCAGGTTTATGTATATCTTTTAAAAACTGCTTAAACGAAGATATATCTCAAAATATTATTATTTGTAAAGAAAGAGCTACTTCCATTTGCACCAAAAGTAAACATGTCATTGCAGAGCCATGCAGTGAATGACCTGCAGGCAATATCTAGACTGCATCATTGTAATTTTTTTAAAGGAATGCAGAAATTTTAGGAAGCAGAACAGAGTTAAGTTCCACTGCTACCACTCGGGCAGGCTTTCAAAGATTTGCTGCTCCACACTGTACAAAAGCGAATGAAATTCTGGATCTTGATGAATTGTGCAAATAAATGCATAGCTTCTTTTGACCACAATTTTATACATTTTTCCAAGATAACGGAAAGGTTAAGTCAGGATGCTGTAATCCGCACAAATAATTAATGAAAAGGAAGAAGAAACTGCTGCTTTTAAAATGATATTCCGGATCTACTGAAAGTACATTTGAAGAACTGTTGTCCTACTTACTTGTGGCATCAATGATTTTGCAATCAAGTAAGATTCTTCAGCTTCTTTGGTTCTGTTTAAGTTTTTATAAGTCCTTCCTACATTCATGTGGGCACCAATATCATCTTCACATGTAAAGAAACAAATATTCATATTTCTTTTCCCCTAAAAACATTTGCCTTGGGAATAATGTTAAATGGCACCCGAAGATAGAATAAACAGGCACAAGTTTTATTCAGAATACATCTATGCCAAGTATGGTTGAATACAATTGCCTGGTTCTCATACAACATAAAACCATTGTTTGCTAAAAAACAACAACCCTAGGCTTGTTCGATTGTCCAAACCCAGCCCAGTGGCTTAAATATGTTTGCGACCAAAGAACCAAAATCTGAAGACATGGTTTCCTATTGGCTCACAAACCTTAGTTCATTTTAACTATGGCTTGGTGGAATGTGCAATGCTGTCATCTTTCCTTAACCATAGTTTGTTTGATCATCTCCACTCTAGACACTCTCCAGCTATGAAGGCACAAGACAAGCTGGAAAACGAACCAAACGTTGCAGAATAAAGGCATGGTGTGATTGTCTTCTCTGGGAGAACACGTGGCTAATACTGTTTTACAATACAGTTTCTCAATAGCTAGGTGAAACAGAGAAAACCCCTTTCAATACCTTTTTGAAATATTGCTATTGTTGAACTGAGGATACAAAATAAGCTAGCCAGCCATACACCCTCGTAAATAATACAGACCCCCTATGACTTCACAGTATTAAGCAGTCTGTAATTATGCAAAGACAGAGTACAATCTTTATTTCCTGGCCAGTCCCTCCAGAAAATTGTTTCCAAACTCACCGGGTTGCACTTGGGTGGCTTGTATGAAGAATCTCAACGCCCTTTCAAAATTCTTTTCATTTTCCAAAGCATGGCCCACATTATTCCAGAGTTTAGCATTGTTCTTATTTACCTGACCACAGAGAAACAAACTTAAGTGCATCCAACAGAGGCATGTGCCATACAAATTTAAGTAATGCAATTTTTTTGATTTGTGAAAGCATTAGCCTATCTGCCAAATCCCTTGGAGTGGGTGGAGGGGAACTGGATAACACCCATGTCCAACCAAATAATTTTCCTCATGGAGTAACTTCTCCAAGCACAAGGGCACTTTCCCTCTCTCTCCCCCCACGTCATCGTCCCCCTAATCTGCTCTGGAGTTCCAACACTCTGGAGTAGATTTGGGGGGTATGGCAGGTGGTGTGCAAGGAAGCGAAGGAAGGAAGGAAGGAAGGAAGGAAGGAAGGGTAGTTCTACTGCACTTGTGGAAGTCGTTTGGTGCACACTATGATGTAGGGTTGTACTCAATTAAGTACAGTGGTACCTCAGGTTAAGTACTTAATTCGTTCCAGAGGGCCGTTCTTAACTTGAAACTGTTCTTAACCTGAAGCACCACTTTAGCTTATGGGGCCTCCCGCTGCCACCACGCCACCAGAGCACAATTTCTGTTCTCATCCTGAAGCAAAGTTCTTAACCCGAGGTAATATTTCTGGGTTAGTGGAGTCTGTAACCTGAAGTGTATGTAACCTGAGGTACCACTGTACCTGTCTGTGTAGGACCGTCTTTCATACATGGGAGTTCCATGTGTGCACTGTAACTTCAAAGGACTTTTGAAACTGAGCTACTCAATGCAGAGAAAAAAATCTACAGAACTCATAACAGAAAAATGATTTTTTTTAACTCATGGTGGATTACAGCAATGCACACACATATTCCCTAGTGGCTTGTGCAGAAAATGCCTGTAGCAGTCCGTTAAATCTAAAACAGGGGCAGGCACAACAATGTTTCCCTGTAATATCCAGGTATCCTTTCACCCTAAATGTATTTTGTGTGCACTTGGGAAATCTGACTCCTCTATCTACTTTCTTCCTATAGAGACTCCATTTGGATTTAAACTGAATCTTGTATTTTCCCCAATAGCTTTACCTATCAAACAACAGATATATCCAACACAACCCTCTTTAGAAGTTCAGATTTCAATTCAACACTATATTAAGGGGCTAAATTGAGGAACCTTTTCTGGGTTTTAAATGAACTATCTGTAAGAAGCCATAATGCAATTTTATTTTTGGATGTGGACTTTTAGATATGAAGTTCAGAGTTTCACATTTGAAGAAAAAAAACACCAACAGAATTTGGTCATCCTGGGCACCACTGTACAGAACACACCCAACAGGGTTTTTACAGATCTGAAGTTCTTTTCTATGATGAGAAGTAAGAGAAAGTTGGAATCGCAATATTGTACCTTCAAGGCAGACATGAACAGTGTATATTCCGATTCCCAGTCCCAGTTCCTGTGCAAGGTTTTTAAGGCATGGATAAACAGCACCAGAGAGAGGCAAACCCAGGATAGCTTTCTTAGGACACTGGGGGGGAAAAGGTGGGAAAAATACATTTAATTCCATTTCTATCACTGGATAATAGACACCCCAACCGTGCAAGCAAATACCAGACTTGCCCCATCTTACTTTCTTAGCCACCCCCACCCACCCCCATCAGAGTCATGCATTTACTCCACCTATTCACACTTAGTTCCCCACTAGAGTACAGAGCCTGCCGCATGGAGTTGCCCACATAGTTTCAAACAGCTTGGAAACAAAGCAAAATAAAATACGGATGTTAAGGTGCCCGAAATGTTCTGAACCTGCAGCTGATTTTTATCCACCCTTCAAACTGGGGATTAAGACTTTTCAGAAGTCATTTCTGCTCTTAATGCTATAATTGGTTATATCCTTTCATTCAATTCTCTGAGGATTTTGTTAGGATGCTTGGAAGGCTCTCTGTGTTGAGAGAATTGTGAACTGGCTTGACGTCTACGAACTGTGGCTATAATCTTAACTCCCCACAAATGGCAGGACTCTTAATCCTCCAACTGTCAGATAACGGCTTTCAAAGATTTGGAATCTAGCTGTAATGGCCAAATTAATGAAGACGTCCGCCTACACAACAAATAAACAGCAATCTGAAACATTTGACTAGATTTCTGTAAAGAAAAGTTAATGGTTTGGGACATTTAATAGCAGTAAGGTATTTCTGCTGCTTTTGTAAAAGTTATTCCTTGTGTGATTTCTTATTGATACTCTTTTCCAGATTAAAAAATACCAGCACTAATACTGTGCTTCATGGACCAATACCAATAATTCTGCTGCTAATGTCATTCCAGAAATTCTGTGGTTTTATAGTCCTCATCCAAGAGGTAATCTAAATAATTCACAGACAAGACATTAATAGGGGGTAAACAGTAGAAGGGACCATGAGCAGCAGGAGAGAGGGCAGACAACAATTAGGCGGTAGCAGCAGAAGAGCAGGGAGGATGAGGTTAGTTTATGAAGGGAAGTTAGAGAAACAGCACTAAATGTGAAGGTGCAAAAGGCAAAGCAAAAGGAAACAGACCATTCATCTGAAGGGTGGGAATCAGAATAGGGGAAAGAACAGGTGATTTATAATTTAAATAATGAGTAAGAAAATACCACTGAAAATTTAAATGTGACATTAATGGGTGCCTCTTTTAATTTTAGGGTAGTGCCCACTTCCCACCCACTGCAACCTTAACATCTGCTCCAGAGTCTGCAACAGATTTGAGAGAGGGCATGGAGGCGGACAAGGGCAACTACACACAGATGTCACCCTAAGTACTGAAACTTCCATGCTGATCCTTGTCAATAGATAATGATCACCTTGCTTTTAATATCAAAGGACAGAGAGCTTGAGCAATGTTTAGGCAACACTGAATAATGCACTAAGAAGTTGGAGAAGCACAACATGTAGAGAGTGGATTTCAAAGGTAGATCACAACTATCATATTCCACCATCTACCGTGTTGTTTGTGTGCTGAGACAATAACCGGTTAAGCAACAGCTGCTGGTATAATTCACACGGGGCTGGAATCAGAACAACGCTTGGTGAAAACTGCATCACTGTGCCACAGATTCAAAATTCTTGCCATGTATTGATTCACTGTGGTTGTGATCCCATCAGAAGCATGTATTGCAATTTACATGCCTCTGTTCATGTACATGTCAAGGCTGCTGATGGATTTATGGTATCTTCCGCACTCATGGGGGAAAATGAAATAAATTACCAAAATGATGTGCTATTTTACATCTTGCTAAGCTCTTAAGACGGATTCAAATGATTAAGGCTAGAGAGCATGTTTGGTATTCACAGATATTACTCTGCGTCTATATATAGCCCCTGATATTATGAAAATGTACTTTTGAAAAGGAATTTTAATTACCTAATAAACTGCAACTCATTTCATAATAATGATTAAAAATCTGTTGGGAGGGGGGGAATCAGCAACTGATAGTATCTCCCCCTCCAGTAAAGTCAAGCTGGAACAGATTCTCCTTAGATACACCTAATTTACATTTTCTTTGTTCTCATTCTTAAAAAGAGAGAGCAATGTAAGAGAGAAACAAAATTAATCATTTGTTTCTTTGATATAAAAAGATCTGAGACTAATTATTAGGATTAGCGTGGCTAGAAGTGTAATTAGTAAGCTGTAACAAATACCTTCACACCAAGTACAATGTGGGAAAGCAATTATGGCTCTTTCAAAGAGATGTTGAAAACATATCTGACTCTTGGTTTGAGAACACAAAGCCTGATCTAGAGATCTCTCTCTGTGTGCGCATCTGAGGTGTAGATATAGATCTCCTGCTCATGCTTTCCCATTTGTGTCAATGGAGGTATTGTGCATGCACACACATTATTGTGGCGTATGAAGGCTAAGGCCCCTTCTTTGTCCTATATAGGAAAATGGGCAGGCAGGGTGACCATGTGGCTCAGTTCAGGGCAGGGATATTGAGAGGATAGGGATATTGCAAGGATTCAAGAAGGGTTCCTTGCCTACTGGAATCCTTGGAATAAGGTTCAAAGCAAGAAGGGTCCCTGTTTGCAGGGAAAGTGCCCTTGTGCTCTTCAGCACACAGAAAGGACACAGGTGGCAATGCGCAAACTGGTGGACCCTGTTTCCCTACCATGGATGGGACTACCATAATCTATAATGCAACAGTTCCCCAACACAAATTAGGGTAAATACAGTCCTTGCTGATCCTCACTGCCCCTACGACAACCTCAAGCTTCCATAGGAAGTCACCTATGTCCAGCTGGTCCTGACTTTGTGTGTGTGGGGGTCATACAATATGGTCCCCCTCCCCACAACAATGCTATTGCCATCTATCAGGAAGAAGCATACCTCAATACCAGGAAAAATATACAAAAGATGCACAGGCTTGGGGTTGATCAATCATAATAGAGATTGATACGAGGTGACCATACCACACTCACTTGCTCTTGCCCGTACATGTCTCCCTGTCTCTCACAGACCACACTCATAGACACCATTTCTCACTTACCATTTACGCCTTTTCCTCTCTCACACGCCACACCTCCTTCCCACAAAGACCACACACACACTTCTCTCTTTCCCTCTGTACCACAGGGAACCTCTCTCAATCTCATCCCACCCACAATATTCAAACCTCTCCTCTTCCCCATTTAGAAAAACTCTTCTATGGACAAAGGAAGTGCCAGCCATTAATACACAAGGGCCACCAACCTGGTGCCTGTGGGCAATGGGTTAGTGATCCCTAAACTATAATGTCAGCTAGTGAGATGTATTTTAGGAAATTACTCTTTTAGACAAGTATGGATTTTAAATCATGCCTCACGAAGCTGTACAGTTAAACTACAATGGAGACGACTCCCCAATCTGCTTTTCCTTCCTTGTTCCAACTTATGGAAAAGCAGGAGTTCTGTTTTCAAATTGAAAACACAACCATTTTATAATAGCCACATGATGTTTCAATTATAAGAAGTGCTCAATCAAATATTTAAAAAGATCCATTTATCATATTTAGTGGAAAATTATATGAAGCAAACACAAATACATAATAGCTATGGGAACCAAGGGAAAGAGAAAAGGGGGGGGGGGATTTACTCATTGTGTAGGATGTACTAAAGATTGTTTTCAACAAATACTTATTAGATAACATAATGGGGTTAACTTCACTACTGGACTATGGAAGAACTGCTGTGGTGGGCAAAAAAGAGGTTAAACATTTTGAAATATTTTGCAGTACATTCCAGCGTAAGTTCCAGAGTAACTTTTCATTTCAGAAGGGTATTTACCATTTTATACAGCCTTGCATTTAAGCACTTGCCTGGTAGTCAAAGTGACTGCATGTAGGCAAACATATTACAGGAGGAATAGAGTGAATGGCCAGGGAAGCATTCCATGCCAACCATTTAAAAAAATGTAGTGGGCTGCTGCAAAAGAGATGGAGCTGCCTGTCTTTCCTCCATCAATCCCAAGGCTAGTGAACATTTTCTGCAGGCTAGTAACTTCTGTAGAATTGTTTATAAGACTGATTTAACAGGGTAATCCTCAGCGCCACTGAGTTCACGTGGACATGCTTCCAGGTAAGTGTGTATAAGATTGCTGCCTAAAAGAGTGTTTTAAGGTTGCAATCTTGTGCACACTTTCCAGTGAGTAAGCCTCACTGAACGCAATGGTGGGTAGGCAAACATAGGTGTCCATTGCAAATTACTAAATAGCTACATTCAAAATATTTTTACATTTTAAACAAGGCAATTTCATGCTATGCACACTGCATACAACTGAGAGATTTTCATCAGACGTTTAAAAATGGTATTATTTTGTACTGTGTTGATTTTGTTCAAGCCGCATCTTTAGAAAGAGTGGGTTATAAATTCTTAAATATTGATAATAATTATTGTTGGAGCTTTATTCTTATATTGAAGGACAGAGTCGCAGTTGTCACATTTGTCACGGGATATCCACAAAAATGGCCTCCTGGCCAAATGGAATGACACATAAGGGCACATTAACCCATGACTTTGCTAATCATGTTAATGGAAAAAGATGGTAAAGCGAGTTAAGAGCTTGAGCCACAGAGACAGCTGCCATGCATGCAACGGCACAACATTAAATTGCCCCGTGAACCCCATTCTCACCCGCAAGCCGTAACTTTTAACCTACCTGTTGCTTGAGAGCTTTTTCCACCCATGGGCTACTAGCATGCAGAATCCCATGCTGGGAACATACAACACTCGCTCTGCTACTACGAAGCCAACAGGAAAAAAAAGGTTGGAGGCTGGGATGAATGGCAACACTATTAAACAAAGTGCCTAAAAAAAGCAAAAGAAAAAAAGACACACAAACACTAGCTAGAATTGCAAATTGTGCATATATTCATATAATGTATTATTCACTACATTTCTTTACCACCACCTTTCTTCTTTGGCACTCTGACATTCATAGTAAAATAACAATAATTTTGAAGTGCAAACGGCATGCCTTCAGTTCTACCGAAACCATGACCAACAGCACACTTTATCAAATCTGTAGAACAAGTGAGCTGTAAAATGAACGGAAGAAAAATCTTGTTATGGCTTCAGCTGATCCAGATTGCAAGACATGCCTACTCAAGAGTCCTGAATCGCCCTGGGGACTGCTCCTATATTGAATTTTGTTTGAATTCTCACACCATTTCCGTAGCAGGGATGGCTGTTAACAAGTAATAGAGCAGCTGCCAGCATCCTTGCTGTTCACAAATTTTGATTCATCCCTAGAATGAGCGTGTGGGGGAGAGAGAGAAAAAATCATCCTGTCCTAATGTTCACACTGTTCCTAGTGCTACTGGCATGATGTCGTCGTAACCTGACAAAAAAACTTTGCTGCCAACATGGCCCACATTGCGTGAACACATTACCGAGGGGGAGGGGAGGGAGACATTACAAGGGGCGATAAGAGTAGAGGGGGAAATCGGCAGTCACGAAAATACACTGCAAAGCAGACAGTGCAAAGTTAGAGACACGCTGAAAAATGAGGCAAATGAATGGCAAACTATTGACAAACACTACATACCATGGAACCTTAAACTATAGCTATACAATGTACCAATTTGATGGTTACCAATAACATTCTTAGGAGCACTGATCTAACTCAGCTTGATATGTTGTCATGCTAAATAATAGAAAGTTAGGACCTACTAGGTGGTGGTAACAAATATATAAAAGAGAGTTAATTTAGGGGTTCTGTTCCTAGCCCTTGCATTCATCAGCGGACCACATGTAAGCCCATTCTACCCTTTTCCAGGTCCAAAAGGACCCACGTGTCAGTGAATGAACACAAAATGGTCTAACAAAGGAAGCAAGGTAGTGGAGGTGAATGAGCACATATGTAGCAAGGATCAATTAATATGAAGCAATGGAATCTGGCAGTGCAAGTCCCTGGTGCATGGCCCCTAAAAGGTGTATGAACACAGCGCATACCCAAAGGCTCTAAAAGGAAGGAAATGGATTTCCCTGTTAACCAGTTTAAGCAGCACTTTAAGGAATCATTCTATCAGGACTAATGCATCTTCATTTTCTGGCACTCAGGGCCCTTTGATGCGTCTAGTGTTAGACTTAAAGAGCTTCTCAGAATCAGATTCATGAAGAAACCTGCAAAAAAGTTTCCATTATCATCTGAATATTAATATTTTCAGGTACAGTGGCAGGATGGAGACAGGCACCAGGAGACTGGAGGAGGGGAAGGGTTGTCTGAAAGAATAGCCAAGATGATTTTCTCCTGTGAATTCTGGTCATGGACCATTCTTCCATTTCAATTCTAAATCACAGTGAGACATCACTTACCATCAACACAGTCTTGGAAGAATCTCCAGCATAGCGGAGACTGAAGATGAGCAATGTTCCCAAAAAGCAGAAGAAGGCTATGGTGGCAACATTTCTGATGTCTAGAAGAGATTCTACCAATGGTATGGTGCCCATTGTCCAATCACAACACAATTCCGAGGGATTAAGAAGCAGCCAGGCATTCACAGGAAGGAGGTAGTTGAAAGTCAGCTGCCTTGCAGGAGATGGACTGACAGCAGCTGGGTTATCAAACCTAGTTCAAAGCAACAACAAACGTTCTGTTTTAAACCGTTCTGAGTAACAGGAGATCCCAAGACACTGCAAAGAACAGCAGATTCTGAACTTAAATCATAGTAATTTGCCATAAGAAAAGTTGGAGGAGAAAAATCTTGAAAACTCCAACTCCATAATTGTTCAAGCTTTGCCAAGATTAACAAAGGTAAGCCATGGGCCATAACAGTTAAGTGAATCTGACAGTGTATACTCCTTCTCACTGCTGATCAGCGACCAGAATGGATTAAGGAGAACCTCAGAGTATACTGAAGTCCACAAGTGAATCATGCAAGAGTACATCTGGCCTGCAAGGGGGAGGCTACATGTGCCTTCTGATTTCTAACACCCTGTGTGTAAGTCCCTTTGCCTTCAAGTCTTTGCAATTGCCTAATAATGAGTCACAAGTAGAGGTCAAGTTGAGGCCTGTCTGTTCCCCCAGCAACTCCTTCAGGAGCCTCACCTTAGAACAAAAACCACTGAAGAAAAGAGATAGCCTAGTCGTTGTCCGGCTGCATTCTTATCCACCTGAACTACTATAAAATATAATCAATCTGCCTCATACATTCTGTCTCAATAGCATGAGCTACTAGTGTAGAACTGTGCTTCTGTCAGAAACACACATCAGCCATGCAGCCTGTCATCAAGAACAAGGTCACTTGCAAAAGAATGGCTAGCATTCTGAAAACGCTCCCTTTAATTAAAAAAGTTGTTTTATTCCATCTGCACTGACAGAACTGGCCATGACCTAGTGTATTTGCAATGAGACTGGAAGCTTCCACTTCGGTTTTAGATTAACCACAGTTAACAGGCATGCTGCCTGAACCCGAAACTGTGGTTATTAATCTCTACTACAGTCAATGAAAATAAGATCTCTTCATATCATAACTATGGTTAGCAAGAATAAGTAAAGATTAGCCAGCATGGAAAGCTGTGGTTAATCTAAAATGTACACAAAACCTTTCATATCCTTCCTTGTGGCTTTGCCAGAGGAGGGGGGTTGTTCAAGCCCAAGACTTCCCGAGGCTTATTGTGTAACACTAAATTGTGATTTAGTGGGCATTTGGTGAGAACAAGATGCCAGACAAGCTTGGCCACTGGCCTGATCCAGCAGGCTTTACATATCTTCTTCTCAAGGACATGAATTAGGGATATACCTTAGTTTTCAGAGAAATCAAACAATATAAAAGAATATCAGCTCTGCAATAAATCCAAGTGGACACCTGGTGGAAACTTACTCATCACCAAGTTGTAACATTTCATAATGATATACTGGGTGTTGTTGTTTTTTCTTTTACCTTGTAAACACTGGCAACTGTGACTGAATGACCTGGACTCTGATCACAACAAGAAGCAGAGTACTGAACATCAGAACTATCAGCTTCAACAGCATTTGGAGCATACAGTAAGGAATGCTGCCTTTGCCTCGGAGAATCTGTAGCACTGTATCCCAAAGAATAGGCAAGGTATACTAAAAAAAAGGGGGGGAGAGAGAAAAAGCTTAGTTTTCAAGCAAAGTAAACCTTTCAGTGCCATTCACTGCCATGAACCAACACCAGGGATGAATACAGTTATGGTTAGTTAAATTGAGAGACCACTTTTCAGTTTTGAAATTCCCCAAACAGGGTACAATAAAAGCGCAAGCAATAAAGTCACATAAAGGCAACAAGAGGCAGCATAAAGTAAGCACAGCCATAAGTACTGTCCACAAGCCTTGCAAGAGTGAAGTGCTTCTATGGATGCCATTAATGCTTTGCTGCTGCTGTATTTTTTATGGATTCCAGCTGCTGGAAGCTTTTGTGGTGGCTCTATTCAGTCAAAGCAGCCTCTGCAAAGACTCCACAGCTACTGGGCCATAGCTGCAGTGCCCCTGATTTCATGTACTTCAGAGGTTTGCCAGGCTGGGGGAGTCATGGCATGGCAGTGCAGCACATAGGAATGAGCCATCCCATTTCGCAGCCCCCGCCTCACTTACTGAGGTTGTGCAGCTGTGGCAGCTTCTGGTGAGATCTCCTGGGAACCCATGGGAGTGCTGCCCCACAAGATTTTGCCACCCAAAGTGGCTGCTTCAGTGTGCCTCATGGGCAGTCTGGCCCTGGAGGTGTGGACTGCACACCTAGTCATTGCCAAATCATTAAGGATTCTCCCTCCCCAATTGTTGGATCTCAGACAAAAGATCTTACTGAAAATAAAGGCCTAACTATTTTGCTTTACGGGAGAATGATGCCTACCCACTGACCCATCCATCCACCTGCCTGCCTGCCTATCTATCTATCTATCTATCTATCTATCTATCTATCTATCACGGATGGCCAACCTATGGTCCTGCCCAGGAGTAGGAAGAAAAACACACAACCCAAAATCCAATTTGTGACAGTCCCCTGCCCCACAATGTTTATTACCAAAACTTGCAAAATATCTAAGAATGCAGATATTATATATACACACATTATGAACAACTTCAGAGAACCTTTTCAGTAAAGAGAACGAGGTAGATTCAAGGAACGTGAGGATAGCATGTTTTCCAAGTTAATTTTAAGGACTGGGTGTCTGTGTGGGGATGAAACTTATTTGTCTCATTCTTAACCACCACAATTATAACTTCTAAACCTTGATTTAAAAGTCTAAAAGTTCACCAAATTAAAAAGTCAGCCTGTTTTAAATTGAAAACATTTCTATTGATATTTTGTTGGGTGCTTGCATGCTCCCCACCCCCCAGCTTTTATACTGTAAGCAGCATACATTTACGTAGGGCGATTATTTGATTACTTATTCCCCTATTGGCTCAGAAGTGGATCTCTAGAAATATGAAAGAGTCAGCGCTCTCCTCCCCAGTTGCCCCGCCCTTCTCAGAGGAGCCAGAAGAAAACCCAGGATTTTGTAATAGGGTGGAATGATGCTAAGGAAGTTCTGTTCAACTGGGAGGGATGCTTTCAAAACATCTCTAGATGGTGATTAATCTTGAATTGCTTTGAAGACAGGTGAAAGAGGATCCCGAGAGACATTTAATGAATAGGAAAATTAATCAAAGTCTTAATAAAGAAAGACACTGAAAAACGGCTATATGTAATCACATGATATTATGATGAGGACTGATCTGAGGAGCCAAAATATTTTTATTGGTTCAGGATGATGGGTTGCATTTATTAAGCTTGCTTGGTTTGATTTGTGAATAGAAATCATGTGTGTAAACTGGAAATGTATAAAAGCCCATTTCTTTGGATGTGGTTCTTTTACAGCCTCCTCATTTTTGAGGCTGTCCCTATGCTCATTTGTATTTCAATAAAGGCCTATTTTTTCACTTGAAGCCTGCATCCTTTTTATTTTTGGTTTCTGGGAGGGTAACCTGCATTCCAGGAACCCCTTTTAAATTTCTCCAACAGTGGCACTGTACATTGTGAGTCAGTCAGTCTGTTCTGGCACAGCAAGATTGACTAGATTATCTTGAGATGATTTTTAGTTCTATGCTGCCACGAACCTTTTGAGGGGTGCAAGCCACCCACCCAAGCATGACAAAATAAAATAAGTGGTCACATGAGCACGGCGTATTATCACAAAATTAGAAATGTGCACAATTCTTGGGTTAACCACAGGCTTAGAATGAGATTGCACGAGTTCCTTACCCCTTGAGCTATAAATACTTCATAGACACAACAGATTCCCACTACTGTTATTCCTTGTTCCTTACATAATGTTGCCACAGCCACCAGAAACACAGTCACTGCAATAGGAGTCCAGACTGAAATGCAAAAGAGACAAACGGTTAGCTGGCAAAAAATCTAGGGAAAGAAAACGGTGTTATTTGTAATTGCCGAGAGCATGACCAGCAATACTTTATGAATTGGGAGCTATCATCAATTTCCTTATTCTTTTGTAGACTCAATGAGGTGGGCAAGTCAATCATACTGGGTTGAACAAAGCGCATTCCTACTGCTAGTACAGTGGTACCTTGGTTCTCAAACTTAATCCGTTCTGGAAATCCGTTCCAAAACCAAAGCGTTCCAAAACCAAGGTGTGCTTTTCCATAGAAAGTAATGCAAAATGCATTAATCTGTTCCAGACTTTTAAAAACAACCCCTAAATCAGCAACTTAACATGAATTTTACTTTCTGACAAGACGATTGATCCATAAAATGAAAACAATAAACAATGTACTGCAGTCACACAATCAATCAATCAATCAATCAGTAGCTGAACTGGGTTCCAAACAGTTACAAAAACAAAACAAAAAGAGCCACAAAAGCAAAAATGCAAAACAACAAAAACAGACAGACTTCAGCGTAATACCCAAATGGGAGCACGCTCAGCTTCCGAGAAAAGTTTGCAACCCGGAACACTTACTTCTGGGCTTGCAGTGTTTGGGTTCCAAGTTGTTTGAGTACCAAGGCATTTGAGAACCAAGGTACTACTGTACCGAAAGCTAACAATAATGTAGCATTCTCACCTACTGACACAGACTTAGAAAGCAATCCTTGTATACGCTGCCTGTTTTTGAAGTTTTTAGAGGTGGCAAGTAGGGCTCTATGTTCCTTTAAAATGAACTTAAAACTGGCATTTTAACAAGCACATTCAGATGAAAAGAATCCATCCTAGCAGCTCCTTTCCTACCTGCATTATCTCCAGGCAGGGCTGAGAGAGACTCCCATCTAAAACCCTGAAAAGCCACTTCCAGGCAGCACAGGCAATGCTGAACTGGTTGGACCAATGGTCTGACTCCTATGTTCCAATGGATAACCAAGGGAAGCTTCCTATGTTCCTAATGATGCTTGAGGCCAAACAGGGTTTGAATGAGGAGTAAAAACAACCAGAATGCATTGATTTAAGAAGAGTGCCTCTTACTCACACTCACCAATTCTTACCAGTAGTGTACTACTACTGGTATACCACTGGTAGTAAGAACTACTACTACTACTAGGACTGCACTATTAGTACTCCACCTTTTCCAGAAGAAAAAGGAGCACCAGAGACCAACACAAAGGACAGTTTTGATAGCTTTCTTTTGCGGACTACACCCTTAGAGGTCATTGTGTCTGTGAATAAAACTACATGACCCAAAGCAGGTATTTACCAATCGTGTTTTCTGGACCTCTGGACCTGGTATATGACAAAAAAGCAGCTAGGAAAAAGATGGAGGAGAGAAGCTCCGCTCTGCCCACTACACCAGTTACCTAAACAGAAGAGGAGAGAGTGATCATTAGGTAAACAAAACTAGGGTGTAAAGACAGAAAATAAAGCAGCTATGCAAGTGATGAACAAAGACTACAGGATAAATGCAATCCTTAGGGGCACCTGTACCCAAAGTAAACTAAATAAGAAAGCAAAGACAAGTGGAGTGAGCTTCCACTACTTTGGTGACGGACGATGTCAAGTATAGCATTAGTGTGCCCTCATGTGGCTGATAAATGGAAGTACTCAAATCCTAATTCGGATTGCTCTGTTTTTTATGTACAAAACGTGGTGAGAAAGCATGCCTAACCAATGACATTTTCGGTGGATGCATTTATAGTCTCACCATGTGCAACATGCGCAAGTGCTTGCTCAAAAAGACATGCATGCACCAATTTCCAGAGGGCTCAGCCTTTCCCAGGGCGCCCTCCAAGGGCTACAAGACCACCACCATTCCTGAACACTGGTCATACTGGTTGGTGCCGAATAAAGTTATTGCCCAAAATATCTGGTGGGCACCAGATTGGGAAGACTGACCTTTGCCATAATAAATGTACTGTTCATTTTTTGAGGCTTTTAGTAGGTTATAAAAGCACCACAGAGGAACATAAAACATATTCAGTTAGCAGAACCATCTCCCAGGACTTGAGTGCTTGGAGTTTGACTGTTATAAACCTTCAATGTTGTTTATTTCTACAACTGATCAGCCATGTTTAGAACTTGCATTTCAAATCCATGGTTAAACTTCCACTCCAGTCCTACTCAAAGTGATGGTACACAGGCTGGTGCTGGTCTGCGAGTCACTGGCTGCTCATCCTCAGCGACTCTATTACCCTGCCCTGAGACTCCCAGGTATAGGGCAGTATTTAAATTCAATAAATAATAACAACAACAATATCACAGCCCAGCTTGGGCAGGGTGCTTCATGGACTAAATACAGTTGTACCTCGGGTTACATACGCTTCAGGTTACAGACTCTGCTAACCCAGAAATAGTACTTTGGGTTAAGAACTTTGCTTCAGGATGAGAACAGAAATTGTGCTCCGGCAGGGCAGCAGCAGCGGGAGGCCCCATTAGCTAAAGTGGTGCTTCAAGTTAAGAACAGTTTCAGGTTAAGAACGTACCTCCGGAACGAATTAAGTACTTAACCCGAGGTACCACTGTATGGTACAGTCCCCCAGATCAGATAGCTTGAGAAGCACTGCTCTACACTGATTTATCTGGCTAAATTCAGAAGCTTCAATTGGTTCAGAAGGCAGCTGCCTGCAGGAATCAAGTGATGGGAGCACGTAATACCCTTTGCATTGGTTTGTTTCCTGGTCTAGTTCAAAGTGCCGCTTGCTGCCTTTGAAGCACTAAACCAGACAATGAAAAGCCGACCAGAATTCAACACCCAGCATTCCTGAGCACTGGACTTGCTGGTTGGGGATGATGGGAGCTGGAGTTCACAACATCTGGAGGGCATGATGCAAAAGCTAAGATATTGATGGCACTCACAGACAAAGTGTATCTTTCGAAAAGGGGCTCAAGGAGCAGTCAGGCTTATGAAACTGCCCAAACTGAACACTGCAACAGGAAGAAAGGAAACTGCCTTATATGAAGTCAGACCCTATAGCTCAGTACAGTGGTACCTCCAGTTGTGCACGGAATCCATTTCGGAGCTCTGGTCGGATCCCGAGGAATTCGCAACTGGAGGTGCCTGTTCTGTTCATGCGCATGGTAGAGCGCTTCTGCGCATGCAGCGAAACCCGGAAAAATACTTCTGGGTTTGCCGCGTGCGTAACCCAAAGGATACAAAACCAGAGGTACCACTGTATAGTCAACATTGGCCATGAGTCTCCAGGGTTACAGAGAGGGGACCTTCGCCAGTCTAGAAAAATCAGGGGTTGAATCTGGGACGTTTTGAATGCAAAGGATGAGCTATACCACTGAGCTTCAGCCCATGCCTTAACAGGGATGGAAAGAAACAGAGAGAGAAAATTAACATATTAATCTAGGCCATCATCCAAAGGATTTGTTCATGCAAATGAACTATGTAGCTAGCAGAATTCTCTTTGTAGTTAACCCTGATACAATTCCCACAGCCAACAAGGTAAGCTCATTTTAAAGACAAGTGACAGCTTACTTCAATGCCTGTCATTGAAACCTACCACAGAGAAGATGACAAAAAAATGCTCCAGTTGTACTCTTGGAACTTTTTTTTACCGTGCCAAACCAACTTCTTGAGATTGTTGGAATTTGAAAGTTGACAAATTCAACACACCACGGTCTGATTTAGGTCTGACTCAATACAAGGCCGCTTTCTATGTTCCTATTCTCCTTCCCAAGATAGATACAAGACTGTCATTGCTGATAGTTTGTCATTTGTCGTTAAGAGAACTATTCTTTAACAAGAACTCAGCAGAGGCTTTTCAGGTTTACTTACCGCTTCAGTGTGTATTGGATGCACTGCAAAGAGTAAGGAAGCAACCAAACTGCTCCTGTTGTCCAAGAAAAGCTTACAGACCTTGAGGAAGACAATACAAACAGCTGCATGGAAGATGACGTTCAGGAAGTGGTAAGAGACAGCATTTAACTCGCTGAACAGGTAGTTCAAACGGAACGTGAGCACAGTGAGCGGCCTGTATGACTTGTGACTTCGCTCCTAAAAAACAAAAACACACAGACCCACATGTAGATCGAACTGTGGGGGGGGGGGGATATATCCATCTTTGGGGTAAAATAGCTCAACTAGAGGATAAAATCAGAAGCCTAAAAGCAAGACACATTGCAAATAGTTGAGTCTTCCCAAGAAGGCAGACACCATAAAAGAAAACCTCCCAACATTCAGAAAGATATTGCTCAGATGCAGGCTTCACAAATATGGTCACTAGCAGCAAAAAACCCTACCTTAAGCAATACAGTCGTACCTCGGCTCCTGAACCCTTTGGGAGATGAACATTCTGGTTCCCAAACACCACAAACATGGAAGTGAGTGTTCTGGTTTTTGAACGTTCTTTTCAGAAGCCGAACGTCCGATGGGGCTTCCGCTGCTTCCAACTGGCTGCAGAAGCTTCCTGCAGCCAATCAGAAGCTGCGCTTTGGTTTTCGAACGTTTCAGAAGACGAACGGACTTCCAGAACGGATTCTGTTTGACTGCACACACAAATCCTTGCCCCTGAAATTGCTGGGCATTGTACAGAATTCATAAGAAAGCCTCGTACTCTACATTAATAAAGCTCAGCACAATGTGAGAACTTCCCACTGCTCTCCCAAGTTTGCTGGCTTGTGGAGAAGACTTGATGGAAGCTTGGGAGGTTCCCTGATGTCTTTCTGAGCTTTGGATGCATTCACCCCAATTCTGCCTGTTCACCCCAGTAGCATATAAAAAGAACCTGTCCCAACTCCCCTGTGAGCTTATGTCCTTTGATTATTTGTTTACTGCAAATCTTGCAGTTTTGCAGATGGGGCTCGGTGTCTAGATCATACAAGCAGAGCCCTAGAACAAACTGCTGCAGATTGGAGGGCTTCTGTTCGGGGTTCTAGCCACTCTTTCCCTTCTCTGTGCCTTGTTATATCTTTGTTCCTCTTCCTCTTAGTGGCCCCATTCCATTCCACTTCCCACTTGCTCTACAATCCCGTACTCAACCCAATCAGACAGCAATCCGTAGCCATTGGGTCCTTACTTGTTTTTTTTAACAGACATTTTTGGTGCTCCTGCAAACCTCATGGTTACCTGGCTCTGCCAATACCTCCCATCTTTTTTTTAAGGGTGCTGTTATTTTGGCAACATTTGTACCAGCTCATGAAGTCATGAATTGGACATAGAGAAAGAAATATTGCTCTTCTCTTGGTACTACAGCTTGAATTATATTCAATGTCCCTGTATTCCTTTGTGTCCAGGGATCAGCAACCTTTTTCAGCCGTGGGCTGGTCCACTGTCCCTCAGACCTTGGGGGGGGGTGGACTATATTTTGGAAAAAAAATGATGAACGAATTCCTATGCCCCACAAATAACCCAGAGATGCATTTTAAATAAAAGCACACATTCTACACACGTAAAAACACCAGGCAGGCCCCACAAATAACCCAGAGATGCATTTTAAATAAAAGGACACATTCTACTCATGTAAAAACATGCTGATTCCCGTACCATCCTCGGGCCAGATTTAGAAGGCGATTGGATCAGATCCAGCCCCCAAGCCTTAGTTTGTCTACCCATGATCAAGACTATGAACATATACATTACAAAATAAAGTTTATGGAAGGTATAATACTAATTTTTCAGCTTTTTAAAAAATCTCATAAAAAACTTTAAAGTTTGGGTGTTGCGAGCCACTGGCCTACTTCAGATAATTATACATCAGCTTAATAAAGGTAAAGGTACACCTGACCGTTAGGTCCTGTCGCAGACGACTCTGGGGTTGTGCGCTCATCTCACTCTATAGGCCGAGGGAGCTGGCATTTGTCTGCATACAGCTTTTGAACCAAGCCCCTTCACTCCTCCTTTTGCAGGAGTAACATCTAAACCAAGAAATTTCTAACAAACCACCATTTCCCAATCTAGGAAGGTTGAGTTACTGGTTTCTGAACAAGCCAAGATCTCAAACTAGTTCAAACTGTGAAACGTTCTGGTTCGTTTCAAGTCTGGTAACCCTACTTTCCCAGTATGGGTGGAATGGGAAATCATGGTTAGAGATTTCCTGACCTAATTGAAGCTTGCAAAATGGGAGGGAAGGGGATGCAGACACAGGCAAAAAACCCCCGCCTCAATCAAAAACCAGTTTAAGCCAATATATGATTGTCCTAATGTGGCCAATGTTTCGGCTCAGCAAGACATTTCAAAAATGCTGTCAATATTTCTACAGGATGATAATCAGTTACCTCAGACATAGGAGTCCCCCAGAAGTCATTCAGGAAGAGATTTTTTAAAGGAGTAGAAGGATGCAAATCTTTGTTGTCCAAAATGGCTGAAACGTCGTCAAAAACAAAGCCACAAAACAGGCTGTTCCAATAGCAAGCTGCCACCACTCCAACTATTAGTGCAATTTCCTTTAGGTTAACATAAGCCATCTTCTCCGGAGCTCTCAAAAATTATAGCTGTGGAACAGATTCAAACATGTCTTAACAATATTTTTTTCCGTAAAAATCGGCATTTGCAAATCAAAATGGCTGATTTAACTAGCACAGCGTTTGCCAACCTGGTGCCCTCCAGAGTGTTTAAATCCAAGCCATATATTTCAGTGTTCTCACCTACTGGTATTTTGCCAGTGCGGTCATATGAATGGTGCAAAGGAGAAATAATAATAATAATAATAATAATAAATTTTATTTATATCCCGCCCTCCCCAGCCGAAGCCGGGCTCAGGGCGGCTAACAACAATAAAACAGTACAAAAGTACAGCATAAACAACAGTCTAAAATCATTCGTTATAAAATTAATTTTATAGAATTAGAATAGGATTAATAGAATTAATTTTTTAGAAACCTACAAACCTGAATCCTGAGATAACAAGAGGAGTCAGGGTAGTAGTGTTCATCCCTGTTTTAGATGGCGAGGGGATAAGATTTTAGTCTGCAATCCCATACCTGGGAGTTAGCCCTACTGAACACAAATGATGATTCCTTATGAGAATACATACTTAAGATTGAGCTGCTAGATTGAGTTTATAGGAATCATAGAAGTAGAGAATTGTAGAGTTGGAAGGGACCCTGAGGGTCATCTAGTCCAATCCCTTGCAATGCAGGGATCTTTTCCCCAACACGGGACTTGAACCCACAATCCTGGGATTAAGAGTCTCATGCTCCACCAACTGAAGTATCCCAGCAGTAAATAATTACTCCTAGCTCACAGCACTATAGTTTCACAGCTCTGCCTCTTAACCACCATACAGTGCTGGTCTCCAAAAGCAAATTTATGGAAAATTCAAACTATTCTTTCACTAATTGTTCCTTGTCAGGGTTTCAGGTCATTTCCCACCCCCATCAGTGAGATCAGCCACATTATAAAAAAAAAAAATACAGGAATTAGTTGCAGATACTGGCTTCTATTAACAACCTGGGGTTCACATTCTGATCTCAGGAACAAAGAGACATGCCCCAAAATATCACAAAGAATGCTTGCTGCTAAAAAAATATATTCAGTTTTGCTCTTTATATTAGAAGGAAACAACCACCTAGATTTTATTTGGGGTGTGCGTGTAATAATTTAAAGCAGTATAAACCTGATGACCAGCGTCTGCTGAACATCTTTAATAAAATCTTTGACTCACGTTTCAAGCACAGTATCTCTTCATTTAAGCATTCTCTTCTTTAAAAATCTGTTTTGAAGTCACTGTGATCAGCACTGGATTTTTATGGATCTTTACTAGAAAAACAGAGAATAATAATTATTATTATTAGCAAGATAGTTAACATTTTGCTAAAAGAACTGTGATTTCTCCATACAGTTACAAAGCCCTCACACCCAGATAGTTGAAAGCTGACAAAATATATATTTTAAAATACTGCAAGGTGTAAGAAACAGGATAGTATACAAATAATCATACATACAGGAAATAATTTAGGAAACCACTCTTTAAATTACTTCCAAAAGCATCTTCTGTTTCAATGCATAAATAGGGCTTTCCAACTGGCAAAGGGAACCCCATTAGTTTATATCTATTTTATAATTGATTTTATAGATGTAAATAGCTTAGAATCCAACTTGGCATATAAGCAATTTATACATTAATAAACAGTAACTAGTAACAATTTGAAGATACCTGTTTAACAAACTTGGCCTCTAATATATCAGAACTGGTATATTATTGTAGCATGTTACAATGTACACGTCCCAGATATACAGTTAAACATTTAGGTGCGGTGGGGAGGACGTTTTTGTCAATTCCCCCTCCCTACATCCCCTAAATCTGCTCCAGAGGATTGGGGGAGTCTCCAAGGGGCTGCAAGGGGCAGCGGAAGTTGCTAAACATTGCTTGCCTTCCTCTTCTGCTCACAGAAGCTTTAAAGTCAGTCTTGAAAGTGTGTGAAGAATGCTCAGAAGAGGGATCATAAACTCAGAGGTTTAGCCCATGCTTCACCCAGAGAAAATTCAATTTATGTCTGACTAGGAAAAAAAGGTCAAGTTTTACAAAAGTGAGGAATATACGTATACTGCTTTAATTTTGCATAAAGTTCACATTTTCTTTGTGCATCTTTTTCTGGGGGGGGGGCGCAGAGTCAAAAATTCACAGCATTCATAAAGATCTCTGTGCAAGAGCTCTTTGCCATTTACCTCACTGATCACAGCCGGATGCATATATTTGCACAGAGCAATCTAAAGCACCAATATGAATATGAGTGTCTCTCCATTTGTGCAATGTTCTGCTTGCATATTTGTAAAGATATTTTAAAAATTGTCCAGTAGCACCTTAGAGACCAACTACGTTAATTGGTCTCTAAGGTGCTACTGGACAATTTTTTATTATTATTATTTCTTTTGACTGCGTCAGACCAACATGGCTACCTACTTGAATCTTGCATATTTGTGTCCTTCAGAACTTCAGGTGAAGTATTCATTTCCAGTACAGTACACATTTATGCCATGGAATAAAGAATTGGGATGTGGGGTGGGAATTTTCTAGTGCTTTGCTTTCCCATGGAAATCTGTCCATTTTTTGAGTTCATTACTAATCATGCCAATTGCATGTACAGTATTCGGCAAGCTTGGCAGCAACCATTTTTAACTTAATTGACTCAGTATAAGTAAAATTAACATGTTATACTAGATTGTTCTCTAAGGCATTATAAATTTTTCTGTGAAAATTGCTTCAATTTACTTAGGAATGTTTTCTATGCCAACATTTTCCAGAAAACACACATCCCTAACATTCTACAGCAGAGAATTAAAACATACTTAGTAGGTTCTCTCTCTCTCACACACACACACATTTGGTGTGATGCATAGGTGAGAAATCAGAAGACAGTGAATGTATCTCACACTCTGGGAATTAGAAAATAAAAACAACCAAACATCAGAAAGTTCACAAGCTGTCATTTAAGATCTCCAGAAAAACACTACAGAGAAGAAAAAGAAAAGATAAAAACCAACAAAGAGAACTCGGTCTTCTTTTCTTCCTAGTGCTATTTAAAGAGCCGTTGAATGGAGACCTGCCTGCCATAATGCACACAGAAGGGATGCAATTTTTATGTCAGGGAAGATGTCGCTAGGATATAGGCACCCAATGGGAAATGGGCAGGTTTCTAATACAAACTAACAGGCATATATAGGAGTCAAAATCTACATTGAAAATGGATCATTTCTAAAGAGCTAGATGCAGCTAGATTCTCCCCATTGTTAGCTTTTTTAAAACAAAACAAAAAATCTTCTTAAAGTTGGTATACGTGGTTCTCCTGATTTAATCCCAGCAACAACCCTGTGAGGTAGGTTAGACTGAGAAGCAATGATTGTCCCAAGATGAGCTTCATGGCTGAGTGGGCATTTGAACCCAGGTCCCTCAAGGTCCTAGTTCCACACTTTAACCACGAGAGAAAACCATTTGGCATCCTCAACTAGAGAAGCTACAGAGACTGCTCTTGAGAAGACTACCTTTTGATCTGCCATCATGGACCAAGTTCTCACTACAGCAGGGATGGGGAACCTGTAGGCCTCCTAATGTTGATGGCCTATAGCTCCTATCACCCCAGATCATTGGACATGCTGGATAGAATGGTGCGAATTCAGAGTCCAACAACATTTGGAAGACCACAGGTTCCCCATTGCTGCCCAAAAGACTGGGCAGGCAACTGAGCCTTCATATGACCCATATGACTATTAATATCAATCAAGTACCTTCACTGTATTCTTATTGGCACCTGCTAGAAACATTCTTGTTCAGACAAGCCTACCCAAATGTTTAGAAAGCTGGTGCGAGTTTTAATTTGTTTCAGCCTGTTTTTGTTTTCACTTTTTGCATGTTTAAAACTATTGCTGTATACAGTGGTACCTTGGGATACAAACAGGATCCGTTCTGGAGCCCGGTTCACATCCTGAACATAACGTAAGACGTGACAGTGTGTCTGCGCGTGCTGCGTTTAGCCGCTTCCGCACATGCACGTGAAGTCATTTTGACCGTCTGCGCATGCGCGAGCAGTGAAGCCTGGAAGTAACGCGCTCCGTTACTTCCTGGTCGCCGCGGAGCACAACCCGAATGCGCTCAACCTGAAGCGTATTTATCCCGAGGTATGACTGTAATTTTTTTAGTGATAATATCATTGTTGCACCTTTTTTGGAAAGCACTTTGAGTTCTTTTCTACGATTAAGCGGTATATAAATTATATGAAATAAATAAGTAGCTGACAAGGTAATACTTCATCCCTAGGCATGTACATGGACTACTTGTATATTGGTGCACGCCCACAGGAAAGGTCTCTAGAGACACAGAATGTCGTATTTCCGAGTGAATTTACCTTTAGCCTACTGTAGAGAACCTGGAACAGACAAGGATTTCCCATGAGTCAAGGGAGCAAGGGAATCTTTTGTTTACATCTTCAGCATCTTCCCATCTTGCTAACTCAGCTACAAATGATTTCACAATTCGTCTCAAATGAAGAGGGATTATGCAAGAGCAGGCAACTGGAATTATACCACTAGTCTTGCCCCTTTTTTAGGCCTCAAGGAGAATGTTTGCTACTGAAAATATTGTTTGCCTGCAAAGGTGAAGGAATTTTTGGGAGTCTCCCCTTCAAGTAAAGGGTTTGACCACCAGTGCACAAAACTAATTGAAGACGTATGATCACTTAAAGAGTTGCTTGTTAAAACATCAGCTGGAATTTTTCTTTGTAGTGTCTGCAGATCTTGCATGTAGTCCAACAGGTGTTTCAAACATAGCATGCTGAGAAGATTAGAAAGAGAGTTGCCAGGCCTGGACTGGCCCTTTGGACATTACAGAGACGGCCGTGCTTCAATTCTTTCTAACATCCAAGGTAAGGATCTCCCCAAATGGAAGGGATCTTGGCTATGAGAAATAAAATGTGTTCGGAAAAATGAGTCATGCGTCTGGCTCATCCCTCTGTAGATTCACTCGGACAGCTCATGAACCATGGATTACATTTCAAATGACAATGCTGAGCACCAATGCCCTATGGGAGAACAGAAGTGTCTGGACATATTGTTGCACAAAACTAGATAGTATAACTAAGACATTGAATAGATCATATAGGGCAACTCAATGATGTAAATCTTCCTGAATTCACTAACTGTGAACAGAAAGATGTGTGCTACAAACTGTTTTGAGGAAGAAGCCTATTGTGCACTTGCCTTGTTAAAATGTGAATGGTGAAAAGTTGATTTCTTCAAAATGTGGTAGCCAGACTTTTGCCTGCAGCCCAACAACTGAAGCACAGAACTCCAACCTTGTTTCAGTTTCACTGATTACTTGGTTTCTAGGCTCCTTTCAAAGCAACAACTCGGCCCTTCAGTAGTTTTGGGACTACAACTCCCATCATCCTGAGCTAACAGGACCAGTGGTCAGGGATGATGGGAATTGTAGTCCCAAAACAGCTGGAGGGCCAAGTTTGGCCATCACTGCTAAACAATTTTGAACCTTGCTACCTCAAGAAGGGTCTGTCCCAGAGCTGCTGTTCTTTATGCCAACATCTTGGGTGGTTATGTGAACAAGCATGAGAGACAAAGCCTTCTTGGCCGTAGTGCTTGGACTATGGAGTACCTTCCTGGTATCTTTTTATATGGAAACAAAACATGTTTTATATTAGAAGGTTTCAACTGTATAATTTCTGCTGCTGGTTCTTATTTTTGATTGTTGCTTTTTGACAGGATTGCTTTAAGTTTATACTTTGCATAAAGGCAAAAAACTGGAAGATCCAGAATGCTGACCTTTCTGATGGTAATCTGACAAATATAGGAAGATGAAGTGCAGAATTGTAATATGAATCCATTCTCCACACCTGGTTTCACATAGTTACCCAAATCCAGAGGATCACACACCTAGAAACATTTACAGTATGAGTTTGAACTGCTGGCAAACTTGTTTTCTCCTGCTCCAGAGGATAGGAACTGAACCAATGGCTTCAAGTTACAAGAAAGAAGATTCTAACTAAATATCAGGAAGAACTTTCTGACAGTTACAGCTGTTCAACAGTGGAACAGGCTCCCTTGGGAGCTCACCTTCCTTGGAGGTTTCTAAGAAGAGACTGGATGGCCATTTACCATGGATGCTTTAGTTGAGATTCCTGTGTTGAAGGGGATTGGACTAGATGACCCTCAGGTTCCCTTCCAACTGTACAATTCTATGGTGCTTTCATTTTTAAAATTCAAACAAGCAACACGGGAAGTGACCTCATACTGAGTCAGCCCATTAAGTCCATCTTGCTCAGTACTGTCTACAGTGAACTACTGACAACTCCTCTCAAGGATTTCAGGCATGGGGCATTCCCAATCAAACCTTCTGCATGCAAAGCACTGTACTACAACCCTTTCCAAAATCTTCAAAAGGAGTTTGTGATATGGTGTGGAAATCCATTGTTTGGAAGAGAAAAATTTAGAAGTCCCACAGGACAATTAGAAGTCTTTGGGCTCAAACAGAGTAGATAGAAAAGCTATTGGACTGGGGCTTGAATCACCACATCCAGTTATACGGTATATTAAAAACATCTTTGTCGAACTGGAGTAGAGTCAATTACTACTTTTGCACCGACCATTTGGCATTCTGCACTGCGCTAATTGCTTTAAAATGTTTGTTTGTAAGGTATGCAAGCTTCTCTCCGAGCATAAAAAGAGCAATAATGCACTTATAAGAGAGCTATGATCTTTTTATTGGTTCTTAAAGAGAGAGTCTGGGAAGTGACAAGCTGATAATACCAAGAATATTCACATGTAACAGATTATTCCTTGTCAGGCTTATGCTAACAAAAAAAGGTCACATGAATAATGAAAGAAGACAATTAGAATGCCTTTGGTTCAGTATTGTTGAGCATCCCAATTACTGGACTGTTATTTACTCAAGCTGCTCAAGGCCGCTTATGATAAGAGGTCAAATAAAACAAAGCAACATTGCAGATGGGGATAAGCAGCCAGAACCACATTTTGCCTTAAAGTTTCAGGCTCCCCCCCCCCCCCCGCCCCAGCTCAAAGTCTCTAAATGGTGAATAGATACAATATAGATACAGTCACCAACAAACATTAAACCTTGCTAATAAATTATCTATGTAGAACGAAAGTGATACCCAAGTTTATATATAATTACTGTGTGTGTACTCGGGTATATGTTTCCTCTACCCTCTTCCTATTCTAAAATGAGTTTTGTTGCAGCCTTTTCTCAAAAGCATTCCTTAACAAATGTTATAGCATGTAGAATATCAACAAAACATAACAGCAGTCACTTTACACTACATTGCTACTATCTACTTGATGAAATCAACATCGTAACGAAAAACGCCACACGTTACAGTATTTGTAAGGTTTACTCATAACTTGTTACACAGTAACTGGAATCTCCACAGTATAAATACAGAGAAAGTAAGAGAAAGTAGCGCTTAAGCCCCATGTAACCAATCGTATCACTCAGTTGGAACTAATGTGCGGCCATATAACTTCGCTGCGGCTTGAGGGTGCAATCCTAAACTCGCTTACTTCCGGAGTAGATCCTATGGAATGCACAAACACTTGCTTCCGAGTAAAGATGCACGGGATTGTGCTGGGCCTACGGTGCACTAAGAAGTTGGGAAACACTTAGGTTTTCCCATGGGGCATGTGCAACTATTTCGTTGCAGCCACTATTTTCTGCACAGAGAGCACTTTCCTCTCTGCCCCGCCCCCCATATGCACGAAGAAATCCACGACTTAACTCGGGGGTCTTTACAAGCGTCACGTGTGAACACTCACGCTATACACTGCAAGCCTTTCCTTCGGACGACCATATCTTAGCAGCACATCCTCCCACCTTAAGGGAGACCGCGAGCTGCTGAATTGCACGCGAGGTCCAGCGCGCAATTCCAAAAGCAAAGGCTATATATCCCTACATCGGGTTGAATCCTGTACCTGGCATGGAAGCTGCAGCGCTCTCCTCGAGAGTCGCGCAAGAAGCCGCACCTGGCAGAGCCAGGCACCCCCGCCTCTTCCCCTCCGTCCCTCTCCCGTCCCCGTCGCGTGGGGGCCAGAGAGCCAGCCGCTCTCTTCTCTCAGAACCCCGACCCGAGAACTGCGCGCGATCCTGTACCTGGGTCCGCCTACGATGCACACGCTCTCCGCCATGTCTCGCTCCGCTGGTGCTTCAGCCGCACCTCCCTGGGAAAACCGAACCCGGGGCGAGCGATCGGAGCCTCCCTCCCGCAAGTGCGCACGCGCGGACACTTCCCCCTGTCACTCACGGAGCTCGGCAAAGGATGCTGGGAAGCCCGACTCCCTCCCCCGGCATTCCAAGCGGCGGATACTCCGCCGGCTTCTGCCACTTGGCCGGCGCGGAGCACCCTGGGATATGTAGTCCTCTCCGTGGCTCCCGCCCTTTCCCTTCTTCTTTAGCCTAAGATTTCTTCGGCGGTATCTTTTCCCTGCTGAAGGCCGCGGCATGCCGTGAACAAGCACGCCGGCACGCTCACTCGGGAAAGCGAGTCTGCCCTTGTTCAGTAGGAAGTCAGCCTCAGCGCGCGCCCTGTTCCCTTTCGGTCCGTTCACCTCAAGGCATGCCGGAACTTGTGGTCTTCGGCTGGGGCATGATGGGGGTTGTAGTCCCGCGGGAGTTTTGACTGGGCTCTCGCTCCAGTTAAGAAGATCCGGGTTCTTCCGGCTGAGGGCGAGCAGTGTTTGAGGGCGTCGCCTAGCAGCAGCGGCCTGCTCCGCCTCCTCCGTGAACGACTTGAGGAAACCAGCGAGCCAGAAGGAGGGAGGGAGGTTTTCGTGAACAAATAAACGCGGATTAACGTCGCCTGCACCTGGCGGGCGAGGCGGGGCTCCGGAAGGGGGACTAGCGGCCACTAGGCTGCCTTCCTCGCTGCCCGTTTGGCTCCGAGAGCGGAGAGGCGTTTCCTTGCCTGGGGAAACAAATGGCTGCAATCCTCGACCTGCTTCCTCTGGAGTAAACCTACTGGCTCACTGCGAAGCGCGCAGGAGAGGTTGCGTGGAGCCTCCGCATCCTAGGTATCCGGGGTAAAAAAGGCTCATAGCTTTGCCTCCTTTCCCAGCTGACCCACTTCGGAGGGTCTAGGGGCGCTTTCGAAAGGTTTATGACGAAGGCCTGTTGTGTGTGTGTGTTTAAACTCCTTTTAGAGAGTCTTGTAGTAGACATTGAAAGACCAGCCAATTTGTTAATCTTTTCTCCCCCCCCCCCCCCGTGAACCATAGGTTCAACTATATACCTCTATGTAGCTATATACCTATAACTGTATACCTTTATATATAGCTATATACCTATAACTATATACTTCTATACCTCAGCTATATACTCCCTGTGAACTATAGGTACAACTATATACCTCTATAGGTTTAGGGTGTACTCGCTTGAAAGTGTGTGCGCTTCAGGACCGTAGGGGTTGTGGACTTGAGCCCACCGCATCAGGTAAGGACATAAATAACCGAGCCATGCTCACCTGGCCCCACATCCTGTTCTCTCAGGGGATAAACAAGTGTTTGTGGGAATTCAGTGAGCAGGATCCTTGGCGTAAGATAGTCCTCTCCCCTCCTGAGGTTCCCAGCAATTGGTTCTAATGCCTCCAACTGTAGCAGCAGAGCAGAGTAACATATCCTGCCTGGTAACCATGAATGGTTTTCTCCATGAATTTGTCCAGTGTTCTTTTAAAGCCATCCAAGCTGGTGGCCACCACCGGTCTCCTGTGGGAGCAAGTTTGATGGTTTACGATGTTATCCTCACTTGACGGATATGCTACGTTGCATGAGGGATGGAAGTGGCGTGTGGAAACCTTACAACTACTGTATGAAAAACAAAAGGCACCGTCTGTACTTTAGGGTTTTCTTAGCAGGGACTCTAAAGTTGTGGGATTCAATCCCATGTGAGATCAACAAAGCCATGCACATATACTGTTAGAGTTGTCTTTTCCCTCTCTTGTATGACAGGAGTAGCTCAGGAGAGCCCCTCCTATAAGTGAGGGCTCCTCCTGAATTACTCCTGGTACAGTTAGAGATGTTAAAAATGGAAGAGATGCTGAAGCACTTGAGCACACAAGCAAGAATGTTTTGATTCTAATAATGACCTGTTTTGTGCTTCTGTTTATGTCATGAACAATGTCTAGTAAACTTTTGATTCCTTTGTAAATAGCTCAAGACGGGAATGACTACTTTTGTGGATATTTTCATGTCTTCTCAAAATACCTTTTCTTTTTGTGCAGAGATAAATGAACGTTCAAGATGGCGCCGATTTTAGAATGGAAGAAGGTTATGAAAGTAGATCCTGATTCTTTATCTCGTCAAGAGGAGCTAGCAGATACTTTGCTGGAGATGTTGGCTAAGGTATTTTGAACAGTGAATTGAGCATTTTATGTGAAGAAACTAAATGGATATAATGCTTAATATTAAACTGTTTAAGAGTAATAGAGTATTTTGCTTTTATCTTTAGGTTGATGGAAGTGATCTGAAGGATGAGAACCCTGAACGTTTAATTCAGCTTTTTAAAATTTCTCAGTCACTAATGAGGGTCAGTACTGATGCATCCTAATTACTTCTAAGAAGCAAATTGTGCATGAGCATGAGCTTTCCATTCCAGGCTAGGCAGCAATGCAAAGTCTATTTCCTCCATCCTAGGGCAAACTCTCTGCTTGCAGCCTTTCCCCTCCAGCCAAGTCAGCAGGTGCCCCCAACAGTAGTAAGTGCAGTTGTTCTTGTCAGGAGCGTGGCAAAAGTCCATCTTGTTGCGGAAAGTCAGTCTTTTTCACTTAATCTATGATGGAAGTTTTGATGTTTGTGTCATAGGGTAATTACTGTTTTTTTTACAGGGATAAATTAGAATTTTGAAGTGAAACATGTCATTTTGGCCTGCCCATCTACAGTTCCTTTGGTTGATAAATGAAATTAGGAAAAATGTGACAGAAATGCTTTTTCATAGTTAATGCAGTAGTGCAACCATCTTGAATGCTAGTGACAGTGCCCTGAGTAATTTGAGTTTTGTCCTCCTGGTCTACAGGAAGGTGTACACCCGTTGAAAGATTCCCAGTCCTCAGTCTGAATAACCCTGTTAGGAAACAGTCTAATTTCCCTGGAGTTTTTCTTCTGGGTCTTAAAGTTTTCTACCCAATTCCTATGTCAAGTGTGAAAATGAGAAAGTTTCTTGGTTTCTGATGCATAGTATAGAGGTTCCTTATTTTTTTTTTGAGCTAAGGGTTGCATGGATCCATTCCCAACCCCACAGGAGCTGAAAAGTGGGCATGGTCATTTTTCAAAAGGGCACATTTGGAAATAGCTGGATGAATCGCTCCCTGTTGCTTGCTTTATATGATCTGCTGAAATTTATAACGGATGCATTCCTCCAAACTAAAACCTCTGCTTGCTTATATTGTGTTTACCTGTGTGTAGCAACATGCATCTTCTTTTAGTCTACATAATTTTGTAGCTTCATATGTAATTATTTGTTCTGGGCACGTGTCTTACTTCTATTTTTGTTGTAGATGAAAAATCAAGAAGTAGAACTGGCATTGGAAGAAGTTGAGAAAGCTGGGGAGGAGCAAGCCAAATTTGGTATCATCAGTTTTTGTGGATAAGTAACACACACTTACATTTACACTTGTATATTTACAGGTTTCAGCAGGGTCAGTAGATGCTGATGGAAACTTCCATTAGAAGTTAAAGCATATTTAAGTTCCTGAGTTCAGTTATTTATAGTGACAGTCCATCAACATGTGATTCGCCATTTCTCCTCTATTGCTTGTTTTATTGTTTTCAAAACTATGTAAAGAGTATTTTTTTTACAAAAAATATCATAATGTAGCTTCAATTTTGTTGTTACAGTCATATCTCAGGTTGAAAGTGCTTCAGGTTGAGCGTGTTCGAGTTGCGCTCCGCGGCAACCTGGAGGTAACAGAGCGCGTTACTTCCAGATTTCGCCGCTCGCGCATGCGCAGACACTCAAAATGACGTCATGCGCAGAAGCGGCAAAACGTGGCACGCGCCATCGCGGGTTACGTTGCATTCAGGATGCGAATGGAGCTCCAGAATGGATCCTGTTCGCATCCCGAGGTACCACTGTACTAAAATTTGATTCAAATAAGTCACTCATTGTAATGTTAGCAGAGGTTGCCACCAAGCTTATTGTAGATTTCATTTGGAGGCTTATGGAAATATATTTTGGTAATTTTGTGTGTCTTGTTTATTCTAACAGAAAATCAGTTAAAAACTAAAGTGATGAAACTGGAAAAGGAGTTAGAGGTATGTCAAAATGTAAAGTTGCATTTTATACTATTTATTCTGTTCTTGGTGGTACTAGTTGATGTATAGCATTATTAAGTTATTATTTTTTTTATGGGCATTGGCAAAGCAATCCTAACGAGAGGCAGGGCAGTGGTGGAGTGGAACAGCAAGTCCACCAATACATTCCAAGTACTGCTGGCTCGTTCTGGCCAGGGCAGAAGGAGTGGGAAAGAACATATTTTCTGCTGTGCCAGCCTTGACACCCTTATGAGACCCAAACCCCACTGTGGAACATCCCAGCTTCATACTGGCAAGAACTGCTGGTGATAGCTTTCCATGTGCCTGAGGAAAGTTTAGCTTTCTTTATGTGCAGTCTCCCCCTGGAAGATGGAAGGGAGGAAACTACATATAATCCTAACCCCTTCCCATCGTAAACATTGGAGAGGAGAATAGGATTGCGTTTCTAGTCTTTATTTTTAACATTTTATTTTATTTTATTAAACGTAAACAGAACATTTGGGGACATAACTATAAATTGTAAGTGTGTAATTCAACCTTTTAAAGTTAGACACTTTTAAACGCTGTCCTGCAATTTCAAAGGGCAAATGAAATAAGCAGGACTTAAATTTGCTTAACTGTGGGAAGGTCAGACCCTTATTGGTCGAAATCACAGCTATATTGATCACAGGTTTCATCTGTAGCATAGTGCCTTTAGAATGTAGCAAAGGCAAGTTCCTACTGCACGCTATAACAAAATCACTTTTAGATTTTCCTTCATGTATTAAACATAGTGGGAATATAAAACAGCTAAAAATATATAATTGTGCATAGTTAGTCCTTTAAGACATACCTTTATTTTAAACCATTTGAATTTTTAAGCTGAAATATGTTGCAGTACAAATACTAGATTAAAGTCAGGTATAACCTGACTTTTCCCAACTTGTGCAGAATGAATGAATGCAAAATGTTTGTGTGTGTGTGTGTTGAAATTTTGATTAAAACAGTTCTGTACTGTCCTGCTTACCTTAACTGGAAACACATTAACAGCTTGTTAAATTTTAATGGTGCTTTAAGGTAGCACATCGATCTACTGGTGGTCGTGATACTCGCTTTTTGCGTGATGAGATCCGTCAGCTGGAAAGGCAGATGGAACAAAAAGACAGAGAGTTGGCAGATATGGAGAAGGAGCTGGAGAAAGAAAAGAAAGTCAATGAACAGGTATGCAGTATTTTAAGCAGACATCTGTAAAACTGTGGAAAATAATATAAAATTGAAGACTTGTATTGAATAATAGCAATAGAAATGGGAAAAAGTTAATGATGTATGCATTTGCACGAAACAGAGGTTGTGTATGCACTATGAGACCAGGAATTTAGAAATATACAGTAGTGTCTCGGGTTAAGTACTTAATTTGTTCCGGAGGTCTGTTCTTAACCTGAAACTGTTCTTAACCTGAAGCACCACTTTAGCTAATGGGGCCTCCTGCTGCTGCCGCACCGCCGGAGCACGATTTCTGTTCTCATCCTGAAGCAAAGTTCTTAACCCGAGGTACCACTGTAATGCAGTGCAGTCTTGTCCAGTTTTAGGAGGGGCAAAGGGATGAAATATTTTGTTCACTTCAATCCCCTGCCCCCCCCCAGTGGCAGCAGTACAGAGGGATCTTGGGACTGGAGCAAGCTGTGAGGGGAGAGGGATTGGCAATATGGTGGGAGTGGGTTGGCAGGTAGGCTGAGATCAGTTGAATGGGTTTAAGGAGCTGTGAGGGGATGTGGGCTTTGGGTGAGTTGTAAAAGAAGTGGACTGGCAATAGCGTTGAAGGGTTTGTTGGGGATAGTTGGTAGGAAGGATTGATGAGAAATGCAAGCAGGAGCTGCCCTCCCCTTGTGTGTGTTTGTGTGTATCTATATACCTATCTATGCATATATAATATGATATTTACTATTCATGTACTCCAAGAGTGTTGATACCTCCGGAAAATATGCCTTCCTTGTGAACTTGATACATTTTCTTAGCTAACTAATTTTGTTGTTTTAGCTTGCTCTTCGAAATGAGGATGCAGAAAATGAAAACAGCAAGTTGAGAAGGGAGGTTAGTGAAGAACTTTGGAATCAATGCCTGTATGATTGTTTGATTGACCTTTCCTCCCATGCATGCAGTTCTCCCTCCCTCCTCTGGTTTAAAATAGTATTTTAAATAATTTAGAGTGAGACTGTTGTAGGCTCTGGATCCATTCCAGTCCGGCTTCCGCGCTGGTCATGGGACCGAGACGGCTCTGGTTGCCCTAACAGATGATCTTCGTAGACAGCTGGATCGAGGCGGGTCGGGGCTGCTGATTCTTTTAGATCTGTCAGCAGCTTTCAGCATGGTCGATCACGAACTTCTGGACCACCGCCTTGCCGACGTGGGGATCCAGGGCACAGTCCTTCAATGGCTGCGCTCGTTTCTCTCTGGTCGGGGACAGAGGGTGGCGCTTGGGGGGGAATTGTCATCGCACCACCCCTTGGTGTGTGGAGTACCTCAGGGTGTGATACTCTCCCCGATGCTTTTCAACATCTTTATGCGCCCCCTCGCCCAGCTTGTCCGGAGTTTTGGGCTGGGTTGCCATCAGTATGCTGATGACACCCAACTCTATCTGTTGATGGATGGCCATCCTGACTCGGCCCCAGACACACTGACCAGATGTTTGGAAGCTGTGGCTGGATGGTTACGTGGGAGCCGGTTGAAGCTAAATCTTTCGAAGACAGAGGTCCTGTGGCTGGGACGGGACGATATGGGATTGAGGGGGCAACTCCCATACCTTGCGGGGGCGCAATTAGCGCCAGCACCGTCCGTTAAGAGTTTGGGTGTAATCTTCGACACCTCCCTTTCCATGGAGGTGCAGATTGCAGCTACAACAAAGGCGGCATTTTTCCATCTCCGCCAAGCTAAGCAGTTGGCTCCTTACCTCTCTCGCCCTGACCTAGCCACTGTGATCCACGCGACGGTCACCTCCAGACTGGATTATTGTAACTCGCTCTACATGGGGCTGCCCTTGAGACTGACCCAGAAACTCCAGCGGGTGCAGAATGCTGCAGCGAGACTCCTTACGGGGTCTTCGCTGCAAGATCACATTCACCCGGTGCTATACCAGCTGCACTGGCTCCCGGTGGAGTACAGGATCAGGTTTAAGGTGCTGGTTTTAACCTTTAAAGCCCTATACGGCCTAGGACCCTCGTACCTACGGGACCGCCTCCTGGTATGCCCCACAGAGAAACTTACGGTCTTCAAATAAAAACATCTTGAAGGTCCCAGGCCACAGAGAAGTTAGGCTGGCCTCAACTAGAGCCAGGGCTTTTCGGCCGTGGCTCCGATCTGGTGGAACACTCTGTCACAAGAGACCAGGGCCCTGCGGGACTTGACATCTTTCCGCAGGGCCTGCAAGACAGAGCTGTTCCACCAGGCCTTTGGCCAGGGCACAGCCTGACTCCCTCCCTCGGCAATCTTCGTGGAGCTCTGGCCCAATGGTTGCCAGTGGCTTGAATTAATTAATTTTATAATGAATGATTTTAGAGTGTTGTTTGTGCTGTACTTTTGTACTGTTTTATTGTTGTTAGCCGCCCTGAGCCCGGCTTCGGCTGGGGAGGGCAGGATATAAATAAAATTTTTTATTATTATTATTATTATTATTATTATTATTATTATTATTAGGGTGGCAAGGACTTGTGTTACTAAGGAGTATTTTCTGTTTCATAGGTGTTCTTTATAACCTGCTTGTTTTCTTTGTCTTACTGTCACAACTGTTTTATCAGGCACTGTACTTCTAACCTGCTGTCTGTCTATCATTTCTTACCTCTGGCTTGTATCCAAGTCCTAAATATATATTTTAAATTTAGGCCCATGAATTTGGAATGATTTAAATCACTGCGATGGGTGAATTCTGATGCAAGGAGAAAGGAAGTCTTCACCTTCTTGCACAAAAATCTCTCACATTAACTTATTAGCCACTGCCAACATAAATCTCATAGCATTACGCTGTTAATGTGCTTTTTTGATGTTTCCTGGCCAATTATGAACAGCTCTCTTCTTTTTACTTTTAAGCTTTCCTAAGTTATATGTTAATTAGCTTTGATTTTTTTTCTTATTCTACTCTATTTCCTTTGAAGAAAAAGCGAAGAAAAAAGAAGGTGAGTATTCAGCTTAATAGTTTGTAGGATTACTGGATGTATTTGTGTGTGATATTGTAGTTTGTTTCAGATACTGTAGATCACACATTGACGTGTGGCATTTATTGGCACACTTCAAATGCTTGATTTGTATAATTTTTCCAATTCCTCCTGTATGTCTTATGCAGAATGAACAACTTCGTCAGGATGTAATTGACTATCAGAGACAGATAGATACACAAAAAGAAACACTTCTTTCACGAAGAGGAGAAGAATCAGATTACAGGTCACAGTTATCAAAAAAGAACTTTGAGCTTGTCCAGTATCTAGATGAAATTCAGGTAAACTTAAAGGGGTTGCCCTTGTCTTGCCTTTATTTTCAGAATTTTGAATCTAATATAAACCTTCAGACTCTATTATTCTATCTAGTGGGCTTTCGGAGTCTTTCCTGTCCCAAGGATACTTAGTTAGGCATTTGGGTTATTGTGAGGAGTACTTCACCTTTCAATAACTAGAGAAATTTGTTACAGTGGTGTTTTAATTTATTTTTATCCTGCTTTTCTACAATAATGACCAAAACAGCATACAAGTATCAGTGTATTAAAAATTATTCAAATTGTTTTTTGCTGTATATTGATACAATCAGCAGCACGAAAATAGCAGAAGATAATTTAAAACATCAGCATTCAGTGAATTTTGTATCTTCTGCTGATATGAAGATGGCATAGCTCCAATTTTTCTAGATGGACGTCAGTATGACACTTAGGATATGGCTCTTAAGATCTCTTGATTATTAATGTTGCAGATGGCTTTGTTTTAGACTTTGGGGCTAAGAAGTAAGTGAGTAATATATTTCAGTGGATACAGCAGTGGTTGTCAGTTGTGGTGGTCTTGTGGTAAAAATTAATCCTACTTTACTTAGATCTAGGGTTGGCTCTATCAGTCTATTTTTGAGTTTGCCAGAGCTGGCTTTTTTTCAATTTTGAAATGGGTTTCTCATTATAAATATTTTACTTTTAAATTCATAGAGTTTGACTGAAGCTAATGAAAAATTAGAGGCTCAGAATCAGGAAATGAGGAAGAATCTAGAAGAATCGGTGCAAGAAATGGAAAAGATGACTGATGAGTACAATAAAATGAAGCTTATCGTGCAGCAATCTGACATTGTTGTGGACCAACTAAAAAAGGAAAAGGAACAGTATAAGTTTCAGGTAAAATGTAACCTACCTTCTTTCCAGAATCAGATTAGTAAAGATACTGTACAACTATAAAAGACCTTAAAATTGGAATACAATGGACCAAAACAGAGAGATCAAATCAGAAAGATGACACTTCCTGCGTGACCACTGAGTGATGACAAATTGATCATTAAATAAGTATTTGATTCACTTAGCAAATAGAGTAAAAACTGGATAACCATTGATTCCCTTTGTTAATGCATTTGGAGTAATATACACATAGCTTGTATTTTCATACGTCATATTTCAGTCATCATATATCAATGGTATCTTACAGGTGCATGAGTTAATGGAGCAACTTAAAGCAAAGAATGAAGAAGATGACCCTCTCATGGCAGCTGTGAATGAAAAAGTGGAAGAATGGAAGGTATTGCATATCTTATTTCAGCTACCTTTTAAGATTTATGTTTTGTTGAAGATTTTCCACCTTACCATATTCTACTTTGCAGGGAATCTTGGCTTCTAAAGATGAAGAAATCATTGAGTATCAGCAAATGTTGTTAACTCTGAGAGAGAAGCTGAAAATGGCCCACCTTGATGCTGACAAGAGCAGCGTTATGGCCCTCCAGCAGGTAGTTTTCTGTCCAATAAGAAGAAACCAAACAAATATTTGTGTTAAACATTAGAAATCTATGCATTGAGTATAGAGTACAACACAATGAACAGAAAAAGTTTACTTTATGTCCCCGTTTTAGAGGGGAGATATTACAGATTTTGCCATCAATATATGTGCTTTCAGTGTACAATGTATTATGTAATCTTAATAATACGAACTAATAATAATTTTATTATTTTTACACTGCCCATCTGGCTGGGTTTCCCCAGCCACTCTGGGTGGCTCACAGCACATATCAGAACATACTAAAACATCAAACATTGAAAGCTTCCCTAAACAGAGCTGCCTTTATATGTCTTCTAAAAGTCATATAGTTGTTCATTTTCTTGCCATCTCAAGAGAGGGTGTTCCACAGGGAGGGCGCCACTAACAAGAAGGCTTGTTGAGGGCTTTAAAGGTCAGCGCCAACGCCAACACTTTGAATTGTGCTCGGAAACATACTGGGAGCCAATGTAGGCCTTTCAGGACCAGTGTTATATGATCCTGATGGCCACTCCCAGTCACCAGTATAGCGACTGCATTCTGGATTAGTTGTAGTTTCCGGGTCACCTTCAAAAATAGTCCCACATAGAACACATTGCAGTAGTCCAAGTGGGAGATAACTAGAGCATGCACCACTCTGGCAAGACAGTCTGCGGGCAGGTAGGGTCTCAGCCTGCGTACCAGGTGGAGCTGGTAGACAGCTGCCCTGGACGCAGAATTGACCTGTGCCTCCATGGACAGCTGTGAGTCCAAAATGACTCCCAAGCTGTGTACCAGGTCCTTCAGGGGCACAGTTACCCCTTTCAGGACCAGGGAGTCCTCTACACCTGCCTGTCCCTCCGAAACGGTACTTCTGTCTTGTCAGGATTCAGCCTCAATCTGTTAGCCACCATCCATCCTCCAACCACCTCTAGACACTCACACTAGACCTTCACCGCCTTCACTGGTTCAGACTGGTTCCTACTTATAGAGTAGGTTCACTGGTTCACCCTCACTGGTTCCTACTTATGAAATATGAAACCTAAGTTTCATTTGGAGGGGAAATCTGATGACTTCTCCATGTGTTAGGATTTTAAAAGATGTTGTAGACCAAGAATGTGTATCTGTTAAAACAGTGCTTCATTTTCTAATGAGCTGCATGTATTAAAACTTACTATAAACTTAGCTGAAACATATATATATCTTTTCCAGCATGAACTATACCTTCTTTCACATGTTTACATTTTATTATGTTATAATCTTATGTTATACCCAACTATGTCACACACTGAATAGACACACTGAAATCAAGCAATTTAAACTAACCTGAGATGATTGATTTCAATGGATCCACTTCAAGTATAACTTATGGTCTTCAGACACTAAACATTTAGCTCTGAAGTTGAGGGTCACTATTCATCAGTGGGGCTGTGGCCCTATTTGAAAGCATGCCAACTTCTTTGCCTGTTCCTGCCAGCGGGGCCTTCAACAATGAACAGCAACCTCTGGTTTACCTTTTGCTTGTACTTTCTCCAAAAGTGCAGAGTGAGGGGGGGTGGTAGCACTTCTCCCCAAAAAATCTGTGGACCCCTGGAATATTCTCATGCTATAATTTTAATGTGGAAACTTCACATGCATGTACTGTGCACCCATAGTAACTAACATGTGGCTCTTTGGCATATGTTACCCTAGAGTAAATTATGAAAAGAACTGTTGTATGCAGTTAAAATGTTAGTTCTGTTTTCATATAACAGTATAAGGTAAGTAATATCTGTCTGGACCAAAGTACAAATTAAACTGAGTTTAGCTTTAAAAAAAGTGCCTCCTTTTTATGATGATGCAGGATGTGCATTTTATTTTTACCTCTCTGCTTTTATTTTTGCTGCTTTTGCCTTTCCTTGTCGTTCTTCTAGATAATATCAGAACTCTATGTTGTAAGTACTTCTGTTTTTCTTTTAACATTGATCTTTTGTTTCTTAATGGCTTACTATCAGTGCTATTAAATAGGTACCAAATTATATTTTTTCAGGGTGTGCAAGAAAGAGACAGTCAGATCAAACTGCTCACGGAACAGGTTGAACAGTATACGAAAGAGATGGAAAAGAATGCAGTGCTTATTGAGGACATGAAAAGAGAACTTCAAAAAGAAAAAAGTAACTTGTTTATGTGTTTTGTGTAACTTTAGCAATATGTTTTGATTGGATTTGAAACTGATTTTATAACCTGGTTAAGACTCAAGTTTGGTTAGTGTTAACCATGATTCTTGTCTGTGCTGAACCCATTTATCATGACTAATACTGTGGATTTTGTGCATGAGACAAGAAAGCACATATTCTTGTGGACCACTACTGAGTGGGAGCCTTATGTCTGCATGGCCTCATTATGATACGTTTCAACCAGTTGGAGGGCCACATGCAGAGGCCAGTCCTCTGCAGGCCACTTCCACAAGTGGGCCAAACCACCCACCAGTCAATCACCTGAGTTAATATGACGTCAGGTGATTAAAACTTCAAGCCATGGCTGTGAAGGAGGATTCTTCCTTTCCTAGTAGCTGAAGCTTTCCCCATGTCTGCATCAGAGGACGTTAGGTATGGGAGAGGTAGGTATTGGTTATTCCAAATGTCCTGCTGGATCTAATTAAGCCCAGAGGTTCCCTACCAATGGCCTGAACCTTTTATGGATATTTCATTTCCTGTTGTATGTCTTATGGTGCGTTAATGAATATAAACCATTCTTCCTGAGGTCTCACACATTCCACAGGCAGGTTTGTCCTTATAACTTCAGATGTTTGATCTTCCTTTGGAGAAAACCTCACCCAGTTCTGGTCCTGCTTACTGCATGGAAGCAAGTTCTTACAGAGCTCCTGCTTTTGTATGCAAGACTGAATATTTAATGCTCTCCCCTTCCTGAATTAGATATATATGATGGGAAGGAGGTTTGATTGTTACTCGCTGTGAGTCTCTTAATTTGAATTCACTGTCAGTATGTCTTCCAGTTAGTTTCTCACCAACTTTCTATGAACGTCTGTTGTATTTTTTTAGGTCTGTCATCTTCTGCTCAACAGGGCCATATTGGGAACATCCAAGAGAAATTACATACGTTGGAACAGAAAACCAAAGAAGCTGAAATGGTAGCAGAACTTGCAGAAGCTGATGCAAGGGAGAAGGACAAAGAACTTATTGACACTCTGAAAAGAATGCGAGATTATGAATCAGTATGTAGTTTGATTTGATACAATACTCTAAAAGGGTATGGGGAAGACAATAGCAAATTTGTTAAATGGGTCACACATACTTATAAATAATATGTCCCTGAGGTGATGAAAAAATCTGTCCTGGAGTCCTTTTTTTTTATTTATAATTTCTGTCCATGCCAGATCTGCCCCTTCCCTTGAATATATTAAATTAGCCAAAGTTGTTAGACCATAAATAGGTCGATGTCTTGTGATCATGACAGCAGAACCACAGAAAAGATGAAAATTCATTAAGTTTAATTATGCACATATATATCGAGCCAGTGACCCATCTAGTCCAGCCTCCTGTTCTCATAGTGCCAACCAGATGCCTGTGGGAAGCTTGTTAGCTGCAGCCCTCTTCCCTCTTGTGGTTTCCAGCAGCTGGTATTCAGAAGTCTCCAACAGTAGAGGTAGAACATATCTATCATGGTTAGTAGTCTTTGAAAGCCTTATCTTCCGTGAATTTGTGTTCCTATATTTCTTGGTTAATCCATTTGGTTAATGCACTTCTTAGTTTATCTGCTTTTCCTTTTCTAAGGGAATTTATGGCCTGGAAGATGCTGTTGCTGAAATAAAAGATTTGAAAAAGCAAATTAAAATAAGGGATCATGAAATTGAAACATTAATTAAAGAAGTTAACAAACTTGAACTTAAAATCAATGATTTTCTTGATGAAAATGAAGACCTTCGTGGACGACTGGGTATGTATCATGTTAACTCTTGGAGATATTTAATTGTACAGCGGCCCTTAGATAACCTTCCTATGACCAGGGGGACTGCAAACTGAAAGCAATTGATCCTCTTGTGCTGCTCTATCCTGTTCCATTTCCCCCTTATTTTATTCTCACTGGAAACAATGGAAGTGAAAGAAATGGGACTGAACTACCCCTGTTCCACGGCTATCATACGCTCTGGTTTAGGAACATGTTGGGACACTGGAAAGGCGTTGGATCTTTAGGAACCAGTTGTTCCCCTGGTATGCCCCAGCAAACCCATGACACTGAAGCTCCAGTGTTAGGACAAGGACAGCAGAATTTTTTGTGGCAGTGGGGAAGGACCATCTGACATCATGTAATCAAAAGGTTGGGTCCTCTCTCTCCCCACCTTCCCTGAGAGCAAGAGATGCAGGGCTTATTATGACCCCTGTGCCAAAAGTGGAAAGTGCAAATAATTACAGAAGAAGTAGTCTCCCAGGGACAGTGTGAGAAACGTTTCACTAGGATCTGAGAGTTGGTTTATTTGCCATTGTTAGGAAGCGTCTAGAACTGCCACCTAGTGCATGCTCGTAAGTGTATATGAGAGTGCAGTTAGAGAATTCTAGAGCATATTGCTGCTTTCAATGAACAATCTGAAAGCAACGGCTGTGGACTGCTCCTAGTGTGGCTTGCTAAATGAGGATCTTAGCAAAAATATCCAACTGAGTGATAATGTAGGAGGACAATTCCCTCCCTACCCTAGATCCCTCAGGCCATCATCCTTGACTGGAATTCTTCTAATTGAATATACAAATTTCTGCAATGTATTACATTTCAGGTCTTGATCCCAAGACAATGATTGATTTAACGGAATTTAGAAACAGCAAAGCACTGAAACAGCAGCAGTACAAGGCTGAAAACCAAATCCTGCTGAAAGAGGCAAGTGATAAATGGACATAGTCATGATTTTCTTGTCTAAGCATCTCAGTTGATTCATCTCGATACCGTTTCAATAAGATTGAAATAATAATAATAATAATAATTCTAGGCATTTGAATACATTACAGATTGAAAGACTAGAAGAAGAAAGAGTTGCCCTGAAACAACATATTCGTAAACTGGCTCAGGAGAAAGGAAGAAGAGCTGCAACATTAGGTAGGCTGTCTCTGAAGTTACTTTGCGCCATGCAGCAAACAATAGATGATTCCAGAAGAACATCTTTGTTTATCTCTTGGAACAGTCTGAATAATGACTTTTTGGTACTGCTGAGGAAACGAATTAAACAATCCTTCTCAAATTCATTGAACTCTTGTTGGGAATCTAGTGTGGTCTTTGGTTTCTATGACAGTCCTAAACAGATGATTATAGCATTTGCCTTTGAATATATATCTAGAGGGAGATGCTAAACCTCCCTAGGTAATCTGATCTGCTAAATTGTTTCATTTAAGCAATATCTGCCTCCTGTGAGATCTCGGCATCCCGGCTGGCCAGTTCCTATCTGTGTTCTATCTAGACCCTTAATCTCTTCCTAAATCAGGTTGGATGTGTGAGGACCAATGTTTTTGTGGTGCAGGCTCCTCAGAGATAATGAGAGATCTTTCTTTTAAGTTACGTACAGAGTTTTTTCACATGACTTGCTTTTGAGACTTTTTATTGCTACTGAGGTCAACCTTGCATTGTTTTAAATTTTAAAGTACTGCTTGTAAACTTTGTTCTGAGTAGGATTGGATACAGATGACCTACAGCTGATTGATACCTTTACTGAAGATCTGAAGATGAGAAGGAGTAAATATGAGTTTATGAGTACAGTTAACGTTGACGAGGTTAAAGAAAAGGTAATGGCCTAAGTTTTATTCATTGTAAATTCCATTTTGACTGATTTCTTAGATTGGAGTATCATTGAATTATCTTTTTAAAAAATAAAAATAAAGCATTGTATACAAAAAAAATCTATATTGAAATTATTTAATGTGTGGCCATCTTGTTAATTGCTTTCACGTATAATGAATGCTGATCTTTATTCTGTAAATAGCAATTAGTGTAGTACAGAAAGAAAAGCATAGCTTCTCCTAAAACAATACTCTTTTCCCTGTTGTGGGAGACAACGGAGGAAAAAAGTAAAACTTTGAGGAATGGATTGAGAAGATCTGGAACGTGTTAAAAGTTTATTTCTCTGAAAAAGTGAAAGCATATTTTCTTTTCTTTTCAGTTGAGTTTTCAGCTTGATTCAGAGATACAAGTGAATGATAACTGTGATGGCTCCGAGTCTTTTACAGTAGAGGAACTTTACAGTTCAGTAAAGCAGCAATCTAAAGAAATGCTAGGGACAGCTTTATGTCCGGTCAGTTACAGTGAATCGAAAGAACTGAGAGCAGACTGTCCACTATCATTTTCTGCTATGCAAGGGAAACAAAGGGCTAGTAAAAGACGACAAAGACAGGAAAGGCAGATGAAGAGAACTGAAGCATCTCGGGTTCAGACCCTGTCACTGGATTTCCAGGAAGGGCTGCCTCTTTCTCTGCTTGGAAAGCCAGTGTCCTCCTATGTAGTGCAGGAGGTCCTGTTGCGAGATGAGAAGGACAATTCTGAAATAAAATTGTTGGATTTAAGAACTGATATGAGAGAGATGGGGAAAGACCAGATCTATTTTCCAGAATCATGGCCAGTAGAACACATGGATGAAGGACTTGATTGTGGCCTGCGAATGAATACATATCAGATAGATCGAGTTGAGAGTCTTATAAGGCAGTTGAGGAGTGAATTAATGTTCCTTAGGTCAGAGGTGAGACATCTTCGTATGTGCTTAAATTTGTGCCTTCCATAATTGATTTGTTTTGTTTTGTTTATGAATCGCTTCATTTGAAACATCTTGAAGCGATTACCAAGTAAAACAATTTCATATTTAAAACTAATCCACTGTAATACAGATGAATGTGCCGCATTTGCAAACATGTTTTATATATATATATATATATATATATATATATATATATATATATATCTATATCTATATCTATATATATATATATCTATATCACACACACACACACACACGCTTTCTAGAGTAAAGCATAAAGACTGGGACTTCAGAAACCCAAACCAATTATTTGTCACTGTCTGGTGTTAAGATTGGCTGTACTCGCCCATAAAAGTGTTTGAGAATGTTAGTATCATTGCATCATTACAAAAAAGATCATCCCAGTAAAACGGCAGTGACTGTGTTATTGATAGATACCTTGTTGTGACTCATTATGAAAGGCAACTACAAATAATTAAAACTGAATTGTGAGGCATATAGAATGTGAAAGTCTTTAGGAGTTGAAATTCAAATGCATTAATTATTACTTGTTCTCTAGAACGAGCAGATATTGAAAGACTTGTTCGCCAAGAATACCCTGAATAAAAGCGCAGAGCTAGAGCTTGACAGACACAGGAGCCAGGAGTTTGAGGTAGTTCAGGGTTTCCCCCTGAGAGATAAAGTCATGATAGTCCATATTAAGAGACTAATAAGTATTTTTCTAATAACTTAGTATAATTTGACTGAATATACTGTCATGCAAATTGTAGCGTTCCCTTTTTACAAAAACATTCTTATTCTTATTATTCTCTCCTTATTACAAAAACATTATTGCTGTTTTGTTTGAAATACATGAAATGCAATATGCTGTCATACATTGTTCAAAATGCAGGTTAGATATGATTTTTTGTCTCATTTAACATTTTTTCAACAACTCAGTTTAAAAAATGAGCCTTTTTAAAGTTCTGGAAACACATTTTTATGGCAATTCTGTTTTTATTGGCAGAATAACTACCTTACCAAAGAATTAAAGGAACGTGACAGGGACTTGGAACAAAACAGGGCCATGATAGCCAAGTTTCAATTGAAATGTAAGCATAAATTTTAATTTACCTATAAAATAAAAGTGCTAAAGCAATGGTTAATAAGTCAGGCAAAAATACACCATCTTGTTGTTTTGTTTTATAAATCTTGCAAACCTTGTAGTATCTACATTGAATCCAAGTTTGAAAATATTTTCTGAATGAATCGTTTTGAGTAACAACTCTTGCTAAAATTCATTAATATCTCCTCTTGGACGTGTGGATACCATAACTAGAAAACCAGCTGAAATACATATGAACTTGCAATTGTCCATTGCAAAGTGCGTGGAAATGAACTATATGTAATGTAATTGCAGTAAAAGAATTGGTACAAGAAAATAAGCACCTTGAAGAAGGCATGAAAGAAATCCTACAAGCTATAAAGGACATGCAGAAAGATCCAGGTGTGAAAGGTGGAGAAACTGCTGTAATCATTCCTAGTCTGGAACGATTAGTAAATGTAAGTCTGTATTTCATTACTTACTTAGTTTAGCTGAATCTGTTTAGCTGAAAACATTAAAAAGATTTCATGATTGCTTGCCTTATGTAAGCATGACACAGGTATGAGACGATAAAGGAAATTGGGTTTTGGAGGGGAAAGTGTATCCTTACCAAATACTTTGAACGGGTTATAAAACGTTTTTTGAAACAACAAAGGCAGCAAAAATATAGTTCAGGTGCTTGCAAACTCGTGTTGAAATTCTAAGGATTTTGCTTCCTTCCTACATAATTGCTATCTGGAGAGGCTGTTCTCTCCAACTATGACATGGTCTGCACTGGAAGGCATGGGGTATCTCTCTTGAGCCTTTCTTATCCCTCTTCAGCAAATGGTCGCAGGGCCATGACCTAGTGTGAAGAGCCAATCTGCGTTGGCTTTCTCCCTTTGATAGGCAAAGTGGAAGAAAGGAAAGACTGAATGGATGGGCATTGGGATTTGTAGCTTGGATTGCTGTAGTCTGCCCTCGGGGAATCTGCTTAGTAGTCAAGCTGCTGTAGTGCAGCGGCTAAGCAACTGAGCTGCACTTTGCAATTTGATTCTTGTCTGTCCTGTGTGCTAAAACGCTATACAAATCATGTGGTAATGGAATTAACTGTTGCAGAAAAGATCCATGCCCCCCCCAATACATTCGCCATATGTAGAATCACACTTTTGCAGTATTCCTTTCCATTGCAGTTTTATTCCTCATGCAGATAGCATGTTTTACTCTTTAAATGGCCAGATTTACTGTTTGGCTTTATATAGTTTTAATTGAACTTGGCATGTATTTGTTAACAGAGGAATCTAGGCGATTGGTAGAGTGCATTTATGCATGGGAAAAATTACCAGACTTGTATCTCCATGTAGGGCTAGGAGAAGAGAGTTTAACTTCATGGAAAGCACTTACTTTCTTTTATGGTGAATCAATTGTTGGCAGGCAATTGAATTAAAGAATACAGAAGGAAACTTCGATTCTAGCATACATTTAAAGACGCAAGTTGACCAACTAACAGGACGAAATGAAGAATTAAGGAAGGAACTGAGGGAAGCACAAAAAGAAGCAGTGAATTTTTCCAATCAGCTTTCAAAAGCAAATGCCAAGGTATGCAAGCTATCTTAGCCTTCAAAAGTAGCCTAGGTAGCAATACAAAGTGAAGTACACATGGGTTTCTTTCCACAGCTCCTCATATGTGTCATGCAAGATTTGATTGATAGACAAAGGAGGACCCACTGAAAGAGTGCTGCTTTAGTGTGGGGTATTATGGGTGCATACTGGGCCCCTGATAGTGATGCTGTAACTTCTGCACACCCAAACAGCTGCTCATCTGACCATCACTGAAAGCAGCTTTTTAAAAATTGTGGCGCTTCAGAAACATTTTTATTTGGTGTAAGCTTTCTGGCTAGTAATGACAATATTTTGCAATACATGTAAATGATATACTTAACATATTTAAAGTTTTTCAGTGATTCTTTGCGCCCTATTGTTGCTTATATGTTTCAGGTTGCCTCTTTAGAAAATGAGATCGATTTGCTGCGGCAATCAGAAGATGCCAGCGTGGTGTTCAAAGCAGTAAATCTTCCGGAAGGAATGGCTCCATCTAGTGTAAACATAATAAATTCACAGAATGAATATTTAATATACCTTTTGCAGGTAAATACTTTAAAACAGACTAGTGGGTGTATCTTAACATGTTTACCTCTGCCCATTCTCTCTCTCTCTCTCTCTCTCTCTCTCTCACACACACACACACACACGTATGTGCATATGTATGTATATACCATGGTGGTTTCAAAGCCATGCAGTATTTTAATGAAAAACAGATCATTCTATATTCAAAGTTTCTTATTCATGGCAGTTCAGTATCTCATCAATGGTTTTTAAAGTAATAGCGAAAGGAACAAAATCCTGTTCACATATCTTTTATGTAACCTTGATATTATTATTTAAGGTGAAAACTGATATTACATCTTGAACTGCAACTTTTCCCACAGACAAATATATGTGATGAGGTCAGTCTTTGTAGAATATTTTAATTCAGAAACATATAGCTATAGGAAGGCACTCCATTTTATATATATTATATCCATTAGAATTGAAGCTGAGATATGTCATGCAATTAATTTGAAGTGTATCATTAGGAACTGGAAAATAAAGAGAAGCTGCTGAAGAAATTAGAAGAAGCGCTAGAAGACTATAAAAGGAAAGTTGCAGTTGCCCGCCACCAGCAAGGCTTGCTGTATAAAGAATATCAAAGGTATAATTCTGAGGATGATATCTTGGTATAGTAGCCAAAGAAGGTGAATTACAATAAATAAGGTGTTTCTAGGTGAATTACAATGCAACCATAAAATCGAACACTACAGTTAAATAGTGTATTTTTATCTTTTTTGGAGCAAAATTTTTATTTTTTTCTAGAAAACAGTTATGGGGCAGCAAACTAATGTTGTTAATAAAAATTAATAAATTAGTACTTAAATTAATAGTTTTTTATTCATATTAAATAAATATAAATTAATTAAAAGGGTTTCACATACCCTTAATAATTCTGGTGCCAAGGATTGTTCAGCTCTAGTACGTAATGCTTATATTCAGCCATGCTCTGTATTGATGGAAGAGTTAACTTGCTCTTTCTAAAATCTGTTTCCCCTCTATTGGCAGCTTATAAATCTTTTGTTCTGAACTTTCAGACTTCAGATTTTACCTAGCACAATATGACACAATAGTTGCAATAATGTGTTTTACAAAAAGGAAAAAAGCTCTAAACATCCATTTACTTATTTTAGTGAAAGGGAACACTGGCATACTGCTGGTGAAAAAATACAAGAAGAAAAGAAAAGATTGGAACATCAAAAGGAGCAAGATGATGTAAAAATAAAAGAATATTATGTAAGTAGTGATCCTATATTCATGGGCTTGGGTGCCAGGAATGACAAGTTCCACATGAGACAACAAGGCTTTCCCACCTCCTTCCTGCTATGAGCCCTTTCATCTCCTGAAATGCTGTTTCTAAAGGTTGGATTATTTTATAAAGAATAATGTGGGGTCTGGCAAGGTTTTTGAGGGGAGATTTGCAGTGATTTCTCTCATGCCCATGTCTCATCTCATGCAGTTCTTAGGAGTGGCTTTTCCAGGAGTACATAGGACTGGGAGGAGGGGAGAAGAGGCCTGTTATGCACCAATGTATCTGCTTCTGTTTAGCTAGATCAAGGCCACAGACTGCTTAAAATACATGTTAATACTCACATCACAGTGCCAGTGACGTTTTTAATCTTCCCACAGAATTTATTAGATGCACTTGAAAAGAATAGCGATGACTTTAAACGGCTATTTGCGGACTACAGTAGAAAAATAACTGTTCTGAGGGTAAATGAAAGGTCACTGGCAAGGCAGTACACGACCGTACTTGAAATGGAGAAGCATCTCCGGAAAGAGAATGAGAAGATGAAGGCCGAGTTAATAGCTGTGGAGGCTGCAGTTGGAGAAAAGATTGGCCGTTTGCAAAGGTTCAAGGTATGTTTTATATATCATGCCAGCTCTACTCAGATGACGATTGTGTGCAAGATGCTTTTGTATGCAAAGCAGCAGTGAGGTTGTGCTTCCTGAACCATTTCCAGCATCACATCCTCAGGCAGCACTGACTGTGTGCCACCCAACATTTGAAAAGTAATCCCAAGTGTTGCACACATGCTGCTCATAAGAGCACCATATGGGTCATATTCCTACTCAATTCAGCTGTCCTGATTGTGTGGAGCCTCGATACTTCTCTTTTTCAATAGGATTTATCATGTACTCTTTCCAAGTGTCTCTGCAAAATCCAAGCTGTTTTTGAACTTTTCAAAAATGCCACAGCTATTCTCACAGTACAGTTTGGCTTCTATATTCCTAGTGACCTGCCGCAGTATTTTTGAGTGCACTTTCAGCATTCCTCCTTTTTCGAATGCCGTATAGACTGTTTCTTCCTTCTTTGTTCAGGAAATGGCAACTTTCAAGATGGCAGCATTGCAGAAAGCGTTGGATGATTGTGTACCTCTGAATGATCTGGAAATGGCTAATAAGCAGTATAATGAATTAACGGCTAAATACAGGGATATGCTACAAAAAGATAACTTGCTTGTTCAAAGAACAACTAATTTGGAGCACTTAGAGGTAATACTACCATGCTACTTTGAGATAACTTTATATTGAGTATCTACATTTCTCCATCTCATTTTTATGCTGGTAGTGCAGGTCCAGCAGAAGATTCAGCTGCCTAATATTGTAGGCAGGATTTGAAAGGAAAACAAACTTTTTATTGTCCTTCCCAAATACTATTACAGACCACTAGTGCTTTAACTATAAAAACAGAGAGGGAAGGATATACTTAGGTGTGCTTTTCATAGTGATCTCTTTTGAAAGCTACTTACACTTTAACTTGGGAGACAGCACTGTATGGATGGATCCCTTTCTTTTAATTGGTGTCTAACATTCTCTCACTGCTTGCACAAAGCAATATTTTTGTTTTGTTTTTAAACTGTTATTATATTTTAATTTGTCTTTAAATTGTTTTTGGTGTGCTACATCTTGCCATGCCATATAGCGTGAAAATGCATCCCTGAAAGAACAGATTGAGTCTTTAAACAAGGAGCTGGAAATTACAAAAGAGAAACTTCATACACTTGAACAAGCTTGGGAGCAAACAGCAAAATTGGGTGAGTGCATTGTATTATGATCATTTTATTGCAATGAGATGATACATGTTTTCTCTGTAAACCTGGTACCTTAAAATGTAGAGTTGAACAACATTTTGAAATGCAAGCCTTCTTATTCTTAAATTAACAAGAATCCAAACATTCACTTGAAAGCTTGTTCGTATTCTTAAATGGTATTCACACAAGCCTAGAACTTTTTTTAAAGGGAAAAATAAAAGGGAAAATGATGTTGAGCTCAATATATCCCCAAAGGTATCTGTGATCATTAGTACAACTTACCTGTTATTAGAGTGTTTTATTTGCGAAGACAACCCCTATAGTGTATTAGAAGTGAGATATCCTGTCAAGATTCTGCCAAAGTCTGAAAAGATCAACCCAGTCCCTTTGATAAAAAAGGGAAGTAATAATAACTAAAGAAGGTAAAGGGCAATTATAAATGATATTCCAGTTCTGAACTATGCAAAAGAAGATGTTTTAAATATTTTGAAAAAGTTGAAGATTTCTGCCTCTGTTCCGTACTGCAGATTTTATATTGTTTTGTTTTTAAAATGTGTCTGTCACTAAATTTTTCCATTTATATTATTGTCAATTTGTAGGAGGAGACAGTGCTACAGATAAGGCCACAAAAGCCATAACAAACAGTGAGATTGTTTCTATTTCTAAGAAAATTACTATGCTGGAAATGAAAGAACTAAATGAAAGGCAAAGGGCAGAGCACTCTCAGCGAATGTATGAACACTTACGGAACACATTAAAACAAGTGGAAGAACGCAATTTTGAACTGGAAACAAAGTTTGCTGAGGTTGGCTGCTGAGCTGTGATTACATAGTTTGCTTAAGGTGTTGGAAAATGCATTAGCATACTGTTCTCTTTAATTACTCCTATCATTCCTCCGCGCCCCCCCCCCAATAGTTTCTTGGAGCTAGATGCATTTAGAGATATTGCGCTGTTTGAGAGACACTATTGAGTAAGGTGGAAAGTAGGCATATAAGGTTGACAAATTCCTAACACCTAGAAGAAACAGCTTTATGACCAAGCCAAACATCACATTAAACTGTAGTTAGAAATAAACTGTGGATTAATGTGAATACGCAGGATGTTGGTTCATTCTGCTGAAAGGCTCTCATTCCATTTCTCTCGCCCAGTTAAATTTGAGGCACATGAACTAAGAGAGTGGCGTTTTGGGGCAAGTTTATCACAAGCTGAATCCAAGATTGTTTGTAGTTAGTGTTTGTAAGGCTCCTGTATCTTGAAGTAGTCAGAGCAGGCGGAAATTCAGCCCAGGAAAGACATGCTGGTGTTCTAAATTACAGCCAGCTGTGCATGCCGTGAGTCCTCATAATCCTATCAAAGAGTGCCACAAACACCTGATAATGCATGTTGTCTACCCATGTACTAACAGGTTGTTGTTTTGGACTGAATGTAGTGTTCTGATTCTGAATATGTTTACCAAACTTGCCATGTCTTAGCTTACAAAGATCAACCTTGAAGCACAGAAAGTGGAACAGTCTTTGCGAGATGAACTATCAAGCAGTGTGAGTAAAGCAGTCAGCGAGGCAGATAGATGTCGAATTATGGACCTGGAGAAAAGTGAAACTGAGCTCAAGATTGAAGTATCAAAGTAAGTTTAAAGGTTCTTGCATTACTCAGCTCTGCGTAGAAGAGGTGGCGGGGGGGGGGAGAGAATACTTCCAAATTTATTTGAATTTCCCTCTAGAACTGCCCCCCTCTGCCCTTATATGCATGCACACATGTCATGGGAGCCTTTTAAAGGGAAAATTGTGGGGAATGACACTGGTTTTTCACTTTAAAACCCAACCATTCCTCATCCTGGAGCTGCTTTATGACCTGGGGAAAGTTTAAAGAGTAATTGGGAGGTCTTTGGGGAAGATTTGCAAAGGAAATGTTGAAATTGTGTACGCATGCTGCTTTTTGGAGTCTAGTTTTGCTTAATTAAAATTTTATCGGTCATTTTTTCAGGCAGCTTTATGATAAAATAATCATAAAAGAGTAAACATACACGCATTATTGTATTTGTATTCTGCCTTTCCATAGTTAAAACCATGCTCACAGTGGCTTACGACATGAAAATATTTACATAATTACAAATTAACAAAGGTAGAAATAAACAACAAATAAATCACATCAGAAAGTACACAACCAAATTGAAAATACCCACATAAATCATAAATTACAAAAATAAAGATACAAAAACAATATCACAACCTAAGAGTCTGTTCAACAGCCTCAACTTTTGTAGCTGAAGTCAGTCAGGGCCCAGCCTTCCCAGGCGAGGTGGGAAAAGGTCTGTAAGGCAGAGTGTGCAGGTATAAAATACATAATAAATATATAAAAACATTACAAAAAATTATACAGCATCAGCAACTGAAACCTTTTCAATTCCACAGAATAGAATCTATGTTTGGAAGCAGCTATAAAAAAAAAACCTACACGTGTTTAACATAGTGGTCTGGATTGCATTGTACAGTGGGTGCTCGGGTTGCGAACGTGATCTATGTGGGATGCACGTTCGCAACCTGCGTCTGCGCACACATGGGTTGCGATTTGGCGCTTCTGCGCATGCGCGACCGCCAAAACCCAGAAGTAACCCATTCCGGTACTTCTGGGTTTTGGCGGTCAGCAGCCCGAAGAGACGCAACCTGAAGTGGCCGTAACCCGAGGTATGACTGTAATGTGAAATCATGGTTTAGTGCTGTATGGATGAGGCTCAATGAGCCCAAATGAAGTGCCTGGCTTAAATGAGCCCTGCTTTGCCATTGTATTCAGAAGACCTCTGCTAAGTTATAGTATCACTTTTACAGAATCTTGGCTTGGCGTTATGCACAAACCAAGGATCAAACAATGGTTTCACAAGCCAGCAGAACCTAGGGTTTGAAAATGGCTTCTTATGAAATGTACCTGGTTGAAATGTAATCCTAAATCAAGAGTATTTAAAAGGGAAACTAAACTCTGAAGATGTCCTTTCACCAGACCTGCAGAAGAATGCGAAAGGGGGAGTGTTGGGAGCCAGATCTTTTGCTCAGGCTTGCTGTAGCTTGTCCACATAGCTTTAAACCGTGTTGCATGTGAATGCAGCCAGTATGTGGTGGGCTACAACTTAATGTAATCAGCTCATTTATGGCATCAAAACCCAGTAGTGTTATGTGACACAACTATTCCATGTGGCACTGCATATGGACCTAGTGATAGTGCTGTTGTGACAATGTTCCAGCTTTTAACCACATTCTCAACCTGTAAACAGTCTTCAGGAAACAGAGAATCAAACAGCTTTTTCATCTGCTAGACATTTTCATCTGCTAGCCTTAAATGTGCAGCAGTTCCATTCAACATATATCCTTTCAGTACTGTTTTTTATTATTTGCATAGTGGGGGAAAAAGAAAAAGGGAATACTGTTACCCTTGCAGTATTTTTTGGTAAATAGGTTTCACTTGTCTTGCTAGGCTAAAAGAGCTGTCTGATATTGCCAAGATGCAAGTTGATGCTTTGGAGAATCGCCAGCAATCCAGAGAGAAAGAAGTGGAATCGCTCAGAATGCAGATTTTGGATTTTCAGGTATGGGCTATCTCTGCTTAGAAGCATAACCATTCACCCCTGTGACACAGATAATAAGCCCAATACCATGTAAATGCTTGGCGGATGCATTTGATTATAATATATATTTTTATCTTACTTGCTATTCAGGCACAATCAGATGAAAAAACACTTGTTGCAAAATTACATCAACATATCGTGGCCCTTCAGGTTAGTGAAGCCACTGCTGTGGCCAAGTTAGAGGCTGCCATGTCAAAACTTCAGAAGATGGAGGTGGCTAATATGCGCCTAGAGCAGAAACTGGATGATAAAGAGCAAGCATTGTACTATACACGACTCGAGGGGAGGAATAGAGCTAAGCATCTCCGCCAGACTGTACAGTCACTGCGACGACAATTCAGTGGTGCTTTGCCCCTGGCTCAGCAGGAGAAGTTCTCCAAAACTATGATTCAGCTTCAGAATGACAAACTTAAGACTATGGATGAGGTCCAGCTTGCTCAGCAGGAGCGCCGAAATGCAGAGAACAGAGCACTGGAGCTGGAGACAAAGCTAAAAGGATTAGAAGAACTAATAGCCACATTGAAAGATACAAGAGGAGCACAGAAGGTTTGTGATATAACAACTTTAAATATATATTTGAGAATTGACTCTCAGTTCAGATAAAGTTTTGGGGTTTGTTTGATTTGATTTTTCATTTTTATTGCCTTGATTAGCCAAGAGGTAAAAGCAGCATCTACTTATCAATGTCAATTGACAGAATGTCAATTTCCACTGTAAAAATGCCAGTCACCCCCATTTGAATGTGTGTTGTAGTCCATTAGTGCTTCATCACTCAGATTCTTTTGTATTCATATTTAATCACATGCACACATTCTTCATTTTGTTAATCTGGGCCAAAATGCAAAGAATTAATGAGGTGCTTGCTTGTGCCTCTACCCATGCACCAAGAATTCTACATGGTTATGCATTTTTCCCCAACCACCACTCCTTTCAACCAAATTCTCCTGATTTTTGAGAGAAACTCCACCATGAGCTAGTTCATCTTTTTTTCTGCAGTAGTTTGGCACTATTTGGAATCAGTTCGGTCCTTAGATTGTTGTCAGATTTGGTCATTTGTGTATTGTCAGGTAATTGAGTGGCATATGAAAATTGAAGAGCTTCGTCTTCAGGACCTTAAACTGAACCGCGAATTAGCCAAGAAAAAGGAAGAGATTAAATATTTGAACAATATCCTTTCTGAATACGAACGTACCATTAATAACCTGGAAGAAGAAATTGTACAGCAGAGCAAGGTACAGAAAAGCAAGTTTAAAAAAAAATTAATATAACTTTAGAAATTCTGCAGAGAAAACTCCTACAAAAGTTTTGCTGCATGTAACGTGAAAAATGTTCCTGTATCTAGCATATATTTGTGCTGCTCTCAGAGGCTGTGTACAGTCCTTATTAAACCCCTTAAATCTTGTAGTTCCATGAGGAGCGGCAGTTGGCCTGGGAACAAAGAGAAGTAGAATTAGAACGTCAGCTCGACACTTATGACCGTCAGCAGAAGGACATAATTAGAACTGCTCAGAAGGTACCTGATTTCATACTGATAAGTCCCATAACACGTCAAGTGTCATTCTTCCACCTGGTTGTCGCCTGAGGTTGGTCTCCGCCTGTCTGCGCAAAACAACCTTTTCTGTTTACTTCTCTGCAGTTTGATGAAGCTACAGGATCAGTTCCAGACCCCAGCTTGCCCCTTGCACATCAGCTTGAGCAAGCTTTAAGGAAAATACGAGAACACGTCCGAACTATCCTGGAAGTGCAAGCCACCTGCAAATCCTTAGAAGAGGTGATTGGATTGTTCAGCTAACCGAATCATATGCTTTTAGTGATTTATAGCGTAGAGATTTTGCCTCCAGCAGAGGAGGGTATCTTTAGTTGCATTGCTCCTTCCTCTCACTCCAGAAGGCTGTTCAATTTTAAAATCTTTTTTTTTAACCTTTTATTTATTAAATTTGTATGCCACCTTTTACCAAAGGATCACACAGTGATTCACAATGTAAAAATATAAGATGAGAACATAAAATTCATAATGGAACAAAAAGAAAAAAAATCTGAATAATTTCTTCTACAAACCCATTTAAAAGACCGCAGAATGTTACTCAGCCAAAGGCTTGGTTATAGAGAAACAGTTTGGCCTGGCACTTAAAGATATGTAAAGAAGGCGCTAGGCTATCAGGTTGGGCTTTGACTCCACCTGGTGGTCAAAGGCAGGAACAATGTCTTGGGAAGCCGGTAGCTCCCAGAATGCACTTCAGTTGCTTCTGCCTTTGATTAAAACAGCTATGCTGTGATGTTCTTTGTTGGTTGTCTAGTTCTGTTGACCTAAAAATGAATAATATATCATCTATCTATCTATCTATCTATTCTGGTCCTGCCCCCACCACTTGTTTTTCACAGCTCCCCACTTGCCTTTATTTCCCCACCCTTTTCTCCATGTTGAAAAAAGAAGAAGAAATCCTCTCAATTATTTTTTGTCATTTTTGGTAACAGAAATTTATTTTATTACAGAAACTGAAAGAAAAAGAAGCTGCTTTGTGGAAAGCGGAGCAAAGTATCTTATCTAGAGACAGGATCATAAATGAACTGAGACTTCGATTGCCAGCATCATCAGAGAGAGAGAAACTAATAGCAGAGCTTGGACCAAAAGAAGAGGACTCTGCTGCCTCTCCTCGTGCTCTGAAAATTGCACACCAGACAATTGCAAATATGCAAGCAAGATTAAATCAAAAAGAGGAAGTGTTGAAAAAGTACCAACATCTTTTGGCCAAAGCAAGAGAGGTATTTACAATACAAAATGCATGAGCTGTTATTGTAAAAAGCCCTGGAAATTTTGAATTGAAGGGCTTTGTAGAATTTTTTAAATGAATGAATGAATGAAATGCAGGACCATATGAACTGGGCAGTGGTGGCACAGAGGTGCCATTTGTGTGAATTGGTGTTTCCAACATGACTTGGGACTGCATTATTTTGAGTGCCATTCATGCGGAAAAGTCCTGAATATGTAGCATAAGGAAGTAAAGGAAGTTAAAAGTGACTTCTGTGTTTGGAAAACTTGAATAGTATTACCTTTTGTTGTGGACATCCTTTTCAGTTTCTTTTGCATTTAGCATGATAAGATTAACTATTTGAAATTTTTGTAGAATAGAATGGGCACAGAAACAAATATATATTTTTTGCACTATTTAGGAACAAGAGGAAATTGCAAAGAAACATGAAGACGACCTCAGAGTGCTACATCAAAAGTTAGATTTACATGCTGACAGTTCTTTTAACAAATTCAAGCAAACTGCATTAGTAAGTATAAGTTTTATTCATGATGTATGCATTTGAGGATTTGGGGAATAAAGATAAGATGGGGACAGAATTGAAATATGGTGATTTCTTATCCTTTTTGGCTTGGATCCAGCAAAGTTCAGATGTAAAGTACTTTGTGGAAGCTGTCTCTTTTCAGCTGCCCACCCCACTGTCAAAACACTGGTCCCATGGGTTGGAGACAACCTTGGGAATTATTTTTATGTTTGTTGTTTTTAAAGAGAAATGCATATGGAGTGGGAAGTCAACGCAGATCACTGTCCCACCTATTGAGTGAGCTGAATCAATGTCTGCTCACATCAGGAGACCTTGGGATCCAGCCATTGAGTTCCATCAGGCTTCCACTGACTTTCTGCAGCCTTTGGGGCACCATTAGTGACGAGTTGACATATAAAGCTCTTAAGGATCTGGACCCCAGATTTGCAGTGATGACTTCATATCCTGTGACCGTGGCCCAATGTTTAAACCAACAAAGGTGCCTTTCTTATGATATCATCAGTGCCATAGTGTACTGCATTCCTGATGATAGAAAAGTAATAAAACACACTGGTAATAAAAAGGATTTCTGGAAACCATTTTTAGGAATTTTTGTAAAACGCTATGTTTAGACAAGCTATTGATAGGGCTTCACGGCATGCAAATGAAAAACATGGTTATATTGCAAGAATTTACCAGCTAAATAAGGGCAAATGAGCCATACAGTACCTCAACTTAGTTAAGATGCAAATATATCATGCATCTTAGCTTATGCATTACATCCAGGATATGAGTTAAACAGTAATATCAAACAAACAATGGAATATTTATTCATTAGATAACCTGTTTTGTTCCACAGGAGTTGGTGAAAAAGCCATCTTTAGCTGTCCCAGCAAATAAACATTTAATTCGTCTGGCAGAGATGGAGCAAACTGTAGCAGAACAGGACACTTCCCTTGCATCCCTTCTGAACAAATTAAAGAAAACATCGTCCGAATTGCAGAAGCAGAAGCAGATTACTTTGGCAAAAATCAAGGAATTTGATAACATCAGGGTCCAGTAAGTGTAGATTAGAATTATACTTCATTCTGTAAATGTCCTGCTGAGATCTTGAGAGTCGTCATGTTTCATTAATCTTTAGAAAACCTTGGCTAAAATATATAAATAATCGTAGAGTTAAGCATTCAGCTTAAACATAGAGCTCATTATCATTATATTAAAATAATGGGTTATTTTTGTTTTCAGGAGTACTTCATTATACTCCTTTAGGCACCAGGCAAAAAGGTTCCTTTTTAAGCAGGCTTTTGGTTGACCTGATCAACATCTCATACCCTTTTAAAATGTGGCTCTTTGACCTGGGGGGAGGGGAGCGTATTATTGGGTTATTGCTTTTATTTTTATTTTATATACTGTGATCTTTTTATGTGAACCTCCCTGAGACCTCTGGGTATATGGGGGTATATAAATTCAAATAATAATAATAATAACAACCATAATAATAGTAATAATATCTTTAAAAGGTATGTTGAAAAGATCAGTTCATTGGGCAGTATCCAACTAACAGTTCTTCTTGCACAAGCCCTTTTGGCTGAACTATGGAGCTTCCTCTCCCACCAGGCCCCCCAACCTGCTCTGGGGGAACCCCAGAACATATTTATGGACCGCATAGGGAGAGGAGAGGGAGAATAAGTTTCATTGCTTGGCCTGGTAGAACTGCTTCGTTATATACCACCCTTTGGTTTTTATAGGATTTCGTTAAAAGAATAAAATTGGTTGTAGTCCATAGCCTGTAGTCCTATTTAGTTCAGCTTCATTGCTCTGGAATAAGCATTATGTAGGCGGTATCCTTCCCTCCATAATTAACTTCTTGTCACTGCGGTTGTTATATAGTGTCTTTCCCCCCAAATTCGATTTAGGTATACATGACTGGATTGTAACTAAAAAAGGTAAAGGTACCCCTGCCCGTACGGGCCAGTCTTCCCAGACTCTAGGGTTGTGCGCTCATCTCACTCTATAGGCTGGGAGCCAGCGCTGTCCGCAGACACTTCCGGGTCACGTGGCCAGCGTGACAAGCTGCATCTGGCGAGCCAGCGCAGCACACGGAACACCGTTTACCTTCCCGCTGGTAAGCGGTCCCTATTTATCTACTTGCACCCGAAGGTGCTTTCGAACTGCTAGGTTGGCAGGCGCTGGGACTGAACGACGGGAGCGCACCCCGCCGCGGGGATTCGAACCGCCGACCTGACGATCGGCAAGTCCTAGGCGCTGAGGCTTTAACCCACAGCGCCACCCGCGTCCCTACTTTTTGTAACTACTTGCCTTCAAATTACTGGAAGGTTTGGTCAGTTGGAATCCATTCACTGGTCTCTGCAGTCATCACAGAATCAATGTACAGTTGGGTGGAAGACCCATTACCTTCTAGATATTGCTGGACAACAGTTCTCATTCTCCTTGGCCATTGGCTTCGCTGTATGGGGCTGATGGAAACGGAGTCCCACAAGATCTGAATAGCCACAGTTTCCTCATTTCTGGGTCACATGCATTAGAGTCAGCTTTGATAAACCCCATTCAAACATGAAACTTAGCAAGCAGACATCTGGCAGAGGTCTCAGGATTTTTATGCTGTGGGTGGTGGCATGGACTACCCTGATGATTCTCCTCCCAAGCATATGTTTTGAACAGTAGATTTTTGAGCCACGAGGTGAAATAAAGTGAGGACATTTGTTTGTTAATGAGCTATGAAGAAAATAAATGAGAGAACACAGCTGACTTTGCTTATCACAAAGACAGTTTGACAGTGTGTTGCTCCTCTAGGCTGCTGTTGGGAATAATGTATAATTATAATCGAAACGATGCAATACTTCAGCCTAGTTAGTCCATCTGGAACTCGCTCAATTTTGCCAATGGATGTCATTATTATTTATTATTTTGCTCTGCTAGGCTTGAAGAGAAGCATGCAGCTGAAGTGAAAAAATTGAAAGATGAAGTGGATGAGCTAAGAAGTTTGTTGTCACAGATGGAGAAAGAATTACTGAATGCAAAACTGGAGCTGGAGGCCCAAAGAGAAGCAAATAATAGAGCTCCAACAACTACAATGAAAAATCTAGTGGAACGGCTGAAGAATCAGCTAGCCTTAAAAGAGAAGCAGCAGAAGGTAAGCATGGAAACTAGTAATTGGGTGTAAACCAGCTTATTTTCTCTAACAAACCAGAATTATTTCACCTTTTTTATTGTGAGTCTCTCAGCAGGGACCTACTCATTTTTCTTACATATAGTGTCTAGTATATTTTAGACACTTTTGTGAAATAAGAACAATAAAGAATTAATTGAGGAAGCATTGGCTTGAATTCTATAACTTTTTGAATGTCGTGGGCTCAACTTCACGCCAAACACTTAACCAGTTGCTGGAAAGCACAGGAGGGGAGAATACTCTTGTGCTCAAATCCTGCTTGTGGGTTTCCCACTGTGAGAACAGGATGCTGAACAATTATTATTATTATTTGTAAACCCCCCCAATCTGACTGGGTTACCCCAACTGGATGAGCCACTGGTCTGAACCAGCATGGCTCTTCTTACTGCCTTATGTTAACTGCCACCAGAAATGATGGCAATATATTAAGCAGAGAGCTTGTTGAATATTAGGCTACTTTATTATTTAAACCTAATATTAACTCTATGTACTGTTAACCTTTTCCCACTTTGTGTCATAGACATATATCTTATTCCTGTTTTTTATCCCTGTTGGGTTTTTTTTTAATTGCTTGCTTTCTTCAGCTGTCCAGCAAAGCACATAGGCATATAACTGCAAAATTTTGACCTAGATGTTATAAGTATTTGTGTTTATTGTTTTTCATCAAATTTATCATTTTTAAGATTGATAAATATTTTTCAGGCTTTGAGTAAAGCACTTCTGGAGCTCCGAGCAGAAATGACAGCTGCTGCAGAACAACAGATTATTTCTGTAGCATCACAAAAAGAGGCACACATGAACGTTCAACAGATAGTTGACAAGCAAACAAAGGAACTGAGGGTGAGCAGGAAGTGAAGTCTTACCTATATTGGCCTGATGTGAAAGCAGAACACCAGAGCGGATAGATGTCACTGTGAGCATTACAGACACCAATACGCTGCTGTATCTTCCAGTCCTCAAATAGTACTTCTGAGTGTTAAAAGCCCCATGATGCACTTTCCCAGACACTACTACTTAGCAGTTTCTGTTAATTTCACCACATTGTGTGTGGGCCTCCTGCATAAAATTGAATGAAACGGTGTTCCATATTACTGTGATCAAGGTACACTGATAATGTGTCTGTAATCGTAGTCTATTCCACAAAAAAAAAACAGACTTGTGCTTCCTTGAAACCTGGCACATGGATTGCAAGATGTATAGGATACTACCCATGGTTTTGCATGGTTTCTTCCCTAGAAGAACAATAAATGGATACATCATAATACTTTATTGGTGTTTAGAAAAAGTGGCTGAATTTAGGCTTACAGTTCAGCACTTACTTACTATGTGGTAATAGGGCTGCTATGTGATGAACCAAGTCCTTTTGCATACATATATTCCTGGATTGTACCTCTAGCATTTCCACTAAAATTATTTCAGTTTGTAACTTTCCAAAAGACAGGTGCTGCCTAGAAGAATTGATCATACTGGGCTTGATGCACCAACAGCCCCAGCTTTTGATGTTGAATCCAGCAGTATAGAGTCTTAATGCAACTGAGTATTTGGTGTGGTTAAGAAAAAAAGGATCTCTCCTTTTAGAACTGTGTTTTTAGTAGGTGATATCTAAGATTAGTCACATTCAGAGTAAACAAATAGAGATCATTTGACTTGTATGTTGTTTTCAGTGGATCCGTTCTGGGTTTAATTGACCATGATATCACCCAATATTAGCAAAGATGTTTATTGTCTGAGATGGCATGCATTGTCATTCGTTTCTTTCTTCATTTTTCTTTGTTCATTGTTCATTTTTTGGCAGTCCTGAAATAATATATCATAAAAAAATATTTTCTTAGATTCAGTTAGAAGATTTAAATGACCAACTTTCAAAACTTAAAGATGCCCTCAAGCTAAGCAAAAATAAAGAGAATTCATTACTAGATGAGGTGGATGATTTAAATCATGAGCTTCAGAAAAAAGTTAAAGCCCACACTAAATTTCTAAGGGAGAAAGAAGAGATGGAAAAGGAAAATGAAGAACTGAAAAAGCGGATTAAAAGGCTAACCAATGCAATTCAGGTAAATATATTTTGAATTATAAAACAAAGAACATTGTTTTGGTAGTATACAAATAAATTGCATATTTCTTGAGTCACTGGTTGGCTGGTTTTGCACTGCAGCAAATCATCTGAACATTGTTTCGGTTCTAACTGAGAATTTTTTACATTGCATATATATTTATCTGAGTTTGCAATATTTAAATGAATTGAATAAATAAAAACCTGGCAACTATGATTAAGTGCAAATCAGCCAACTTATCTATGTATCTGTGCTTGTGTCTGATTTAAATCTTAATTATAATCTTATTTATATACTTGAAGCATTAAACTTGGTTATTTGAATGAAGAATATTTGCATGTGTAGAACGCTTGCATTTTCCCTTAATGTGTGTGTCTGTGTGTAATATATATAATCATTTCTTAGAGCCAGTGCTTCTCTAATTAAGAGCATAATCCAGAAAAGACAGCCACTGTGTATTTTGCATTATTTCAATGGAGTTTGCATATCGCATCTGGTTGTGCAGTGGTGATACCTGCTAAAATGCTCTTAATGTCCACAGTCATGATGCATGGCAATTAAAGTTAGTTTAAACTTTTCCCAATTTTTCAGGGAAAAGCTGATGACCAAAGCCTGATAGAGGAACTTCAAAGAAAAATTAAGAAGTTGGAAAGTGAACTAGGAAAGAAGAGTGATGAGTCAGAAATGAAAACCCCGAGAGAGGACAAGGTATGAGAGATGCATGACTAAAATAAATTTAGCTTACATCATTTCTCACTTTCATGTTGGGGTTTTTTTTTGGGGGGGGGTTGCATTATAATGACTCATTTGCTTTGTTATGAATGCAATACTTTGTGGGCAGGGTTGGGGTAGTGGTGGTTAAAGTTTTGTTTTAGCTCAGGGGTCAGCAACCTTTTTCAGCCGTGGGCCGGTCCACCATCCCTCAGCCCATGTGGTGGGCCAGACTATATTTTTTTTTTGGGGGGGGTAATGAACAAATTCCTATTCCCCACAAATAACCCAGAGATGCATTTTAAATAAAAGGACACTTTTTACTCATGTAAAAACACGTGATTCCCGGACCGTCTGTGGGCCGGATTGAGAAGGCAATTGGGCCACATCCAGCCCACGGGCCTTAGGTTGCCTACCCCTGCTTTAGATCATTGTTAATGCTAGGTTGTATGTGTGATGTGTTTTGTACTGTTTTGATATTGCAAGGCTTCTTGGGTAGGCTGTGCCCCCAAAGGCAGAATGCAAATGAATGAATGAATGAATGGTCAGATAGCATGATTGGTCCTGTCTGTCCAAAAAGGGATCTCGATTCCACAGTGAAGAGGATAGAAAAAGCAGCAGATCAAACATTTATGCGTGCATTTATTAAAGAAAAATAAGCAGACTTAAATATGGATGTTTTCACTCTTTAGAAATAAAATTGGAGAACTTTACATTTTTGTTTTTGGTCATTTTGCAGAGCTCTAAGGAAGAATTAATTAGATGGGAGGAAAGTAAGAAATGGCAGATGAAAATGGAAGGAATGAGGAACAAACTGAAAGAAAAGGAGAAGGAAGTAGAGTCCTTAGCCAAACAGTTAAACACAGTAAAGGAACTTTTTTCAAAGTAAGCTTACTTTAATTAACAAAACTCACAGCAATATGACATACCACTATTCATTGATCAAGGACATGGTGCTATAGTAGTGTATTGTATGTCTATAAGGCTGCAGACAGCACTTTCTCAAATGTAGTCCATTGGCACAGTTTTCTAGATCTCCTAATTGTAGGTACTCCTGGAAAAAACTTCCTCAAGTAGGGCTGCAATCCTGTACACATTTCCTGAGAGGGAATCTCATTCAACTGCGTAGGAATGATTTCTGAGTAGGCATGCATCAGATTAAGCAGACCAATTAATCTTCAAATGTTATTTTGTATGGAAGCAAATATACCATTATATTAATGAAAATCCATTGAATACTACAGGGCGGATAAAGAAAAAATTGCTTTGCAGAAGAAACTCAAGAGCTGTGGTGTTACTGTTGATCAGGTTGTAGGAGTACGAGCCTCTGAATCAGAGAGAGAGCTGGAAGAGCTACGAAAACGAAATATAGATTTGGAGAATGAGATTGTTCACCTAAAGTAAGAAATACTACAAAAAAAGTGAAATTAAGAGTGCTCTGTTTTTTGTGGTCTTTTCTAAATAGGTACTTTTGATTTATTATATTAAATACATTTCAAGAGAGCACTGTTCCTGGAAGCTGAACAATTTAACCATTTTGAGGAATTAATACAAGCACGGCATTAAAAAAATTACATTAGTTAGTTTTAATGTACACACAATGCTGGATACTTGTTTGTTTTAACCATGGTTTTGTTCAAGAAGCAGACAGGCAAACAAGCCACAGCTTATTTTTCTAAAGCTTAGTTTGCTTTCCAGTTGTTCTTGCCTCATGACTGTAGCTTGGTGAGTGGTTGGGGTGAATTGGCTCAACAAACCATGGTCAAGCACAGCTTTGGGGTTTGGGCGTTACTCCAAATCATTGTAACCCAATAACCAATTGTGGCTTCACAATATGGTTTGTTGGCAGAAACAAATATGGGTAAAGTAGTAAGCTGGGTTCAGATTTTCAGAAAAACCATACTTTAGCTGAACAGCTATGGGTTAGCTTTATGTTCAAATTAGGCAACTCGATATTTTAGAAAGGAATGCTGCTTTTTCACAAACAGGTACAGTGGTGCCCCGCAAGACGAATGCCTCGCAAGACGGAAAAACCGCTAGACGAAAGGGTTTTCCGTTTTGAAGTTGCTTCGCAGGACGAATTCCCCTATGGGCTTGCTTCGCAAGACGAAAATACCTTGCGAGTCTTGAGATTTTTTTCGCTTCCCCCTTTATCTAATCTGCTAAGCCTTTAATAGCCTTTAATAGCCTTTTAGCAGCTAATCCCTAAGCCTTTAAGCCTTTAATAGCCGCTAAACCGCTAATAGCGCTAATAGCGCTAATCCGTCAATGGGCTTGCTTCGCAAGACGAAAAAACCGCTAGACGAAGACTCTCGCGGAACGGATTAATTTCGTCTTGCGAGGCACCACTGTATTTCTTAAAAGAGGATTAAAGTTTTGTGTGGCACCCTCTTATTAACAAGTTCAGTGCAGAAATATGTATTTTTAGGAGTTCTGACGAAATGATTAATCGTGGTTAATTGAAAATGGATGTGAAACCTTCTGATCAATTGTTCATGGTCATGTTGGAGGAGGAGAGGGGAATGGGTAGTGTACAAGTCCGAGAGTTATGCATGTAAAACTAAAGCATAGTTTAGCATTGCACTTGAACCAGATCAATATGTGTGTGGATAAATATATTTTATGTAATGCTGTAGGATAGCATGTGCATTATAGGAAAGCTGGTGGATATCTAATGCTACTCATCTTTACCCATGTTTAAGTAGAATAATTATAAAAATGTAAATCATATGTCAAGTCATGCACTGGTTCTGCAATCTCACATGCTTTTTATGCAGGACACAGTATGCTGTCCCTCGAGATTCTGTTGTGGAAGATTTACACTTAAAAAACAGATACCTACAAGAAAAGCTTCTTGTATTGGAGAAACAGCTTTCCAGAGACACTTTTTCAAGACCTTCGGTAGGTTAATCCATTCTTATTACTTGAATTATGCAACCGTGTGTGTGTGCATACATTCAACTTGTAGCCTTTATTGTGTAAGCTGTCTTGTTTCTGTTCTTTATCTCAGCTGATGAGAATTTTAATGCCTGTGCAAGTGCTGCAGAAACTGGGTACTTAAAGCTTTGTAATTCTGAACACCAATGGGTCTGTACCTGGTTGTTTTGTAATGATAGCATTGTAGTAACATTAGGAGAACCTTCAGATTTTATATTGCAAGGACTGCAGTGAGAAGATTGAAGCACCAATGCCTGTCTTGAGAGGTGATGAGAAAGCATATAAGGTCCTGTAATGGGGGAAGAATTACTGCCTGAGCAGGCTTAGATAAAAAGGGAATTTCAATTCCATCTCCACTAGAGAGATACACTGAACTTAGTAACATCTGAATGCCCCCACTTAAAGGTATGAACTTAGTGGAAGTGAAAAATGCAAATTCAGAGTAAGGCACATTTTAGGGAAAGGATATAAAATCAGTGTCAGTGTATCCTTATGTTATGATGCAAGCACATATTGTGCAGTTTTAACCTTGCTATTTCAAGAACTAGAAAAGAGCACTAAACGATCAGGGGTTGTACCCAACTCGCATCTTAAGAAAGGTTAAAATGTTTGGGGCTTTTAAGTTCAAAAAGAAGGCTAAAGAGAGTATGATACTGATTTTAAAAACTTGTTAATGTTATGAAAAAAATTAAATTATGAAAATTTTATCTTCCTTCATAATGTTATAATTCAAGGTTGTACAGTTAAATTGCTGATGTGGCAGTGTATTCAAGAAAGACAAAAGAAAATACTTATTCAAACAACTTGTGGTCTGCTTATAGTAGTCATTACTGCAATACAGTGATAATTGCTAGCTTGGATAATTTGAAAAATAATTAGACAAACTCAAAGGTTTGTTTAGTGGCTCTTTTGTTACGACTAAATGGAACCTTCAGTCTCCAGAGGCAGTCTGCATCAGAGTATTAGATGCGGGGACAAATAGTGAAGTACCTACCAAGAGCATCTGACTGGTTAAAAACAGAAAGTTGAACGAGATGGGCCACAAAGTTCTGTTAGATTTAAGGACAGGAAAAGAAATTATTTTTTTTATTTGAATATGGCAGCTTAGTTTAGAGACAAGTGGAAGCAGAGGGTGAATTAAGCTTTAGAGAACTGAAACCAGGTAAAATTGATGTACTGAACGAGTTCACATCATCCTGATTTGCATCTTGTTTCTTGTTGCAGTTAAGCTATATTCCGATTAAGTTACATTAATGTGAATAGGTGTCATCCTTCCTTTACTATCTACTACTTTTCTTTCTATGCAACATTACCTCTTTCTTCTGTATCAGAGTTCTCCATGTGAGACAGCTGCATTGGCTAATACTTCACTTACTACTAACAAATTCACTAAGCACAATAATCTGAAACACCTGCCTAAGAGGACTCTGTTAGGCAACACCAAGTCAAGACACCAAGCTTTTGATGATATGACTAACATAGATGATGATGGGGACAATGAGGGGACACATATTACAGACGAATCCTATCAGGCTGCCAAAGGTGTTGCTGTCAATGGCATTCCAGAACAGCACTTTGAAAATGGGGGAAATCGAGTGGATTTAGAGGCAGCATCAGAAGGTAAAAAGAGCAGCTCTCCAAAAACGAGTTCCATTGAAGAGAATGCAGAACAGAAAAATGCTTCTGCTGAAGAAGAGAAAATTGACCAAGAATGTGAAATAACCAAAGGAGAAACAGAAGAAACTTGCAAGCATTCTAGTGGCAGTGGTGGTGGTGGTGATGAAGATGAAGGTGGTGAAGATGAACAAGAAAAAGCAACAGGGCATGAATCTTGTCCTGACGGAAAGAGCTCCATTCAGCCTAACTTGGAGGAAGCTGCTAATCAGCCCAGCGATTCCGATACAGAAATTGAAAAAAATAATGATGAGATCATAGTAGAAGATGCCTGTGAGAGCCATCAAACTGAGCAAGAGAGGGCTGACCTGATTCCAGAGTTTTGTGAAGTTCCTCAGGTTTGCCAAAAACAAGAACTCCCTGCTTTTCCCCTTTACCAATCCTTTGTGTAGCTGATCCTGCTTGAAGTATGTCATGTAGTGTGACCAGAAACCCCATTTCCTAGTTTAATCTACAGCACCATCATAGTAACTATCCACACCTGAGGCTTTTTGCTCTAGAATACAAGTGCATAGGATGAAATAGGCTGCCACAACATCCAGGACGGTGAATGAAATGTAAAAAAATTGTACTAAAATATGAGCTTGTACTTCTACAACAGAAACATTCCAGCATATATCCTGAGCATTGTTTATGGTTCATTGTGAATGTGTCTTGTTGCTGTTGCTTTTTCAAGCCCTATATGTTCAGTCATAGAATTGTAGAGTTGGAAAAGGGCCCCCTCATGTGATTAGTCACTGGGGGGGGGGGAGTCAGAAGGGGCCCAAATATCTAGCCTTGATATCGCTGTTGCATCCCTGCCACCTGCCTTACCACCTTCCATGTGTTCCATGTGCACCCAAATAGGGCTTGAATTTATTTGCTATTTGTGCATATAATACTACAAGTAGTTATTTGCCACCCTGAGCAGCATATTAACATACAGTTCTGTGCATAGTGGCTAGTTGTACAAAGTAGATAATATTTTCATAACAGAACCATGGCAGGTGTTGCAGTGAGTTGAGCTCAAATCAAATATTACTGTTAAATTCTGGTTGAATTCAGTGGAACAGTACTCACAGAATTATCGAGTGAATAGGACCCAGGATTCACTAATGCATCATTTGTATGTGACAACTGCTGTTAGTTCTGCTCACTGCGAATGCTCTTGGAAATGGCTTCTAGTCCATTTCAAAACACAATTCAAACTGCTAGTCCCTTTAAAGCCTTAGCAGTGAGCAACATTTCTTTTTGACAAGTGTTGTATCAGACACCATATATCAGTGACCAACCCAAAGACAAAAATGTTATGGGTAAACTGATCAGGCATTTACCAGAATGTTACAATTGCATTGCTATTTGTCAAGCGAAACAATGCAAATATTCAGCATTTTGACACTAATCTTTCTCCTTTTCTGCTTGCTAAGACATCAGGATTAGGATCAGATGATCAGTATCAAAAAGAGCAAGAGCTTCAAAAGGAGAACCTAATGCTATCATCTGAAAATATGGAATTACGATTCCAGCTGGAACAGGCTAACAAAGACTTGCCAAGATTAAAGGTATATTTTTTACATGCAGTGTGTTGACTGGTGCCATGGAATGCCAATGTATACTTTGGGGTTCACGAGTCTTTTCATTATGAATCATTTATATGATAAGTCACATATATAACCTTCATTTACCCCAAACAGAAAAATTCATTAGATAATAATGGTTCTGATCAATTATTTTCAGTGTAAACTGCATAATTTTTAGAGTATAGTTTTCAGCTGGGTAAAACTATTTTATTCTCTTTAGAACCAAGTAGCTGATTTAAAGGAAATGTGTGAGCTCCTGAAACGAGAGAAGGCAGAAGCTGAGCGGAAGCTAGGCAATGTCAGAGGGGTATGTATTAAACATTGTGGAGCTTGAATTTTAAGAACAAGTGTAAACCAAATATTTTGTTTCCTTTTTCCTAAATCATACTTATTTTATAGCTATAAACTATTCACACAAAAAACAATATGAAATGTTTAACTTTGGGAGTCACATACGCCTCTGCTTCAAAGAATGTTGAGTCCCAGGATTAAAGTGAGCTATCTCAGAGAACAAAATGCCACTGTGGCAACTGAAAGGGAAATTTCCAAGTAAGTAAAAAGGGAATGCAATTATCTGCACTTTTTTGGGCATGTGACTCTGGATGGATGAGTTTCAGGGCTAGAACTTTCAAGCCAAGTGTTGAGTTGTCTTGATTGCATTAAGATTATAGGGAACGTTTGGCTTTTGCATGACCAAGTTTATCATCCATAGATAGATAGATAGAGGTGGTCCTGCAAAAACACCATTCCAGCTTGCCAACCCTTGATAACTAATGTTTCAGAAAAAGCTAAATATTCTGTGAGAACTAAATGAAAATGAACTGGTGCTGTCTGATAACTCTGGAGTTCTTTGACATGAAAATGACAAATACTTCTTTGTTGTATAGTCTGGAAGAAGTGGGAAAACTATTCCAGAATTAGAGAAAACAATTGGTTTGATGAAAAAGGTTGTGGAGAGAGTTCAGAGAGAAAACGAAGAGCTTAAGAAAGCACCTGGAGTAGTCTCCAATGAAAAACTGGCCAGCCTTGAACAAGAAAATGAATATTTAAAGGTAACATATTCCCTTTCGAAAGCCGTATGATTTTGTGTGTTAATATAAAAATTAAATGTATATAAGATCCATGGAAAGCTCAGTGTAGGATTCTATTTTAAACTTATTGGTGATTTTTAAAGAATTACACACAGCTGTCTATAAATTGGTGCGAGTTTTTTTCATATACTTAAATGGGCACAGTGCTTTTTTCCAGTTTGTAGCAATATCAACATGACAGATAACCAATACCCTTTTTTATTTATTTCTGAATTAAGTCTGAAATGGAAAAACTAAAAGTTCACCTTGGAGGGGAATTGAGTATGCGCTATGAACTGAAAACTAAAGGCACAGAAAAGATAATTGCTGAAAATGAGAGAATCCGGAAGGAGCTGAGAAAGGTACATCTGTGAAAACGTTGATATCATGAAGTATTCTTATTATCATTCAGTTCTTCTCTCAAAAGACAAAGGCCTTCTAGCTTAGAATATCTAATATAGCTTCTTTAAAATTCCTTGTTACAATGGATCCTTTGGGGCATAAAAACCTTGGCATGTTAAAGCATAGTATATAGCAAGTAGGAATTAACACTCTCCTTTTGCCCTTCCCTTGCACAACAGCTTCCACACTTGTTTTATTCAGAGCACGGTTCTTCATTACATCTGAAACAAGCTAATATGTTTTTGTATTTACTAATCAGGAATGAAATATGTTTTCTGAGATCTAGGTCTGTAAGCATGTATTAAAACAGTTTCTCATTTCGGATATAATGAACAACTCGTTTGAATTGAACGGTGCTTAAGCTGACATAAGGTATAGGTGTACCCTTTCTTGAAAAATTCCATCTGAACCAGTTCAATGCATGCAATATTCTTGGGGGGATTTTTGTTGGTCAATAGGAAGCAGAGAATTCAGAGAAGCTGCGGATTGCAAAGAATAATCTTGAGATAATAAATGAGAAATTGACTGCAGAACTGGAAGAGACCATAAGGAAGTTAAGCTTGGCAGAAAGCAGAAACCTGCAGCTTGAGGGAGCTGATGGCAAGGGTGGGAAATCCATTGTGATAACAAGGTAAGAACTTAAAGATTAATTGGATAGCTTTGCTTGTCTATCTTCCTCATTGTTGTCAATAAATGAGACTTATTTTCAGAATAAAAAAAATAATTGTGCATATCCAGTATATGATCCTGAGTCATGTATACAGTATACTTATTTAGTCAGTCATACATAATCAAGTTAGGAAAGTGTATAGCGTTCCTAGGAGACCGCCTTCAGACCAGGTCCGGGGACAGTCTGTCCCCGGACCTCTTCTGAAGGCTGGGGGGAGCAAGGGCTTTTCTTCCCACCCCCAGCATTTTAAAAACCCGGGACAGCGGAGGACTTCTCCGCTGTCCGGGCGATCTTAAAATGCTGGCGGGCGGCATTTAAAATCACCCGGGACAGCGGAGGACTTCTCCGCTGTCCGGGCAATTAAAAGCCCCTGGGAAGGCAGGCAGGGGGACAAAGACTTTTGCCCCCGCCAGCCTTCAGAAGAGGTCCTGGACCTCTTCTGAAGGCGGGCGGGGCGAGTCTTGCTCCCCCGCCTTCAAAAGCCCTCCGGGACAGGCAGGCAGGGGAGCAAGACTTTCGCCCCCGCCCGCCTTCAGAAGGTCTTCCCTCCCCCCGCCCGGCCGGGCACCGTTCCGAAGCCGGGCGGCGGCGGAGGTCTTCCTCCCCCCGCCCGGCCCGGAGCACCGTTCCCGAAGCCGGGCGGCGGAATGCTGTTTGGGACAGTTGCTGATTGTTGTTAGACTAATGTGAATAATATAGTGTGCAATAGGAGTGAGTTGATTTCAGATTGCTTTTATTTTTATTAAGTGTCTCTGTGGTCCATTCACACGTCACACATTTGTTAAAAGAGGACATACTTTGGGACTTTTTGATAGTTAAATTATCCTTAATTTGCACTCCAGTTAAGGAGTATAATAAACGCCTTGGCTATATCAAAGGCTCTGCCTAGTCCAGGATACTTTGCAAGATTCCCAGCAACTAACAGGCATCAAGTGGTCCATAGAAAATGGTGTGCTCATGAATACTCACCATCATATAGATTTCTTCTCATATTGTAGGTATTTTCTTTGAACTTTGAGCAACAATGTTGGAAAGAGAGAAAGTATCCTTTTTTTAAAAAAAAGCCACCATCACCAAATTGATAAAGCATCATACTGGTTTCATATTTACTGAAGAGAAATGGCTAAAAAATTGCCCACCCTCCTTATTTGTATCTTCTCCCACTTGTGAATTTCATCAGTTGATTGTTTCTGCGTTGTATATTAATGGAAAAATAAATGCACGTTGTGCAAGTTCCTTAATGCAAAAATTGTAAAGCGTGGTGCCTTAATATAATTTGTAGATCAGCAAGGCTTGACATATAAAACATCTTTCCCATACTGTTTTGTAAAATGATCCCTCTTTGCTGCACTCCCTTGATATAGCAGCTTAAGGTTTTATTCTAACGTCTAGAAACAATGTTTTGAACAGATCTTAATTTTTTCTTTCAGAATGTATGAAAATAAGATGAAAGAAATGGAAGCTGATATTGCCAAAAAAACTCAAGCCATTAGTGATCTTAAACAGGCATTACGAAAATCCACAGAGAGTGAAGAAAAAAATGAAAAATATATTGAAATCTTAAAAGAACAGGTAAGTAAACATGATTCTGGGTGTAATTTGCCAATCATCTTTAATTTATATTTTATTTGCAAAATTTTAATGCGCAATCTACCTTTTGTTTAGGATGCTGTACTTTCCTCTCCTCATCTAGAGGAAAGGCCTTGCATTTGGAATAGCACCATCTTCTGTTTGTGTCACGTCTTCTGGCGTTACAAAGAACAGGGTTGTTTTTTAAGGGTCCCTTATAGTTTTATTTTCAGCAGGCTTTTTAATTCATTACTTTTTACCTTTTTCTTTCCTTTGGAGTCAGGCATGCACTACCTGTTCTTGTCCACACATCACACTCCCACCCCAACCCCAGACAGCACAGGAGCTGAACTTTGTCTTCTGGGTTCTTTGCTCTGCTACAGGCAATCTGGCAAGGACCTAGAAATTTCTAATGTTAAAATAAAAGTATTTTTTTTCTTCTACGTAAAGGTTGAACTTCTCAAATACTTTCCTGAGGGTGCCAAAACAGAGCAAGGGCTTGCCAAAGAACTTCAGCTTCTCAGGTAAAGCGAAGAAAAGCTTGTTTCTTCTACAGATCTACATGGAAAAATATTGAGGACTATTTAGATCTTTGTCCTGTTTTATGCGGTTGCAGATTAACCAATGATCGTTTGGAAAAGGAAAAGGCAGAGTTAGCTTACCAGGTGGAGAGTTCTCGAAAACAGACTGAAGTTAAGGAAGATGGTGGCTTTGCAGCTGGTAACGTTTAAAATACTACAGATCAAACCTACCAAAGACTTAAATATAAAGAAGCTTCACTCACACAACAGGGCTGTCTAGCCTTCTGAAAAGCTACTTCCTAGAATCAGGGACATATCTGAACAATGCTGAATGAAGTGTGGAAGGCTAAAAGAGGGAGGAAATGGTAGACGTATGTGAGCAAAAGTGCCTTCCACTCAAGCAAGGGAAGGTTTAGGACTTTTGACTAATAGGTTTTTGAATGTGAAGTAAATTACAGTAAGCAGTATCTAAGTTTTTGTAGAACCATTCTCCCAGAATATCCACTTTTTGTCACAAAGCAACTCAGGTGAAGCTCTACAAAACCTGGGACTCCCCGGTTTTATTTAATGATAAAACTCATCTTGAATTGTCATGTAAGGACTTTAATAACTCACCTGGCAGGGCCAATGAAACGGCTTCATTTACTCCACTTGTATTGGAAACTTTACATTTATTGAGGGAAATCACATTAGCTTTAGAATATTACGTTTCAGGAAAATGAGAACAGAACACTGGAAAGTAGTGGTAGTTTTTACTGTACTCTGAGGTTATACAGCTGTTGCACATAAGGCTGTGAACTGGCATCTGAAACCTATGAGTATTATCTACATGTATGAAAAAAAGTAAGCCAAACTGCCTGTGGTACAAGCCTAGTAAACACACGAGCAGTTAGACTTTTTGTCTGAAGATGCCTGAACAATATGCTTATGTAAATAATGTAAAGGTGACTCCCTATTTATGTGGGGGTTCCGCTCCTGGGCCCCGCATGCACACACGAAATCGTGTAAAATGGAAGCACCCTGGAGAGGAGTCCTCAACCAAGGCCTGCTGTCCCTTACACTCACAGGAGTCACAGGGGTGGCATAGCAGGCATGTATGAGACAGCAGAGCTTGGCTAACCAGATGCTCCCCATTTCTGGGTACCACTTCCAGGTGCCTTGCACCGCATGCAAATCAAAGGTGTGTAAATGAGGAGCTGCCTGTAAATGTTTGCAGTAAATTATTAACTTTGTAGCAGTAGAGAACAGACTTTCTAGCTCATTTGTAACTTTTGAGGCATCTTCATCACACACATACATATGAAAAATCTTCCATTTGAATCCCTAGGGAAAGATGGAAACTATAAACTACTGGCAGAGGTAACAAGCCTCAAAACACAGTTGAAAACCTCCGATTTAGAACAGCAGCGACTTCATGTAAGTGTTGTAAATATTCCAATTACTTCCAGATAAGTATCTGTTTATTTATTGAGAAGATTTTCAGAATGTGTTTTAGCTATCATTACCCACAATTTGAGGCAAGCTATTAACAGTCATTCCTTGCTAGATATTTCACCTGCCACTCACAGGTTACCTCTTTCCTATCAAGCTTTTCAAGACAGGTGAAATTTCCCCATATTGGATTGTAGATTCCCAAAGGTAAGATACTAAACAGTATAGGCACAAGCCAGCAGCACCAGAGATTTTTAACCTAATTCTGTGGAAAGAATAGTGAAACTGTCCCAAGTGCAAAGCTTTGGGGTTTTGAGAGTAGATCTAGCAAGAAGAAAGACTATGAAGTTCCAGCAAGCAGAGAAAATGGCAGAGCAAACCCAGAGCTTGCCTATAGGAGCTAAGGCAAGGCTCTCTTCCACAGATACATTTCTGTATTTCTACAGTCTTACCTAGCAAAGTGAAGAGAAACGACCCATCTGAAGATTCACTCTTCTACTACAATGAAAAGTTGCATCCATGTTCTTAAACTCGGAGCATGAGCTAGTCAGACTTCTGTGTCCCATTGATTTTAGTGGGCAAAGAGCTACATTCTTACATCCCCACTAGAATCTCTGGGATTTAAAAGTACTTAACTTTGGCTGGACTGTGCCCATTATGTTTATGGCCTACATTTTACATCAAAGCCCCAAGCGAAAGATAAAACAATGCACATGTATCTGAGATGAAATTGTTAGGATTTAATGTGTAAAGATTTATTGTGTGACATTTTTGCTGTTCCTCATTAGGAAGAAGTCAGAAAGCTGAAAAATGAACTGGACCACTTTGATCCATCCTTTTTTGAAGAAATTGAGGATCTAAAATACAACTATAATGAAGAAGTTAAAAAAAATATTCTCTTGGAAGAGAAATTGAAAACACTTTCTGAACAATTTGGTGTTCAGGTAGATATTCCAGCCAGAGTTTCTATTGATTAAATGAAAAAGTACAGAATGTTTTTAAAGAAGACCTGAGACTTGGCACAGAAAAAAAACAAGAACCTTCTTATGTCAGGGGTCAAACAAGCTTTTTTTATACTTTCTCAGAAATGTGTTTCAGCTCTTGCCAAAGCAAGCATCTCCATGAGCTACTGCTTGTTTTCACTTCTGCAAACACAGAAGCAAAAGTAAGGACTAAAGGTATAGTACTATTATACTGTTGTTTTTTGTGCTAATTTATTATATAGTCAGTATTATATTTTTATAGATCTTACATTGATGTGCTTGCAGTGAAGGTATAAAACTGAATGCAGTTTAGAAATTATTTATTTTTCTACATTTGTTCATTACTAGTGTATTATTCAAACAGTTTAAAGCTTATTTACCCTAAAACTGACAGTCCAGAAATATGGGCTTTATCTAATAAAATATATACAAACTTGCTAAACAAGTTTACTTCTCATTTTTTGCATTCCATTAGTATGACTGAATTTTAGTTTCATTATCAGAAGCGACTTTACGTAAAGCTGCCCTGACATAATTTAAGCAAACAATGTACAGTAGTATTGTAACACATGCATTTCAAAATAAATGTATCTTATTAATTTAAACATTTTAAAACAAATGCCAGTGGCTTCTCAAACATTGTATTCCATGACATATAAACATGTATCTTACTTTTATTACTCATAAGATATATGTTGCTCCTTTGAAAATATATGGAAACAACAAAATCACTACATGTATGTATTTTTGAGGAAACAGCAATGAATTTGCACACAGTAACTCTTCAGAATTGATTTAATGCACACAAGTATTTTTTGCTACAGTATTTGCAGCAGAGTATAAAATATAAACAGAAAGCTACCCCGAGGCTATTCAATTGACCCTAAGTTAGTGAAGAATAATGTTCTACTCCTCAAAAGTTTGACAGTAAAGCATTCTGTTTTTTTTTTTAAAAAAGCCTTTTGGAAATTTTTCTTTCACTTTATAGTTTGATCTGTTGCAAAATTTAAATATGCTTTTCAGTTAAACGTTGCTAGAAGAAATTCACCCATACAAATTAGTCATTACCACAACTGAATGTACAAACTATACAATAATTTAAAACAAAAAGCAGATGATTTCAGGTATGTAACTGTAATGAGTATGGGTTGCTCGTGCGTAAGTTGCCGCCTCTCCTGGCTATGTTGCCTGGTTAAACCTTTGTCTGGACAGCCCTTCACTTCGTGGCTGCCTCAGTCGCTAGCAGAATCCGTCAGTGGGCGTTTCTTAAACCTTTTCCAACGTAAAAGTTGTTTGACGCCAAGTCTCCTCCTACTCTCCCTGCGCAGAAGTCTTCTGCGCAGGGAGGGCGTGGGTAGCGGAGGACCCGTGCTCTCCCCGCTGGTGTCCGGTGAAGAGTCCTGGAGCCCTCTCGCCGATTCCCCATCTGCCCCCCTTTATCCCTGGTGTTGCGCTGATTTGCTTCCCCATCTGCTGAGCTGCCTCTCTCCCTGCTGGGCCCTTCTCCAGCATCATTTGAGAGCCTTCCCTCCGCCTCTAGCTCCAATGTCAGTTCCCTGACAGTAACCATCACTTCAATAGGTATGTTTCCCACACAATAAAAAAAAAAACTGCTCAAAAGTTTATAGATTTTTATTTGTGGCTTGTCTGCTACATAATAAGCAGCAGTATTTGTTATATATACATGTACACACTGAGGCATGTGTTGCCTAAATACTATTTACATTGCATTTCAACAATGGAAACCTTTTGACATCCCCTATCTAAGGAATGAACAATCACACAGATGGCTACTTACATATATATATATAAATTTGGTCACAGGTTACTTACTATATCTCTGAGACTATTGAATCTTTGTCCCTCCAATTTTGAAAAATAATGGAAAAGTGTCTTTGGCTCAAAATTATAGTTGTATTTGGCACCACTAAAGGTGATAACAACTGGCTGAGAAATCAAATGAGGGTCCACAATTGGCCAGCACAAGCCAAGATGATGCCGATGGAGCTATGAAGAAAAGAAAAACAATTACATTACTAACTGCACTAAGTACCAGATCAGAGTCTGAAATAACTGCACGGACACATTTTAATACTCAATCAGTGAGACAGGTTTTTAAATTCTTGATGATTGAAGGCTTCATCCTTTCCTACTTGTATTTGAAACAGCTACTCCATTCTTCTCTCCAAAATTACATTACAAGCATAAAATAGAAGATACAAATTGCACCAAATCAAAACTGACATCTGGAAATGACTCTGGAGGCTTAATATTTCATTCCCATGGCTTTCTTCTAAAATAAACAGCCAAATAGATTGAATGATGAGCAAACACCAAGATATTATATGGATTCACATGTGTATATTTGCATGTTCTATGCAACTTTTTCTGTAAGCACTGGTATGTTGAAATGCATTCATGTATAATGTGAAAGTGCTTCTAGGGAATTAAATGATAACATAATTTGGTGGTTTGTTTTTTTACTAAGCTTTCAATTGCAGCTGAAAATCCATTTTCTTCTTTGCTCAATTTTTTAAAAATAAACTTGGCAGCATGTTGAAGCTACTGAACTAAAGGCCTTGCATTCGTAGATAAAATCAAGATGTTGGTTATTCAATAAATCTTTCAGAATTACCTTAATTAAGTTTCCATCAGCACAATGCCATACAATTCCTTCAATTTTCCCTTCTTTGCTTTCATCAAACCAAGACAATATGTCATCATGATTCAGTGGAGGGGCATTTTTTATTTGAAATGTTCCATGTGGTACGAGAAAGTGGATAGGATGTTTCTTGTCTCCTAAGCCTATTTAAAAGATTATTAAACAAATGCAATCAACTATTTTATTGTATTACAGAAGTTCCCAAGTCCCACCTTTATTTCCTAATCATCAATGATGCTCCCTTAGCCAACTCCCTTGGGCTTTTGCTTTTATAGCTCCATGCTACTTGTAGCCGTTTTCCAAATATTTTGTTTCTAGAGTCTGAGCAATTCAGCTAAAGACAGACAGGAACCCTTCTGTTTGCTGCAGCTCAGCCGACCACTGCTCTAGGCTTTATCAACATGATGCTTTTATTTGTTATTTGTTTAGTTGTAAACACTTCAAGCAAGCTGCATATTATGTTTGTTTGCCAAAGGTTTTGCTGTGTATTGTAATTCTTAAAAGATTGTGTTTGCAATAATCGTACACAGTGTTTATTGCCAGTGCCTGATATAAAGCTCTCAGAAAAATATCTTGTTGATGAATATAAGATATGCTTACCATATGGATTTGCATTAATGCTCGTTCCAATAAGCTCCAGAGTTTGTTCTGAGAGATCTGATAAGGGCACTAGACTAATTTCCAGAAGACCAGGTTCCTCAGTGTGATTCTTCAGAATGAGCGCTAGTTCAAATTCATAGTCAACAACAGAGGTATGCCAACAATATTGTTTGCTGTTTTGTTCCACTGGCACCCAGCCTGTAAAAAAACAAAACAATATTTTCCCCCTATTTAGGTTGGCTCCATTGTTTATAAAAATATTACATGTGATATGAACATTAATATTGCTCAAATATGAAAAACCAATGGTTAAAAAATAATCTCTAATCGGACACTGAGTTCTTGCATATATCCAAATTTATATTGTTCACTAGGGAACGCCTCCAACAATTCTGTCTCAATACTGCACTTCAGTGTGATCTGGAGAATCCATGTTATTCAGATCAGCCCTGTCATGATATTTCAACCTTAGTCCCTCAATAATATAGTGAAGGTAAACAAGATATATAAAGCTACCTGAACAAAAAATAGGCTATACAAGGACTAATTCACCATGCAAGTATGACTTTTGACATGGTAATTCCCAACTTACTTGTTTACAATATTTATCTGGGTGGCTTGTTTTTCAGTTGAATGAGTAAATTAATAAAATATTACATAAAGTATTCAAGATCTCTAAATGACTGAAGTTTGGAACAGATTTTTCTGGTGTTCAGCTATGTTTTTCTACCTGGAATATGTCCATTTTCATCAGGGAAAGGTTTTCCATTGCAGTACTCTATTTCCTTTGTTGGAATCCAGCATTCAGGAACAGGCTTGAAGTCGTCTTCAATATTCCAAGTAAATCCTGGAAGCAAGAATATGAAATACACTTGTTATCTATCTTCTGAAGAAGTATTAACACAATTCATCCTAAGACCAACAAAACTGGCAATAGCAATTGATTACATGGATTTTATAAATTTAAGTAGTATGGACTGCTCTGTTAAGAGTATTATCAAGGATATTAAAATGCTGATTCTGCATTTGTATAATTATTTTTCTTATACCCCACCCATCCGACTGGCTTACCCCAATCACTCTGGATGACTTCCAGCAAAAATGCAGGAAAAGCAGCAGCAGCAGCAACATCAAACATTAAAGGCTTCCCCAAACAGGGCTGCCTTCAGATGTCTACGAAAAATTATACAGTTGTTTAACTCTTTGACATCTGGCAAGAGGTACATGCAATGTACATGGCAGGTGTGACTACCAAAAAGACCACCTGTGTGGTTCCTTGTTGAAGGCCCTCAGAACTGACCTCCATGTCTGGGCTGAACGATGAGCATGGAGATGCTCCTTCAGGTATACAGAGCTGAAGTCTTGTAGGGCTTTAAATGTCAACACCAACACTCTGAATTGTGCTTGGAAATGTACTGGGAGCTAATGTAGATCATTTAGGACCAGTGTTATGTGGTCCCGGTGGCCGCTCCCAGTCACCAGTCTAGCTGCTGCATTCTGGATTAATTGCAGCTTCCAAGTCACCTTTTAAAGGCAGCCCCACCTATTTAGAAGCATTTACTTTTTGAACCCTCCTACATTCCTCCTAAAAATGTTGATATTCCAGTCAACAAGAAGCAAGGAGCACGTGCACATGGTGGCAAATCAAAAGAGACTTGAGGAAATGGAACAATACCAACTTCACCTTCTCAAACAAAATAGCCATGATCAAAATGATCACCCTCCCAAAATTAATCTATTTATTCCAAACCCTCCAAATCTGGATTCCCCCAGCCCAACTCCAGAAGTGGCAGAAAAAAACTACACTCGTTTATTTTCTCATACAAAAAGCCAAAAATAAGCCCCAAATACCTGTGCGTCCCCACCTCAGAAGGAGGATGGGGAATCCCCAAAATAGAATCATATTACATCGCCAACCAAGTACACCACATAATCCAGTATATTCTAGAAGATGAGACGAAACAATGGGTCCACTTGAAGAGAGAAACCATCAAAAGCATCCCCACAACAGCATCCCCATTTCTCCAAAACAAACTAAAGAAAATCTCCACAACACTGAACAGTGCATGCTTAAAGCATGGAATGGAAAAGTAGGCAAACTATTCCCATCCCCACTAGCCCCCCTGGCCTATCACCCACTATTCCAACATGCAGCACAAAACCTCCAGATAAAAACCAGGCTAGCTAAAGGCCAACACTGTCAAAAAGACTTCTACAACAGCAAACCCATACCAACACAAGAAATAGAGGACAAACTAGAGGACACCCAAATAACTTGGCTAACACATCATCAACTACATGCCTTCTTAATCCAACAGTAGAATCAACAGCCACTAGGCCCTTGACCACCTTCAAAAACCTCCTCCTGACAGCAGAGGGACACAGTAAAGGGATGGTATCCACAATATATAATATACTGCTCCAAAATCTCACAACCCCCCTTGATGCAATCAAAGAACAATGGGAGCATGACATACGCTATGAAATAAACCCCGCACAATGGTCGAGAATGTGGTCTAAACCTCCCTTTAAGTCCGTATCAGCCAAAAGAAGGGAACTCACTCTGAAACTCATCTACAGGTGGTACTTAACACCACAGAAACTGGCACGGATATGCCCAGAAACCTCACAAGATGTTGGAGAGGCTGCACCTTCACAGCCACATACCTCCAGATGTAGTGGGAATGCCCTAAAATCCAACCCTTCTGGACAGCAGTCCTACAAGAGATATGCAAAATAACTAAACAGGTATTAGAACTCACCCCAGAATTGGCCCTACTGAACATCTTCCAAGATCATAATGACCACTCACATTATATAGTTCATAACCCACCTACTCTCAGCAGCCAGAAGCCTCATAGTTAGACACTGAAGGGAATTTTCAAGAGTAAAAATGAACCAATGGTATCAAATTGTATGGGAAACGACCTTGCTAGAAAAGCTAACCAATAAATTGAAATTGACACAGGGACAAATAGAAGAGGACGACTTCACCCTAGTATGGCTCCCCTTTATCAGCCCAACAAGACAACAAGAAGAATCTACTGACAGCATATGAATCTATCTGGTTTACCTGACCCAACAAGCCACCCCCCAATGCAAACAAACCCCACTGCAGCCAACCACAGCCAACCAGCCACACCCTGCCCCCCAATACATCTCACTACCAAGGAAATGTAATAAACAAATAGAAAGAAAACCTACCCAGTTGACATTGACACAAAACCCCACACGTACACTATACAAAAGAATATAAGCCTCACTATCCCACTCCTCCTCTTCCTCCTCAACCTTATACTTTACTCAACACTAATGTCTCACAACAAATGTAACTGATTTGTAAGAAAGACAGTCCAACCAAAAGAGATAACACATGTACTTTTGTAAACCAATAAAATCTTTAAAATACCGTATTTTTCGCCCCATAGGACGCACTGGCCCATAGGACGCACCTAGTTTTTGGGGGGGGAAATAAAGAAAAAAAAATTAATTTCCCCTCCAGGTGCGGGGCTGGGGCGGGGGAAGTCCAAGCTTCCCCCGATCCCAGCCCCCAGAACAGGCTGCTATCCGCTAGCCGTGGGAGAGCCGCGCGGAGTCGCGCAGCTCTCCCACGGCTAGCGGAGCGCTGCACGAAGCCCAAAGCTTGGGGCATGCTGAGCTCAGCACGCCCCAAGCTTCTGGGTGCCGGCAAGATCTCCGCTAGCCGTGGGAGAGCTGCGTCTCCCACGGCTAGCGGATAGCTTCCTGAAGCCTGGAGAGCGAGAGGGGTCGGTGCGCACCGACCCCTCTCGCTCTCCAGGCTTCAGCGAAAGCCTGCATTTGCCCCATAGGACGCACACACATTTCCCTTTCATTTTTGGAGGGGAAAAAGTGCGTCCTATAGGGCGAAAGATACGGTAAATAAATAAGCTCTTGATTACCAAAAAACCCTCCAGCTACCAACCTTTTGAGTCGCCTGCTGAGTGCACAAAACGTTTGAACCTTTTCTCAGCTTGCTTGTTTGGTTTTCTATCCAACCGGGCCCAAAGGTATGGCTGCCCTATAGTGAACAAAATGGCATCAAAATTTATCATGAAGTTCCTTACAACAAACAAACAAAAATCTAGACAACTCCAAAAGTACTGAATATTGCTTTTAACTCTGGCATGGAGCAGCTGCTCGTATAAGCTCTTACAACAGTCTTGGAAGTAAACCCACAAAAGTTACGAATCTACACAAATTTCTGCTGGCCTACTAGAGGGATAGTAGCCCCGTGCTTCCACGCTAGCCTAGAGGAAGGAAACTTACAAAAGCATCTAGAGAAAGCACGGGGCCCAGATGCCTGCAAGTGAGAGTCATGTGTAGGGGGAGAAGAGAACAGCCAGTCCCTTTTGCCAATCAATGTGTGGTGAGGAAGACCTTGCTCACTCAATGGGGGGGGGGGGAGGAAACACTACAGAGAAATGGAAGGAGGCAACTAAGCCAATTGCCCAAGGTCTGGCTTGCCCAAGGTGGCTACAGTGACATCAGGCTATCACTCTTCTTATCGGTGAAGAAAGTGTGGGCTGATGTACTCATCTCCATCACCCTGGGCAAATGAAGGAGGGTGTCCTACCTTTCAGCCTCTGACCATCGACAGGAGCCCAACACTTCCCTTAGCCATGAATTCAGTATGGATAAAGCCCATTAAATTATGTACAGCATATTTTCACTATAAAAAGGACTACTTAACAGAGCTCTTTCACATTACCTTTGTGCGTAGTTATGTAGCAGCAAGTTCCATCCACCTTTTCAGTTGGGATCGCACTGTATATATCTGCATCTAATGCCTTTGGATTAATTGTTTCGGTGGCCAGCACTTTAAAAGGCTAAGGAGAAATTAGGTGTCAAAGTATTTTGGAAGTATAACTTTTTTCAAGGCAAGAATTCGCTCTCCATCCCCATCCCCATCCCCACCCCTACCCCCAAACCCAGCAACCTTCCTTCTTAATAACATTGATTCCAAGACACTGTACAGCCATCATTTCTATGTTGTAAACCGCCCTGTGATATTTAGATGAAGAGCGGTATATAAATTTCATAAGCAATGATAACAACATCAATTCAGAGGATGAAATGTAGACTCTCCGTTTCCTACTGAATTTCAGAGTCATTTTGAGAGGGTTCTCCATTTTGAAGGAATCAAGCCTAGGGTTACAGAATCTTAAAAGCTACTATATCCATGGCAACAAAGATTCCATGCATCATTTATCATGGGAACAACAGTTGCTCTCAAGGCTTCAGTTTGAAATTAGAAGCCGCATCACCAACAAAATAATGGTACGTAGCTATGTTTATTACTTTGAAATCACAGGGATAATCTCGTTAAAAGATGACTACACCATGAAAATCCAACTTGTAATGTAACCTTTTCTTCCATCAAACTTAAGCAGAGAAAGAGTGAGATGTATTCTGATGGCTTGCGGTTACTGCTGTTTCTTAGCATCTGAATACAGAAAAGTTATTAAGGAACTCTCTCAGTGCATTATAATGGTTCAGCCTGAATGTGAAAATATACCCGAGAGGGGAAAGCGGGGAGGGATCTTCACCTTCACAAGTTATCCAACCCACTCCAGCTACTGATGGCACTTAGGTAGATCAATGTAAATGACAAACAGAGCGCTTACTTGAGCAGCAGGTGCAAAAATAAAATAAGATACACCTGTTGCGTTAAATGAGACTCACATATTCCAAGGGAGGGGTGGTGCTGCTGATGTTGTGTGCAGGCCTAGAAATACTGTATGGGATTTCTGAAAGAGGAGATGCAAGGTGGATGGGTGGATATTGTTTTTTTGGGGGGGAGGCTAAGCCGAGCTAAGTCTTAGTCCAAATATGATGCCCAAGTAACTAAGGACCCACCCTAGCATGGGCCAGGAAGCAGAGAAAGGTGCCCCAAAACGTCCTCAAAACAATTCAGGGCCATTTCGCTCCTGCAGACATTCCTACAAGGAAAGGTGCACGCAGGTAAAGTGCCCTTGCATGCGAAGCACAGGCTGCAGGGTCTTCAATAATAATAATAATAATAATAATAATAATAATAGCCGCCTCACGTGGGATGAAAACACGAGGCGAGGCGATCAAGGCGGCAGTCGGGGAAGAAGAAGCGCCTTCCTTTCCCAGCTGCCGACCCTCCTTCCCCGCCGCCGCCGCCGCGCTGGCTTCTTCTTCCCCGCCGCCGGCTTTCCCCCGGCGGGCGCGGGGCTCGCTCTGCCTTCCCCGCCGCATACCTGGCGCTCCCTCTTGGCCGAGGGCTCCTCCTTCACCTGGGTCACGAACAGGCAGGCCACCTTCTGCTGCACCGAGCCCAGGCGGCTCATGGCGGTCCCTCCGGCCTCGGAGCAGGCGCCGGCCCGCCCGCGCGCGACGCCGGTGATTAGCAGCAGCAGCAGCAGCAGGCCTAGAGGCTGCCTCCCCCCGGCGGCGGCGACCGGAGCAGCAGGCGTAGCTAGGCCCGGCTGAAAGGGGTGCCGGGAAATGTAGTCCGGGAGGGAAGCGGAGGGAAGTTGAGGGACTCGTTCTCGCGTGACGTCAGCGCAGAGGGGCGGGTGGGGCCGCTCGCTCGTCCCTAATAAAGAGAGCGCAGCTTTTGCATATGCCAGACTTGAAGAGTAAGAAATGATTGTGCTTGGAATTAAGACAGTACATCTCCCCCTAGCGGGGAAAAGTATGAGCAAAGTGACCCGCATGGCTTTCCAGTCAGCAAGAAGCACCCAGGTGCTCCCTGTTGATGGCCAGCTTTTCCCACTTGGTTTGTTAGTATTTATACTCCGCCTTTCACCCCCGGCGGGACTCAAGGCGGATGGCAGTGAAAAAGAGGAACCGCTCAAAAGAAAGAAAGAAGCCAAGTTGATAGAATTAAAGCTGTACACATATATACTTTAAAAATGGATTTGGACAACTCCAGCAATGCGTTCAGATAGAGGACTGTCCTTGAACAATGTTTCAAATGGAGCGCAGTCTTTTGAGGGCACTGGCAACACACACGTTTTAGATATTTATATATTGCTTAATTACTAAAGTGGTGTGTGGTTATTCAGGAAGGAAATACCGTTTAAAATATACATCTCCAGAGTTTATACCATTTTACAGGCTAAATCTGTGCACTCGCTGGATGTTTATCCCTGCAGCTGCTGGTTGGTAATGTAGTTACATCTAAATGGGCAATTTAGTTCATTTTCTATAGCATGTGTCCAGCGGTTAGCTTCCGTAACTCTGAAAAAGTTTCTGTGTTTCATAGACAAGTCTTCAGGTGATTTCCCTTTGTGTGGGGAAATGATGGCTAGTCTTTAAAATCAAATGTAAGGGTTGTAGAGAAATGTATGTTCACAAGTTACTATTACAAATATTCTATTAGATATGTAGCTTGTTCAGCAGAAGTGTTTTGCTTCTCTATTATTATACTATGAGCTGTCATAAAAACAAGCGTGCCCTTTCTCCATGTCAAGCAATAGACTGAATTAGATCAATGTTACTTTTGGCTACAATTACATGCAGATTAAGTGGGAGGTAGCCCCACTGCAAACAATGGAACTTCCTTCTGACTGTGGAATTCTAGGGTTTCAGTGTTATTAAACACATGGAGAACTGATACTAGCCACATATATTAATATATTTTAAAATAATACCAAATCAGCTTGTTTCTTCATTCAGATTACTTATTCATGGTTTCATTTATGGAAGGAACACCAGTTGCCACTGAACTACAAGAGCCATTAGGGTAAACATGCTTTATAAGGTTGCATACACAGTCTGAATAGCTGTAGCTGGTACTGTTCTATGCTTTCCCAACCTTTAATAGCAAGAAGTTCAGGACCAGTCTTTTACATTAACCTTTTCTCATTGTTTCTTCTTCTTCTAATGTTCTACTTATTTAAAACTTATTTCTAAACTCATTGTGTGTTCTTTGGTGTGACTAGCTCAGTTTTTAAGGCAGAAAACAAGTCCTGTATAAAATGTAAACTGTGTCTATTAAACATGTACACTGGTTTCCAACAACAGTTATCAAAGAAACCACACAAAAATATTAATTGTAAATATAACTAAACATATAGTAACAATATTTTTTTTTTACAAGGATTAAAATAACCATTCTCCAATTTGAAAGCAACTCCCTTTAAACGTTTATGACCTAAAAGCCTTTCCATAGATAAAGCCAGGCTCAAGGCAGCTTACAACTTGAACAGATTTGCATAATTACAAACATAACAATAGCAGTAATAAGCAATAACCAAAATGCATTAAAAAGTGCACAGCCAAATTGAACAGTTTGCATATAAAATAATAAAATCTTAAAATAAAAATACACCGCCCTCGCAGGCCAGGTGGGAAAAGGCCAGCAAGGTCTTCCAGGACATTAATCCAATCTAGATATTGCAAAGCATAGTTCACAAAGGCTGCATCATCAAACGAGATTGCAGCTGGTGTACCGGGTGAAGCTAGAAGGAGTTACTCCTGATCACAACCACCACCTGATAGTCTAGGAATAAGGCCAGATTCAGAAGTCATAGAATGCAAATTTGTTCTTTCAGGAGGGGTGAGACTCTATATTGAGTAGACCATTCATTCCACAATCCAGAGTCCTTCTAACCACCTTAATCCATATCTTTTCTAGATAATTGGCCTTCATCCAGCATGTTACTGATTTTGTGTCATGATTCAGGGATTCCACTGCTTCACTAATATTTGAGGAAAAGCAGAGATGTAACTGAGTATTAACTGCAATACTAATGACACTGAACTCCAAATCCTCCAATAATCTTGTCATTTAATGACAAACAGAACTCTGTGGGACTGGAGAGGATAATTTAAAGGAGGCAAAACAGGAATCCCTCCCTCCAGAAATGTAGAGAATCACTCCCAGGTAACTTCAGTTTGTAGGGTAGATATGCTAGTCAGCAGCGATCAATGATCAAAATGTATTTAAAAACCAAGGCTTTGGCAGGCAGGCAATTATTGAAGAGGGCAGAAGCTGATGTTTTCACTTGCTTTCACTCCCATCCTTGTGCTTCTCTTAATTATATAAGTTACAGATGTTCTTCTCTTAATTGAATTCTACTGACTTAGTAAGGTACGACGAGATGAAAGGGCTACACAAAAATCACTGTTTTCTTCCTCTTTTAAACATAGGAGCGATGAAAATAAGCGAGCACTCCCAGTTTGAGGGGTCGTATGGTGGCCTTTGTGATGATGTCATAAGAACCAAGGTAACAATGAGAGAAATTCTGGAAGTTTGAATTTGCGCACTGTCTAGCAACCACTCTCAATCTGTGAGCACTTCAACAAACCTGGAGAAGGTACCGTCTGTTTTACAATTAGTATAAGTAACCCTTTGAATAAAACTCTCAACTGGAGGTCTCCCTTTAAGAGGAAATAGAATTTAGATCCCGAATACAGCTGTATTCAGAACAAAAGGGAATGTTCTTTCCTTACACGTTGATAGTTCTTACATTTGCATTGAGACCTTTCTAAAGGCAGTGGAGTAGAAGCACAAGAGGTGGCAATGGCAGAAGTTGGGGATGACTGCTATTTCTATTTTCATTCAACCTGTATAAAGGTAAATACTGCACAATTTATAATGGCTTGCATCTATCATGTTGTTATGTGCCCTCCACTTTTCCAAGTAGTGAGATGTTTCAGGGATGGTGCTGAAGGGTTCAGAGAGCAATTCTGTGTGTTTTTGTGTGGAAGTAAGCTCCACTCAGCAGAGTCTAATCCCAGGTACGTGTAGAAAACTGGAGTCTCATTTCCTTTGAATAAGAAAGAGCGCTAGAGACTTCAGTTGTCTTTGTAATAGGATGATGATGATTGCACAGCAAAAGCAAACATGCATTCCCACAATGGGCAAAAGAGGCCCTAGAGAGCACAAATGCTTCATTTTGTTTAATTCCACCTTGAAATTCTCAGGTCTCTGTTGATTTACCTCTTTGTGTTTCTACCATTTAAAAAACTGCAGCTTACTTTTGCTGTTTCCCTCCCCTTGTCATTGGCAGAAGGAATGTTCATTTGCCTTTTCCATTGAAACCCACAATAATTATGGAAAGTGCAAACTACTTTTTGCTGCTCCTCTGCTCTCCCCATTCAGGAGGAGTGTTCACCTTCTCCAAGTTCAAATGGGCATCCCATTTAGAAGGCTAAAGAGGGCCTGCAGCCTTCCCCTAATGACTTTTCTTCCGTTACAAATATGGCTTAAAAGAGTGGTGGTGATCACAAGGCTTCCCCAGTAGGAGATAACTGACAAGATTAAAAAAAAATCCGGAACATACAAGGCTATGTGTAGTTAGCTGTTTATCGGTTATGAAGATCTTTTCCCATTAGCAATGAATGAGTTGTGTGACTAAGTATATATAGATATACATCTTCCCAAGATGGACCATCATTGTCCCTCAAAACATAACAATATTTACAGTTAGCTAATAATCATTTCAGGCTTCCACCATTCTACTCCCACATCACTTGCAAACACTAGCGAGAAATTCCTTCAGTTACAGACAGTCCTTACACCTCACCAGTTTTCAAATATCAATGCGCTCCACTGGCATGGTCATCTCAATATGCTTACACCTACATAGCCCTTTCAGTATGTTAAATGTGCTTCCACATTGATTTCCGGCCCATACTGTCCGTGCATAATTTCTAGGTTCAAACTGTTGATCTGTAACTTGCAGCAAGTCTTTGTCCTAAGGCAGGGGTGAAACGGGATCTTTCTGGTGGTCTGGATCATTATCTCCTTCACACCTACACACCCCAGCGGCCTTGTTTGTGCAGTGGCCTCCCGTGGGAGGCTTGCTTGACACCCCATCTGATGTATCTCTAGTGCCAGGCAAAAAGTGCTTTTCATTTGTTCAGGCCTTCTAGCATGTCACATAATCTGATATAATCCAATCTTATTTGTTATTTTATTAGTTCAGCTTGGTATTTATTGCACTGCTGCCGTTCTGCTGGTTCTCTGACTGGAATGTTATTGTATTTCTAATTGTTTGTTTGTGATCCATGCTAGAGTTTTTGGAAACTGAAGGGCAGCCTAAAGAACATTTAAAGAAATACTGCCTGGCCGAATTTTCCAACCTCTCTCTCTTCTCTATTCAGGGATCAAAGTGCCGATTCCGTCACTGTGAAAAAGCCATTGGCAGTGACACCGTGTGCTCATTATGGAGAGAGGGGAGATGTTCCCATCAACTTTGCAAATTTAGACATATGGAAATACAGGTAGAAACGGCAAGCGCTTTGAAGTGTTCTCTTGTGAAGAGATCTATTATAAGCATTTATTGGCTGTCTCTCGCCTCTGCTGCTGCAGATGTGACATCTTAAGTTTCACAGTTAAGATGCATGATGTTCCTGTGACGCCCAGATATCAGCTTTGGAAATAGTCAAACATCATTTTATTACCTAAAGATAGAACTGGTTCACACCTTCTACCCCACTTGAAAAGCTGAACAAATTCACTGAATTTTAAGGATCCCTTCATCTGTACTTTATTACAGCTTTATGTTCCCATAACGCTCTTCTTTGCACTGCGAGAATAGAATGTTTTTATACTGCAATGAGTATAGAGGAGAAAAATGAGCTCCCTTTAGTCAAATTTTGAGTCCTCTTAAATTTAGTGGCAACATGTTTTTGCGCTTCAAGTCGATTAAAAGGAAGCTGGGCAGGGGAACATCCTCCTCTCTCAGATACCACATATGGGTTGGAACCCAAGGAAATGGGCAGAAGGGAAATACTTATTTCACTTTATTGTTTATTTATTAGATGTATATGTTCACCAAAAGGTCTCAGGGTGGTTCACAAGATAAAGCCACTAGCAGTGCTCTGCAAAAGTGGAAGAGCTCAATAATACTATGTTATAATGCAAATGTTCAAGTGCTCGTACTCTACACAAGTAGAACAATAAGTTTGGATTGAGTTTTACTTTCCTCACACAACTCCTGTGATTGGAAGGGTACCTTTAGATTCAACAGAAAATGTGTAATGTATAAAGAACCAGAAGCCTGATTCTCTTTTGATAGCTGATTGGGTAGGGAAATCAGCCAAATCATTTTCAATAAGATCACATTCTCACACATCTTTTATTGATATCTCTGCAAATTTCCGTTGCAAAATATAAGGGACAGAGCCTTCTCAGCAATTTCTCAGCCATTGCTCTTCACTGTCTAGTTTTATGGATTCCAGTGTTCCAGCTATGACCCGCTTTAGTATTTTGTAATTATTAAATATGGAACCACCTTTCCCCCCCTTTTTTCTATAGCAAAAATACAACAGCATTTCATGTTTCTGGGAGACACAGCCATTGGGCTGTGTGAGAATCAGTTGTGTCTTCCATCACCGGAAACCTCGTAACATAAATGGACTTTTTTTGCCACCTAGTAATGGTGAGTACAAATGTGTCTCCCCCCCCATATTCTGAAAACTGAAATAAAAATGTTCTAGAGTAGAGTCTAGTCTTAAAATATTAAGGCCATCGCTGTAGAAGGACACTGTCTTTTACACACTGAAATACTCTGGGCTGTTGCCTAACTGATCAGAATGAGGTCAGTGTTTTCAAGATTAACATTCTTGAAGGAGGCAGTGGTAAAACCTTCCCTGGATTTGGAATACCTAACTAACTACTGGCCAGTTGCTAATCTCCCTTTCCTGAGCAAGGTTCTGGAGTGAGTGGTGGCAGACCAGATCCAGGCACCTTTGTAAAAAACTAATTTTCTGGATCCATTTCAGTCGGGGTTTAGGTCTGGTTTTGGTGCAGAAACTGCTTTGGTCGCCCTATATGATGACCTCTGTTGAGAGAGAGAAAGGGGAAACATGTCCCTGTTAATTCTTCTTGACCTCTCAGTGGCTTTTGATACCATTGACCATGCATCCTTCTGGAGCAGCTGTCTGAACTAGAGATGGGTGGCATCACTAGTAGAATGTTTAGAATTCAAGGCAAATAGGGCAACATATTAATGGCCCATCCATATGGATAAGAACAGGGCAGGCACCTGGCTGAGTGGACCCTCAGCATAATGTCACCAATGCCACCACCAAACATGGACTTGAGTTGCTGCCTCCTCCATGCCATCCCTCTGTCATTACTGCCCTGCCTTGCCATCCCCACAGTAATACAAGTGCTGGTCCTGACAACCAGAAACTGCATTAAGGGGGAGAAACCATGGTGACCACCAGGGGCCAATTGGAGCCAAGCAACCCCTCTGCTTCCAGCCAGCCCATTACATCAGCAGCACGGATAATCCTGGGAGGAGGGGAAGAGGTGGCTGGCAGTTGCAGTGCTGCCAGTGTCTGTATCTGTGCTACTGAGGAATTCAAACACAATATTTTACATTCTACATAACTTCAGGATCTTCTGTTTGTTAATTTTTTTAACGTGTAAGTGTACATATTCCATCGAAGAATGAATGTTACATTTTACATTCAAACACAAGAATATGGTTACAATTTAATATGTTTGTATATGGAAGAATACATGTGGAAAGTATTGTATTATAATGAGCAGGGGTGGGGGAGAGAATCAGCTTGGATATTGCAGGAAAGATCCACAGATTGAATTCTGTCATGTATCTTTCTTGCAAAAGGCATGTGCATTTCCATTCCACTCTTGATGGGTTCCACATGCATTTCCTGCTCAGAAGAGATATATTTTCTCTGAACTAACTCTGATTGGAGAGGAAATGGGTGGAATAAAAGCCCCTTCCCCCCAAAAGCTATGATACAGTGGTACCTCGGGTTACATACGCTTCAGGTTACAGACTCCATTAACCCAGAAATAGTACCTTGGGTTAAGAACTTTGCTTTAGGATGAGAACAGAAATCGTGCTCCGGCGGCACAGCAGCAGCAGGAGGCCCCATTAGCTAAAGTGGTGCTTCAGGTTAAGAACAGTTTCAGGTTAAGTACAGATCTCCGGAACGAATTAAGTACTTAACCGGAGGTACCACTGTAATGGCAGAGGGCATAGTACCAGGGTTTCCCAACCTTGGGTCTCCAGCTCCCATCACCCCTAGTTATCAGGACCAGTGGTCAGGGATGATGGGAATTGTAGTCCAAAAACAGTTGGAGACACAAGTTATGGAAACCCTGCTCTAGATTTACAGAGGTAGCAAAGGAAGTGATTAACATGAGTGTGATGGCACCATTGTTGTATTCATTTGAAGGCACACTCTTAAGCCCAGGCGCACCTCATGTCAACAGAGGTAAATTGATATGGCCAGCTGTGAGATTATGGGTTTGTGCCTACTGTGTTGCAAAGGTTGCATATTTGTGTTTGAGGTTTCAATTGTGATAAATGCTTTCGCTGGTGTTTTGATAGTACTGGGGTCTTGTGTTGTATCCTGCTCTGGGATCATGAATGGTGAAGGGTGGTCTTAAAATCGAAATAATAAATAAAAAACCTAATCAGAAGTAGGGAGCCGCACTGAATTTGTTTGGGCTTGTTCCCAAGTAAGTGTGCATGGGGTTGCAACCTTAATTAATCAATCAATAGGCTGCAATCCTCTGCACACTAGCATAGGAGTGAACTCAACAGAACAGAATAGTGGGCATATGAAGCGATGCTCTGTGTAGGATTCATACAATTAATCAACTATGATTTAGTTAGTTGATGGCCCAAGTTGTAATATGTATCCGCTGCATATGTGTCTAAGAACAATACCAAACCACTGTCTTGGCTTTTATGAGTGAGTTAAGTATGATGAGGACTTCAAAGTTTTACTCAAAGTTTTATACTGAAATTTAAGTTCCTTCCTATAGATTCTACATTGCAAAGGGAAGTTCAGGAAGGGATTTTACCTCCTGCCCAAAATCAAGATTCCACAAAAGGTCAAGAAAACACATTAAGACCTATCCATCCTCCACTGATTATTACCATCAATCTTGAGGACGACGATGAAGAAGAACAGGAGGAGAAATGTAAATACTTTGCCAGACATTTTTGTGTGCTTGTTCAATGTTTCTAGCAATTTGAATCTACCTAGAAAAAGTTTACAAAATAGGATCTCCTATAACATTATATTAGAGGTTTTTTTAGCATTTTGTGATAACTGTAATTGTATTTAAAAGCTCCCATCCCAAGCAATGTGACTTCAATCTTTTAACAAATATAAAGAAAAAATGTTTTAGACTTTACCTACCCATATGTATCCCAAAGTAATGTTAATATATTTCATAAATGACCAACCCTGTTTGATAATAGAAGTTGGCCTATTGCGTTTAATATTATTCCTAAAATAAATTACAGCTGAATTGAGGATTCTAATTTTTATTAATAAAAAATAGAATGTTAAGCAATAATAGAGCCAGTGTGGTGTAGTGGTTAAGAGCGGTAGTCTCGTAATCTGGGAAACCTGGGTTCGCGTCTCCGCTCCTCCACATGCAGCTGCTGGGTGACCTTGGGCCAGTCACACTTCTTTGAAGTCTCTCAGCCCCTCTCACCTCACAGAGTGTTTGTTGTGGGGGAGGAAGGGAAAGGAGAATGTTAGCCGCTTTGAGATTCCTGAAGGGGAGTGAAAGGCAGGGTATCAAATCCAAACTCTTCTTCTTCTATTATTTTATCCAGAATATTGAAAAAATTCTCGAGAATACAGCCCAGTTGAAGAACCCCACCAGTAAAAAATTATATTGCAATTTGTACTATGAATGCAATTGCAGTTAAGTTTTGCTTTACACGGTACAAGAAGATATCTGGCAAGGTCTTTGCTTAGTAAGCTCTGTGAAATTCGTTCCCTACAGATGCATCTTATTTACTGTCTAAGACACCAGAAGACATAGAAGAAGAAAAGGCAATAAAGGAAATGTGTTATAAATCTGGTAAGAATGTTATTTCTGATTCTCTTATCTCACTTTTCAGCTGATATCACTCTGGTAACTGCCCCCGTTTTCTCTTCCTTGGGGTGAAACAGGAGAATACTACAGAATTCAGACTTCTCAGGAAAACCACTTAACAAAAAACATACCTTTGGTGCTGGAGAACGAGCTCTTGAAAACCATGGAAACTGGCAGAGATTTACAAGAAGGCAAGGACCTGAGCAATATAACTTCTATTTTATTTTTCATATAGGAGAACAAGCCTTGCTAAAGCAGAGCTAGCAAGGGCAAGTCCTGTCTTACTAACTTACTAACTCTAATGAGTTCTCTGAGAGTGTCAACAAACATATAGCTAGTGCCGATCTGATTGACATATAGTGTATTTGGACTTTCAAAAGGTTTTGATAAGGTACCTCACCAAAGCCTCCTGAGGAAGCTTGGCAGTCATGGAATAAGAGGAGAGGTCCTCTTGTGGATCGGAAATTGGTTTAGTAGCAGGAAGCAGACAGTAGGAATAAATAGACAGTTGTCCCAAAGAAGGACTGTAGGAAGTGGTGTGTGCCGCAAGAAGTCCTGTGGGTGGCACTCAGCTTTTTCACCCTATACCATCAAGAGGCAATTCAGGTGCTGAACTGGCGCTTGGAGCCAGCTGGAAGTGAGCCAGTAAACTGAGTTGAATCCAGATAAGACAGGGGTACTATGAGTCCTGAGTTTTCAGGTCCAGGAGGTGTGGTGATACATGTGCTGAAGTCTTGTTCTTTTAAAAGTAAGATGCTAATATAAGCGGCTCATTGATATTGTCTTAAATATCTGAAGCTGTTTGATTAATGTGAGGGTAAACGATCAGAATCTGCTACTATAATTTCAAAATCAAACGAATTAAGTAAAGCAAGCAAGCAAACAAACTCTGAACATTGATACAAATGCCCCCATCTACTTTCGTTGTTACTATTTTTACTGTACTTATTCAGATTTAATGGACTGTTTTTATTGAGTTGTAAACCACCCTGGAATGTTTTCAACAAAATAAATAAAAACAAACAATACTAGTCATGTAAAGGAAATTAACAAAGTGAGAAAAATGTATATTTTTATATGATTTCTTTTTATTAGATAGAGATGGAAGTCATTGCTCACTGTAAATGGGCAAATTATTCTGCCATTAGTGACCCCAGGGTTTTTCCCAGTAGGTTTTTTAAAGGAGCAGTCTGGAAAAAAGAACCTGTAATATCTCACGTAATCCATGTTTAAAATAAGAGAACTCAGGAATAATAATATTTAGGAAGTGCTGATGAGAAACAGTGATTTGGACAAAAAAGAAGAAATCATAAAATTGGCCCAGTCAATTTAAGGAGAAAATATTTAGAGGAAGGCTCAATTTAGTTTCACTGATTTATTTTGCTGATTCATCAGTATGTTGACTTCAGAGTGGACCCCACTGAATGTAAAGAGGCACCACACTGTGCCTCTTTATATTTTGAACAAGCCTTTAATAATTGTAAACCTAAAAAGCCTACTTCAGTCACTATCCTTTCTTTAGAGGGGTGCTTAACAGTGACGCTCTCAAAAAAGCTACTTGAGGAATAATCCGTTTTGATTTGTAAAACTGTGTTTTTCTGTCAACTGCTGTGCATTATCTGTTGCCACATTTGCTTGGGACTGATGTGTTTAATCCTCAGACTACTTTTTTTAAAAAAATAATTTTTATTCATTTTCCAAATATTTTTATACAATCAGCTCGTATTTAATCACACAATCATCAATTTTTGACTTCCCTCAATTTCTCTGCCAATCTTTCGTTAAAATTTCTATTGTTAACGCATTTCTAACCTTATTATTGCCTTTAACCATTCCTCTTCCGTTCTACTACTTTCTTTTTTACAATATTTCTTAATTTTTCACAGAGACTCTTCAAAACCAACAAGTGTTGTCTGTACATCACATATGCTTTTCAGATATTCTGTAAACCTCCCCCAGTCCTCAATAAACTTTTGGTCTTTCTGATATTGAATCTTCCCAGTTAGTTTATCCAACTCTGCATATTCAGTCAATTTCATTCTCCATTCTTCCACTGTTGGAATTTCTTCCTGCTTCCATCTCTGCGCCAGAAGTATTCTTGCTGCTGTAACCGCGTATTGGAAAAGTTTACAGTCTTTTCTATTAATTTCATTACCCACCAATCCTAGTAGGAAGGCCTCTGGTTTTTTAACAAATGTATATCTCAACATCTTTTTCAATTCATTATATATCATTTCCCAGAAGCCTTTCACCCTTTTGCACTCCCACCACATATGATAGAAAGTTCCTTCTTTTTCTTTACATTTCCAACACTTGTTACATGTTTTATACATTTTAGCCAATTTAACTGGCGTTATGTACCATCTATATACCATTTTCATTACATTTTCCTTCAATGTGGTACACGCCGTAAATTTTAACCTTTCATTCCATAATTTCATCCAGTCATCATATTGTATATTATAATCGAAATCTCTGGCCCAATGTATCATTACCGATTTTCCCTCTTCATCTTTTGTATGCCATTCCAGCAACATTTTATACATTTTAGACAAATTTTTGTACTCATTATTCAATACCTCTGTTTGAAATTTTGATTCTTTTCCTTCATATCTACATATTTTGCAGTCTTTTTAAAACATTTCACTAATCTGATAATAATGCAACCAATCATAAACAAATTCTTTCACCTCTTCATAAGTTTTCATTTTCCATTTACCCCCTCTCTTACTATCAATTCTCCATAGGTTGTCCACCTCCCCCTCATATTTATCTTTTTCACACTCATCACTTCCAATGGTGAAATCCAATGGAGGAGTCTTGGTTCCAACAGATTTTTATACCTCTCCCACACCTCTATCAAAGATCTACGGAAAATGTGGTTTTCAAAACCTTTATGAATTTTTCTCTTTTCATACCATAGATATGCATGCCACCCAAATCTATTGTCAAATCCTTCTAAATCCAACAACTCTCCATTCTCTAATCTAATCCATTCCTTTAACCAACAAAGGCATGATGCTTCATAGTACAGTTTCAAATCTGGCAGGGCGAAGCCACCTCTTTCTCTCGCATCTGTCAATAGCTTAAACTGAATCTTTGGCTTCTTACCCTGCCAGATATATCTTGAAATTGTTTTTTGCCATTCTTAAAAAGTTGATGCCCCTTTGATTATCGGCAGTGCTTGGAATAGAAATAACATCTTTGGCAGCACACTCATCTTTATCGTAGATATCCTCCCCCAAAAAGATAATTTCAATCTTCCCCACACCTCCAAATCCATTTTTATTCCATTCCAAACAGGTATGTAGTTATTTTGAAACAAATCAATATTCTTGGGAGTTAACCATATTCCTAAATATTTCACTTTGTTCACCACTTCCAACCCTGTCCTTTGTTGCATTTCTTCTATTAATTCTTGTTCCATATTTTTAGCAATGATTTTTGTCTTTTTTTTATTTAAATAAAATCCTGCAACTTGACCGAATTGTTCTATTTCTTCTAAGATTCCTTTCACACTTCCCTCTGGCTCTTCTACCGTCATTACCAAATCGTCCGCAAATGCTTTGACTTTATACTCATTTTTCCCTACAGACACCCCTTTTATTTCTTCATTTTTCCTTATTGATTTTAACAGAACCTCCAGCACCAAGATGAATAATAATGGTGATAGTGGGCATCCTTGTCTTGTACCTTTAGTTATTTTAATATCTTCCGTTGTATAATTGTTTACTATCAGCTTCGCTTTTTGTTCTGTATATATTGCCTTTATTCCATTAAAAAATTCCATGTCTACATCCATGTGTTCCAAATTTTTTAACATAAAATTCCATGATACATTGTCAAAGGCCTTTTCCGCATCCACAAAAATTAACATAGCTTGTTTCTCATTCCTGGCATTCAGATATTCTATTATATTTATTATATTCCTTATGTTATCTTTCATCTGTCTGCCAGGAAGGAAACCCGCTTGATCCTTATGTATAAAATCTTGCAATACTTTTTTCAGTCTCTTTGCTAATATACTCGCGAAGATTTTATAATCAGTGTTCAATAACGAAATAGGCCTATAATTTTTTACTTGCATTAAATCCAAATCTTGTTTTGGGATAAAAGTGATAAAGGCCTCTTTCCATGTTTCCGGAATTTCTCTATTCTTCAAAATGTTGTTTATATCTTCTTTCAATGGTACAAGTAGGGTGCTTCTCATTTCCTTATAATATCTAGCTGTGAATCCATCTAGTCCTGGAGCTTTCCCTTTTTTCAATTCGCTTATCGCCTCTTTAATTTCTTCTATTTCAATGGGGGCGTTCAAGTTATCTTTTTTTCTTGTTGGGATCTTCTGCACTTCTTTTTCCCTTAGAAATCTTTCTCTCTTTCTCATATTATTCTTTTGTTTATTTTTGTACAATTGTCTATAAAAGTCCAAGAATCCTTTTCTGATCTCTTTCGGGTTTTCTATTTCCGTAACTTCAATGATGATTTTATTTACTGTATTCTGCTCCTTTCTTTTCTTTATCTGCCACGCCAGCCATTTTCCTGATTTGTTCGCAAATTCAAAATTTCTTTGTCTCATTCTTTTTGTATTCCCGTCTGCTTCTTTATTTATTATCATTGCAAATTGTGTTTGTAGAGTCTTTATATTCTGTCTTATCTTTTCATTATTTGGTTTTTTATCAATTTTTGTTCATTTTCCATTATTTGTCTCAGTATTTCCTTCTTATTCTTTTCTCTATTCTTATTTTTCAGGGCATTCTGTTGGATAAAAAAGCCTCTCATCACAGCTTTGCTCACATCCCAAACCATACTCATTTTTGTTCCCTTATTGCAGTTGTTTACAAAATATTCTGACAAATTCTTTTGAGCATTTTCTACTACTTTCTGATCATCTAGAAGGTAGTTGTTCATTCTCCATCTAAACGTTCTTTCTTCAAAGTCTTTTAATTCAAATTTTATTGCACTGTGATCCGAAATCACTCTTGGTTGAATTTCAATTTCCGAGATTCTTGGGGTTAATTCGTTTGAGACCCATACCTGATCTATTCTTGACATGGATTGATTCGGTTCTGAATAGAACGTAAATTGTTTCTCCAGTGGGTGTCTGAGTCTCCAAATATCAATCAAATTACAGTTCTTAATCATTGAAAAGAAAGTCTTAGGTAGTTTCCCGTCTTTACTCACTCCTGTTCTCAGTCTGTTCTCAGTCTGTCCATTTCCATTGACACCACTCCATTCAGGTCTCCCATTATTATAATTTTCTGATCCATATATTCAAACAATCTTTCTTCTAAGTTTTTATAAAAGTCTGTTTTGTTTCCATTTGGTGCATAGATCCCGACGATTATTATTTTTTCTCCTTGCCACTTAATTTGAACTGCCATAACTCTGCCTTCTTCAACTTTGAAAATTTGTTGAGCTTCAATTTTTTTCCTGATATACAAAACTACTCCTCTCTTTTTGCTCCTATCCGAAGATACAAATTCATTTCCCAGTCTTTTGTTAATTAAAATTTTTTTATGTCTTCTTGCCACATGAGTTTCTTGTAGACAAATAATATCCAAATTTTTCTTTTTTAAATGTTGTTCAACTTTATTTCATTTTTTTAATCGTTTTTTTTAATCGTTTAATTGTTAATATTCCAGGTCCATAGTTTTAAACCATTTTCTCCATTTTAAATTCTTTATTACTAATTTTATAATCCATCTACCTCTTCTTCTTCTTCTTCTTCTTCTTCTTCTTCTTCTTCTTCTTTCTCTTCTTCATCCTTCTTTCTCTCTTCCTCTAGTTCATCCGGGTCCACTCCTCCTGCAGCTTCCATTCCTGGGTTCCACTTCTCTTGTTTCTTCTTCGTCAGTTCGTAGCTCTTTATACTTTCTCAAGAATTTTCCTATTTCCTCTGGGCTTGTAAGTCTGTGTCTTTTACTTTTGTAGATAAAAGAGATTCCTTCCGGATATTCCCATCTGAATTCTATATTATTTTTTCTTAAGATCTGCACTGTTGGTTTATATGGGTCTCTCCGTTTAAGTAACCTGATCGGGATGTCTTTAAAAATGATCATGTAGTTTCCTTCAATATTCAGTCTATTCTCTCTATTTTTCTGGAGTATCAAATTTCTCATCTCTCTGTCCTTAAAAGTAATCAGACAATCCCCCGGAAATTTCCTTGCCTTAGCTGATCTTGTCTTCATTCGAAATGCACTTTGTACCGATCTTGCCACTTCTTCTACATTCATCTCCATCCATTGTGCAATCTCATTTATTAGCTTCTCTTTGATGTTGCTCCTTGCACCTCTGGAACCAGTGTCAATCTTAGGTTCACTTCTCGCTGCCTGAGTTCATTCATAGAAATCGCATCCCAGACTTCCTCTTGTGCTTTATTAATTTCCGACATTCCCGCCCTTATTTTTTCTTCTTCCTTCTTCACCTCCTTCATTTCCAATCTTGTCTTCTTCATCCCTTCTTCCAAATTCTGTGTCCTCTTACATCCTTCAGTTGCCCTTTCAGTTCATTAACTGTAACATCAATTTTTTTGTCCATTTGGCCCATTCTCTTATCCATTTGTTCTAATTTTGCTTCTATATTCTTTTCACTCTGCTTAATATTGGAGTTGATCTCTGCAAACTTTTTCAAAATCTCTCCTTTAAAGTCTGCTTCTTGTTTTGATCCTCTCCTTTCTGCCGGTGTTCCCCCTCCCCCCTTTCTTTTGTGTATGAGACATTGTAGTTGATTTCCAAATACCTAATATACCATCAGCAACAATCAATATTCAATCTAAATGTAAAATCATTAAATCACTTTTTTCAAAAACAAAAACCTCAAAAAAGATAGAAAATTTTGCCCTTCCCAATTCTCATACACTTAAACCTATATAATAATCAATTTACATATATCAATTTTTTTACCAAAATGAATTTTACAAGTATATACTTATAGGGCGGAACACCAGTAAATTTTTGAGATTCACACTTTTAAGAGACCAATCCCCCACCAAAAATTAACTTCCTTTCTTCTTTCTTCTTGCCACCACTTAGGCTATATCCATACCGACTTCTTATTGAAGATATATCCTCCAAATAACAATGTTGTGCTATTTAAATTATTGTAATCCATTAGTTATGTATTGTAATCCAGAAATTGTAATCCAATTGTGAGGCCAAAATTATTACGGGTACTGAAAGAGATTCCAAATATATCCAGAAGTGTCCAAGGGGCACCAGATATTTCAAGGTAGAAGATAGAATAAAAATGTCTGGAGGAGTCTGGCTTGAAGTAGTTATGAAGACTACCTGAGTCTCCTTATTTTGGAGTGGAGATTTTAAATTCAAATGTAAAAACAAAGAGAGAAAAGAAAAAAGAAGAATGATATTTAATTTGGCAGTCCAGACTAATCCAATAATAAAAGAAGAGGAAATAAAAAATAAAGACAAGGAGGAGTAGTTAATTCAGTTCCTCTTTCACTTGGCTCCAAATAAAAATGTAATCCTTATGACAGCTAGGCAGTTCTTTCTTAGTTCGTTCCGCGGACACACACGAAGAGACAAAAACAACTTAAGTAGATAGCCTTCATTCAAACACGATTCCTTCCCTTCCCCTTTATATTTAATCGTTCAAGTTTAGTTAAATGCAGAGGTACCAAATCATAAAGGAAAAAATTATACTGTTCAATATTGTCCTTCCATCCCTTTGTTATATTTTATTTGTCGCTGGGTGACTTCCTTCAACTTAAAATGGAGACACAAAAGTTCTATTCTGTTGCGCAGTTTTTCCCCAAAAGTGAAAGTGCCGAGAAGTAACTTTCTTTCTTACTCACTCAGACCGTTCGTTATATCAAAGACCTTTTAAAGTCACAAAATAGTTACTGTCTGCTCCCTCTTTTAGTTACCCTCTTTTTCTGCAACTTTTTGTTACTTTTGCAACAATTTATCTTACTTTTAGCGAGTTCTCCAAGAGAGAGAAGTTCAAACCGCTTGCCGTATCGCCAACCTCCCTTCCACGCTCCGCTCGTAGTCTTGCGTTATTCTCCGATTACAGACAAAACTGACCTCTTTTTATCTCTTCTTTTTTCAAAGCCTTTCTTTTATATATTCCAATTATAATCCGAATTTGGCTCCAATTGTTTGCTTTTGAGAATCGGTCACTCGCCCTGCAAGCCTGGGGCGGCGTTCTCGAGGGTGAGACAACGGCTTCCCGGTGCCTGCTTTCTCCGCCCGCCGCTCTCTTCGCTCCCGTTACGGAGTTACCTGGCGGCCGGGCGATCTGCGAACGGCTCCGCTGGGATCCTGACCCTCTGGTTTCCCTCCAGAGGGGTTTTGGGGGGCTATCGCGCCCTGTAGCACCCCCGTTTACCCTCGAGAACCCGGACTTTCTCTTGCCGAGAAAAGTCCCGCTTGCGTCGGGTCCGTGGCTCGACCGGAAGTGGTCTGCAGACTACTTGGGGAATAACAGAATACAGTGGTACCTCTGGTTACAAACACTTCAGGTTACGAACGCCACTAACCCGGAAGTAGCTGCTCCTTGTTGTGAACTTTGCCCCAGGATGCGAACAGAAATTGCGCACCAGAGGCAGACCCCTTTAGCGAAAGCGCACCTCAGGATAAGGAGGGATCTAAGTATGGTGGCACAGTAAACTTTGGCTTCTAAGGAACCGAAAGAGAGAGAGAGAGATTTGTTACCATGCGCGTTTCTAAACATGTCCACAGATGTGCAGTGGAAGATGTGCTTCTAAGGAAGAGGAGAAGAGAAGGGATGAATCTGTAGAAAAGGAGAAATGGTCTTTTCATACACATCTATTCAGAAAAGATGAATTGGAACACCTTGGTCACCATAGTTGACTAGGAATTCCATGTAGGCAATTGAATGGTTTGCTGGAAGGCGAGATGGATTGCCCTGCTCATCTTCCACCAACCCATATGCTAGAAGATCTTTAAAATAAAATAGCTTGCTAATATGCCTGTATTTCCATGATAGCCCAGCATAGAAATGCAGTCTAGGTTGTTGTTGTTTTAAACGTGCAGGCTGATAACTTTGGTGTCTTATTTACCAGCCTTATTTATCTTCCAAGTGCTCAAAACACTTTACAAATGCCATCTCAGCAATCCTTATTAGATTCTCATAATATTATGATCCCCATTTTGCAGATGGGAAAGCGGAAGTTAACAGAACAGCAGTTTGACTAATGCTATGGTAATACCTATGCCATGGGCATTTCCCACGATTAAAATAAGTTTAGTAAGTTCAACGATTCTGTCTCTTGCCCTTTTAGGTGATGGCGTTGCAGTTCCATCAAAGTTTAATATTGCAGAAAGGCAAACGGAGATAACGGCATCATTAGATTGTAGCTCTCGATCTGATCTCAGTGCCTTTGAAAATGGAGGTAATTACTTCAAACATACATTGACTATTTAAATTCTTATGATTTACATGACAACCAAATGACAGTGGAAACTAAAATACAAATACAAGTTCTGTGATTTATTTATTTTTTTGTCTCTCTTTGTAGGAGGTGATTGCTATTTGCCACAAAGAAATATATTTGTTGCAGGGATACAAAGCAAAGCATTCAGTGGAGAAAAAGAATTTGCCATGCTGAAATGTTCGAACATTAAAGGTATTCAGAGCTCATGTATTGTCTTTTGGGGGAGGGGGAAAATTGGGAGATATATGTTTCTTCCTTTCTGTGGTTTGAAAATGCATCTGCACAAGCTGCCTGTGTGATTTTTCTATAATTTGTGCCAGGGAATTCAACTGTACTGGTGGTTAATTTCATTTTCTTATCAGAGTTAACACTCGGTTCATTCCCCACCCCACCCCCAGCTACAGCTCATTCTGTCTATTCTCTTTGGTGCCAACACAAGCTTGTTACGGAGTTTAGCTTTGGCAGGATCATCCAATTAATTACTGTGATCATTTTTACTGTTCTGTGATGCAGTGAACCATTGCAACTTCCCAAGAGTCTAAAAGGGGACCGTGCTGAGAAGTATTAGATAGCGGGCTCAGTTTCACGACACATTTAAATGTGTGAAATGATCAGCTGGACTTTTTACATAACGCCAATTATCACAGCCACCAAAGATGCTTCTGTGTTAACCTGGATATAGCCTTGTTTGACAGCATGATACTTCCTCAAATTCAGACATTCTGTAGGGGGAGGAAGCTCTGGGGGGTTCTTTTATGGAGGGGAGGGAGGTGGCTAGGCAAGATCAGGGGATCCCCTTTATTGAACAGTCTCACATTTTCATTGGTGTTGCCTATTTACTTGCCCTGTCCCTCCCTGCCCTATGTTCACCAATGCCCAGTGTGTGTGTGTGTGTGTGTGTGTGCACTAGGTAAGCCGAGACTGCTGTCCCTTCTTATTATGCCAGTCACTTCTCACTCACTTGGCTGCAACAGGTAAAAACAGGCAACAATACAAAATGGTTGCAGCAGCAGAATCAGGGCACCAGTGATGCATTACCTGGTAGGGCAGGAGCTTCAACAGATACCCTGTGGTGCCCCTGGATGCCATTGAAAGAGCACCATAAACGATCCATTATTGACCTCCACAACAGGCATCTAGTTGCATAAAATGTCAGCCACCTCATTTTAATACATGCAATTATTTTTTGTGTCCCTTCTCTGTATGGGTGGACAGCTCCTTTCAGCTGCTTCAGTCCAGCTGCCTCCCGTAATAATGCACTGGGATGGCGACGGAGAAAATCTGTATTGTGTTGCGTCTGTGCACTGGTTCACATAGAGTGATAAAGGTAAAGGGACCCCTGAACATTAGGTCCAGTCGCGAACGACTCTGGGGTTGTGGCGCTCATCTCGCTTTACCGGCTGAGGGAGCCGGCATACAGCTTCCGGGTCATGTGGCCAGCATGACTAAGCCGCTTCTAGCGAACCACAGCAGTGCACTGAAATGCCGTTTACCTTCCCGCCAGGTAAATGCCGTTTACCTTCCCGCCAGAGTGGTATCTATTTATCTACTTGCACTTGTGCTTTCAAACTACTAGGTTGGCAGGAGCTGGGACCAAGCAATGGGAGCTCAAACCACCGACCTTCTGATCTGCAAACCCTAGGCTCTGTAGTTTAGACCATAGCGCCACCCGCGTCCTCACATAGATTGAGTAGCAGGTAAATGAGGGAACAGCTCAGGGGTTAGGTGTGCTACACACACGGCCAATTTATACTGCACAAAAAATGGGAGGAGAAAGGGAGGATTGTTAAAACCATACTTATGCATGTAAGACTATCTGCCGGTCATTTTTGGATCACATTCCAAGTCATGAATATAGCAAGGTTGGCCTTTACCATGCCCCCCCCCTTACTGAATCCTCAGTGAATGCATGAAACAACCCTGGGAATCCACCTCCTTTCTCATCGCCGTAGAACTGAGAGGCAAAATCCTGTTGTCGGTTTTGTCTTCTCTTTAGCTACAAGTCACACTGAAAGCATAAAGAAGCATCATTTTAAAGGAGTGAAGAAAAAGAAATGGATTTCCGAGGAACCCAAAAACCTTCCTCTTCCGTTGACAGCAAAAGGTATTTTGAAAAACCATTTTTAGTAGGTTGAAAAAGTCACACGGGGCCAATCAACTCATTTGGTCCTGGTTCAACATCAGAGGCAATCTCTTAAAAGGGGCAAGCTCAGTATTTGTATTGCATGTCCCCGTCCATTGCCCTATATGTTGAGCAGCACTCAGTAGCTTCTTACAAGTCTGGGGAAAATATTGATTATCGTATTATTTCTTGCAGCAATGCATACTTCAAACCCTAAATGTAAAGGGTATTGCCAACAAAATGATCAAAGCAAGAATGCTGAGAATGCTTCTTATGTTCCTTCTCAGAGAGCCAGCGGGAGAAGTATTTCCTTGAGTTCTCCAGCAGCTGCAAGGTCACCCAATCTGACCTATGGTAAAGTTGGTGCAACCAAAGAATCCAAGATGAATTTGGCTGCAGGTGAGCACATAGTCTCATAGACCCCTCCTCCTGGCACAGAAGATTGCCCGCGTTATTGAGTTTGTGTTCTGTTATACCACATTTGACTTAAACATAAGACTGTCTTACAGAGAGAGCTTTTACTGGTGTGGCACCCTGAATATGTAATGCTTTCCCTCAGCAGGTTCGCCTCGTGGCCAACATTGCTTTCTTTTAAAAAAAGGAAAAGTTTCCCCTCCCATTTTCTCAAGATTTTAAGGTAGCTTTATGTACAATAAGCCCGCAGCTTGAACACATTTAACTTGTGTGCATTCGGCATAAATAAGAGGCAGAAAGTGGGAAAGAGTTTGGCAGTCCTGCCTGCCCTTGCACCTAGTTGTGTTTTGACTAGTTATAGGCATGATCTCCAGAACATAACCCCCACATAAATTGAGGGCTTACCATACTGTTTACTGTTGACTGTTCTTTTACCTATCAGTCTCATCTATTATTTGTAAGGTTATATATAAGAACTTGATTTTTTAAACCTTCTAAACTGTCTGTTTGTAATGTCTCTGTCTGGTCAATAGCTATTTCTGAAGAAAAAACAACAACTTGTAATTTATGTTTATTGCAAGGTAAAAACACAGCCACAAGATTTTGCTGCAATTTGGTGGGGTTGTATTCAGATACAAATAGAGATGATTTGTTGTCAGATGTGGCAAGAATGGTTTGGACGGTCTAATTCTTCTTCTTTTGTCTTTATCCTTCTTAATGTTTATTTGGTTTGTTTGCTTGTTTGTTTTCTTATAAATCTGTCCCAACTCTGCCAATTTTGTAATGACAATGTCATAAAAATCAGACAATGAGTTCCTCTAGTTTAAATTTTGTCTTGAAGTATTGCGAGCTCTAACCCTTACGTTATGCTCAGAAACATGTTTGGTTAATTCTCTGTGTGGTTTGATATTTTGTCATTTTGCAGTAGTTCTTCTTGTTTTGTTATACTAAACCTCAGCAAAAAAAGAAAAAAAAAAAGAAATGAGTGAGAGGTTTGGGTATCATCTGAATTACCTCACCCAAAACTTTCACATGGATGTTAAATAGCGTGGGAAGTAAGATGGAACTTTGTAGTATCTTTGGAGTCCAATGTCCTATCAGTTCTTTTCCAGGCAGGTGATCCAGAAGTATATCATGGCCATTGCTATTAAGCACTATTGCTAGGACCTGGACAATCAACAGCTATCTTCCTCCTGTCTGTTTCCTAATGGAGGTCAACCACCAGGACAATTAAAGCAGTTCCAGTCCAAAATGAATATTAGAACAGATCTAAATAATTGGTTTCATCCAAGAATACTTGGAGTCCCAATAGCACTTCTGTAAGATTAGTGAATTTGGCAGAGGAGTTGTTGGATTAATTAAAGGGTTGAAAAGTCCCAAACAGCCAATAGAATCACACCTTCTTTTAAGGAAGTATTTACTGGTCCTGCCACCCATATGTGTTAAGCTTTCCCTCTCCCAAAATCTAGTTCATGTTCCCAGATTGAAAATGGAATGCATTCTCCCTTGGGGTTAATGTGTTTTTCGAAGTGATCTATGATTTATGTGATGTCAGGTAACATCATGACTAAACTCTCTCTCTCTGTGTAACTAGATTGGCAGAATACGATTATAATTATCACTGAAAATGTAAATCAAACTGTATTTTTCTTTACAGAGAGGTGCACTTCAGCATATAATATACCAGCTTGGCGAAAAAGAAGCCCACATACTAAAGTATATACTAAAGCGGAAAAAATGCATTCAGGTATTCCAATATGAACAATTCCAATATGAACGTATTTGCTAAAAATGAAAGAAAATTAGAAAATGGGGAACATTTCTAAAGAGCAAGTATCTTATTATGTAGATTACTTTATCTTTGTAGATTGCTAGTGGATAGGAGGGGAGAACTCACGAAATCTGTTTAGTGTTGGAGCCTATGCACTTGTGCCCCAGAGACACTTGGGATAAGAAGGAAAAGTGTTGACATCTGAGATTTTTTCTTTAAACTTGTGTTATTTAGACAAACTGAGTAAGGACATCCCTTACTGCTTTTCTCAGTTGTTACTCTCACATAGTAACTGGGCTTGGATGCAGATGACAGTTTTCTCTCTCCAGTTGCGTGTTGGCTACATGGGAGGTTATCCCACCCATTTCTTTTTCTTTTTTTAAAATAATATTTATTGAAAATTTTTAAAATTACAAAAAAGACAAAGCAGAGAGAGAAAAAAGCAAGAAACAAAAAAGAGAAAAAGAAAACAAACCACATCCAATAATACCAATTCAAAAAACAAAAATACACCACAAACATATAAAAATAAAACCAACATTCTCAAATCTTCAACTTTCATTACCTTCTTTCTTTGACCTCCTCCTCCTCCTCCCTTTTTTTTTTTTTTATCCCAGTTATTAATTATCGCAGCAAATCCTTTCCATATTTCATAATATTCTGTCATTACATTACCTTAATCTATTTTCATCTTATCTTATAAAAAACCTTAAAACTTAAATCTTATTTTAAACATTTTTGCTAGAGCCAAGTAATTTCGTTCCAACATTTTTCTAACAGTCATCAATTTTATAAAACAATCCTAGTAATAAAAAAAGAAAGAAATAGAAACAATCCAATCTTCATCCAGCGTCCCTTCCTCCTGGTCCCGGGTTTTGTCAGTCCTTTTTATCCCATCGATCTAGCGCATTAACCTGGTAACCTTATATCCGAGGCCCTTAAGTCCCTTCCATGTCCCTTCCGCAGCTCTTCTTCATATTCACCTTCCACTCGTGGGAACTCCAGCTTGGTAATGTTTTTGACCCTTTTCAACAAATCAGCCCCTTTTCCATAGTCCCGACTAAACTCCATGTAGTATTTAAAAACATGTTTCAGAATCCCTCCAAAATTGAGAGCCCCTACAGCTCCAAACATCTCACGGCCCATTGCCAGACTCGGAAAGTCCAAACATCCCTGCATAGGGGGGTCTACCCAACCCCCCATTTCCAAATCAGTCCAAACTTTATCTTTCCTAATCTGGCTTTTCCCAAGTTCATTTGTCAAATCCAAAAGCTCATGTTCCTGCTGGGCCGCAGCTCCCTCCATCTCTGGCGCCCAAGATCCCGCAACATCCTCTTCTCTCATCTGTTCTGTCAGGGCACACTCCTGATTTAATTCCTGGGTGGGCTCCATATAGTTTCCCACTGCCTGTTCAAAAATTCTGACCGCATTAGTCATCAAATCAGTCTTCTCAGTTAACTGTTCCAGTAGAGCATTTATTTTACAGAGAGCACACAACAGAGCTTCTGAATACATTGTCCTTCAAGGTCACAAGCCTTTTCCCACGATTGTAATTTGTGACAGCTGCAAGCTCCCTGGAATTAGTTACAGTTTCCCAGTCTCCCTATAGGGGGAAAACATCTAATTGTTCTTGCAACAAAGTTTATTTTTTGAGATATTTTGTCAATATTTGTTTCTTTAAAATGCGAAAGGAAACATTGGAATCACTATGTTTCTCTTCTTTTAGCTATCTGTCAAAAACGTTTGTCTCTGTTCAATGAGCTTCAAACGTCAGTCCTGACACCCCTCTCCAGGATCAGGACGGTGGAAAGTTACTTTACTTTAAACTCACTTCTGCAGGTTTAAACAGTCCGAAAAAGATCCCCCTTCTTCTCCTGCTGCTGAAGGGGGGTTCGAGGATTTTAAATGATGAAAGCCGATCCTTTAGAAGCGATTTTCTGAGCTCTAGTTTACGTTGTCTTTGCTTTATTCTGTCTACAAAGAAACGGAAGGCTGACTTCCTGTTTAGACCTTCCCGTTTCAGTACCAAATTGAAGTAAATTTTTAAATCCAATTCCTTTCTGCTCGCAAATCCTTATTTAAAGTCCAATTTGTTCAAAGTTTAAGTACTCACGGGTGCTTATTTTAGAAGCCAAATTGTCCCAGGAAAAAGGCAGCGCTCTCCGGCAACGGCTATGCGGCTTCGCTCCACGGAAATAGCAGTTGACTCACAGCACTGCGCCGCTTCCCCCTCTTCGCTTCGGAGCCCGTTAGTGGGTTCCTTTGCGGGTTGGGGGGGCGCTAAGGGTGCCCGCCGAGTCCCATGGTCACAGGCTTCATCCGCCTGTGATTTTTAAAAGGGTCCCCGCTTCGCCGTAGCGGAAAAGACCCGTTTCGCGCGGAGCTAGTCCCTCCAGTTCAGAGGGAGTCCGCCATTGCTGATGGCGCCACCCCGGAAGTTATCCCACCTATTTCTGTCCTTTACTAGATAATACTGATCTCAGAAATATCAAGATTATATGGTGTTTTTTCTGGGACAGATCCCTCAGAGCTCCTGGTACTGTAGTTATGCAGCCACCCCCTTTTTTTATCCCACTGACCTCCATTCCCAGCATAGTCCCCTTCACCTGTTTTGGGCTTCTTGGAAACTTCACCTGTGCCTTCTAGAATGGTATCCTGAGTTTCCTTGCTGTCCTTTCACATTTCCACACATTTCCACTGACTGTGCCACCGCCATTGCTCCCAGTCTAGCATATAGTCTGCTTGGAAACTATAATGAGATATATGGGATTAAAGTTGGGCTGGGAGGGGATCTGATAAGCTGAACCAAAACCACAAAGGGAGGGGGAAGTGTGATAATGTCCTGAGTAACAGAGGGTACAGATGACATGTGGCAATCAGATATGCAAAATGATAACTTGCGTCAATCTGTACTTTTGCCTAAAACCAGCCCAGGGTTGCCAATGTGGTGCCAGATGTTGTGGACTACATCTCTCATCTTCCCTAACCCCAATGGCCATGCTGACTGGAGTGGATGGGAGTTGGAATCAACAACAGCTGGATGGTACCAGGCTGGGTATCCCTGCTCTATCTAGAAGGTGGTCTGAAAATGGAACAGTCCTGCCCATGTATTAGCATCTCGAGATGAGGCTCTTCTTCATTTGTGTTTGTTGGGTAAACTTTGCTATGTGTCAATGAGGAATAAAACCTTTTTGTTGGCGTCTCCATCTGTGGAATTCCTTTCTCAAAGGAATCTGACTGGTTACAGAGGAATCTGTAACCAATGTTACAATCATGTTACAGCTATTTCAGTGCCAGGCCATTTATTTGTCCAGCTTTCTTTTTGTTTGTTTGGTTTGAAGTTTAGTTTCCAGTCCTCTCTGCCTGATTTTAGTGTGCTTTTATTTATTATAGTAATGTATTATCTGTTACTGTATTATACTAAATATTTGGGTGCTCAGTAACATTCAGAAAGAATTGAAAAAAACATTCCTGTTCACCCAAGCGTTTAACGGCTGTAAGATGCTGTTTCTGGCAGTGTTGAAATTATTAGCTGTAAGGATATGTGACTGTTTTATTTTGTTTTTAATTGCATTGTTTTGTTGGTTGCTGGGAGGGAGGGCAAGATAGGAATTTTATTAATATGGATGATACTTTCAAGTGAAATAGCCATACACAGTAGAATATGAATTCTGCTTGGAGGAACTTGTTCCTGAAGTTCTTTTTCAATGAAGCCTGCTCCCAAGTATTATCTGTTTTTATCTTATTTTCTTACATTTACATCCCATCTTCCTTCCATCAGGGCATCCAAGGAGATGTACACATGGTTCCCAGTAACTGACCCATCTAGGCACCAACCAGACCCAGATGATGTTTAGCTTTTGTAAAGTAATAACCTCAAGTGCCTTCAAGGCATGTCCTAGGACAACAGTTTGTATTGTGCAGAGGAAGTGTACCCAAGACTGTTGTCCAGGGTGCTGATAGATGGACTTTTAAACTCTGGCAACTATAGTTAGATTATTTCCATTTTTTAATTTATTGAGGCTCCGTTTCATGTCGGTTATAATCCCAGTTCCATATATTATTATAGTCAGTGGTTTACAGCATCTCTGTTGTGGAACACTTTGATTCTGTAAACTTCACATTTTGGGTGCCTGTGTTTTCAAATTGTGTGTGTATCTTCATTTCAGAGCCCAGAAGAAATGGAAGCAGATAAAGTGGAAGCAGATTTGAAGGAGAGGGAAGGGCAAAAAAGAAGTGAAATTCTGTTCTTACTACCATCATAAGGGAAACAAAAGTGAAAATTCAGATGATACGGTTATCAAGGAATTAAACTGCAGATGCAAAGGTGACAAAATTTAACACTCAAAAAGCAGGAAGTACAGAGAGGCTAAAACATACGTATTAAAAATATGTAAACAAGGCACATCTTTCTGAATGAGTTATTTTGCAACTGAAGTTTAAATATTGTTTGACAGTTTTACAGCTTTAAAGAACAGAAGTTTCCATGTCCCTCCCCCTCCAGAATACAGTGCCAGCAGGATTTTAGAGATGGTAGTACGGATCATATGGTAGATTTTGACAGACAAATCTGATTTCCCCTTTTCTATAATGCTGAAATAACAATGTTGTGATTCATCAATGAATGCACAAGCTGTTGTTTTTCTGTATTCTAGGAGACCATGATTCAGCATGACTAATCCTAACAATGCTTATTCAGTGGTTTTCTGAACAATACAGACAATAACTGTCTGAAATTCTGAGGATAAGAGGGGCTCATTAAATGCAAGCATTGTAAGAGTTCAATTAATGCAATCATTTTTACTTAGTAGTCATGCTACCCAAATTTGACATTGGGGCAAGAATGAATAAAGGAAACGTTACCTTCTAAAGTATCTGAGTCCAATTCTTGTGTTGGACTTCCACTAAGCTTCAATAATATTTGCCCAGCTGATTCTCTAGTCAAGAGAGAGGAGGCTAGACTGGAAAATGATCAAGTCTTAACTTTCCTAAATTCAGAGGGTTGTTTTTTGTTTTGTTTTTGCCTTTAGATGTCTCAAGCAAAATGTGCACAAAGGACTTTAAAGGAACTGTTTATGTATCAAGTTTGCATGTGGTTTGGGATTTCTGTAATTAGCGGTGGCTGAATTCTTGTGAATGGTTGCAGTTTATTCCCAATTCTTTGGTCTCCAGATTTTCCAACACCGTACATCTCCTTTTTAAGCTTTGTTGCTTCCTGACCTTTCCAAGAAAAGAATGCTGCAGTCCTACATGAGTCCTACATGCAAAGCAGCACCCAATTTTAACCTGTCTTTCCTTGCTACATTGCTTCTGCATTGTAAGTCAGGAATAGGATCATGGCACTAATCTCACATTCTGTTGCCTTTACAGTCACTGGAAACTTAAACCTGTCTTGTTGTCTTGTGTGGACTTATTAGATGTGCCCATTCTTACAGGCACATTCTTATGGCTATATTTTTTCAGAATCTTTCTGAACACTTTGCATTCTAACTTACCTTGTACTTCCAATCAGAAAGAGAAGCAAGACAAGCACAGAAGAGGCACAGAATATATGTCAGCTTTGAGGCCAATAGAAAAATGTAATTTTTTTTTTTTTTTGGAGAAGGATCATATTTTAACATTCTAAAGGTGCAGTATGTTGTTGAAACTGTTTCCCCCCTTCCTTCCTAATTGGATGCTGTACATTTGAATTTCTAGGCCACATAACCCTATAGCTATGTTACACATCTTGACAGCCCAAAGCAATTTAAATTTTTAATTCCAAAAGGCCTCATGCGTAATTCTTGTTAACTGGCTTGGACGGGGGCAGATACTCACAGGGTTTTTTCAGGCAGAAGTGTTCATTTTTGCAATTACTACCTGCTCAGCAATTTTGTAATTCAGGGCGAGAAATATTGCATTGTGATAATGTGCAATATTAAGGTTTCATGTCTGCAAATGTTGGCGTGCTAGCCGGGACATATTATTCACTCTAAAGGTTAAGCACCCTTAAGAGCAGAATGAGTTCCCTTCCCATTGCCAAAGAAGTTTAGTTTGCGGAATGAAAAGCGAGAAGGAGGGTATTACCCCGGCCTGCTCACAGCTTGGCTATTTTTCTATAGGACTATTCAGCACCATCCAGGAGGTTCTCAAGCTAGGGATTTTTTTGATGGAAATAAAGCAAACATTTTGACCCTTGGTAAACAAAGGAGAAACGAGTTATGAGGTGTATGTGCATAGCATAGTAAAATAACCCTGAGAAAGAGCCCGGCCTGCTTTTATGTTCAACAGCAGTCTGGGTAAATCAGTAGGCGAAAACTCTTTCATAGCATGGAAACAACATTGTCACCTGCTGAAATCTGCAGGTAAAGTTTTGCTTGAACACAGACCTGCAGTGACTGGTTCAAGACCCCTTCCTTCTCCACAGACCCTCTTGGGTATTAAGATCTGCAGGGGGAGCCCTCTTGGTAGTTATTTCTAAATAGAGGTACCTCTTTACCTTGGTCGTTGACACCTGAGGTGTGTGTGTTCAGGTCCCACCCTATTCCAGAGACTGTAACCTGCTTTAAATCCTGAGTTTTAAATTGTTGCAAGCTGTCCTGAGACTTGCTGGTGAATGGTGGGTAGTCATCATCATCATCGCCATCATTTATGCTTATTGTTATGAGTTTGGGAAGGAAGAAGTAGGCTGTATGTGAGATCCTTCTCTAACCCCCGAATCCAGGTAAAGGTAAAGGTACCCCTGCCCATACGGGCCAGTCGTGTCCGACTCTAGGGTTGCGCGCTCATCTCGCTCAAGAGGCCGGGAGCCAGCGCTGTCCGGAGACACTTCCAGGTCACGTGGCCAGTGTGACTAAGCGGCATCTGGCGAGCCAGCACCAGCGCCGCACACGGAAACGCCGTTTACCTTCCTGCTATAAAGCGGTACCTATTTATCTACTTGCACTTAGAGGTGCTTTCGAACTGCTAGGTGGGCAGGAGCTGGGACCGAATGACGGGAGCTCACCCCGCCGTGGGGATTCGAACCGCCGACCTTGCGATCAGCAAGTCCTAGGCACTGAGGTTTTACCCACAGCGCCACCCGCGTCCCCCAACCCCTGAATCCAGCAAGTGTTAAAATATAAATCTGGCCAGCTTCCTGTGTGACCCAAGTGATCACCTGGGTGATGGACCATTAGGAGAAAAGAGGAAAGGGGGCTCTGTGTGAGACGGCCAATGAGCTGTCCCCCTCTCCACTCAGAGATAGTTAGAAGGACAAGTCTGAGTTTAGAGTTAAAGTGGCATTGATGTGACCTGGAAGCGAAGCAGCAAGCTGGAGAGAGAGTCAGAGCAACATTTGAGAGCAATGTCTGAGTTCTGTTTGAACCCAAGGCTGTGCAGCTATTGGAGAAACAAGACCCGTTTGGGGTGTTAAGTCTGTGAACCCCTCATTTCCAAAAGGAAACACGGACCTTGAGGAAGCACCTGATACTCCTGGAATCTCGCACTACTCAGGGACTGGGGTTGTGTACAACAATATACATCAGCACATACACAGTTTAGGCATGAATGCACTCTCTTTGGGGTTCGTTTTCGTCATACATAAGCCTTTTCACAAGTCCATAGGGAAAACTGTTCAGATGACATGTGCAATCTGTGTCTGCTTCTGAAATGTGCGCACCGCCCCAGTTTGAATTTTCTTTTGCCTGTTAAGAGGAAACCGTGCCAGCTGTTTGTGAGAGTGACTGGTGATGGTTCCTGTAGTGCCCAGAGCTATTCTAAGAAGCTCCTACACAAATGTGAAATTGCCTTCCCCTGAGACTCAGGGCTGCTTCACACATGGTAACATTTCTACATAGCAGGAATGGAATGTGACAATTTCTGTTTGGGGATTTTGTCATGGATGAAGGAACCTGAGGAAATTTCAAAACTCTTAAAACTTTAAAAAGAGAGAGTAAATGCCAATGTTTCACTGGTGAGAGTCAGCACAGTGGATAATAGTGTATTATCCCCTCAAACCCAATGATAGTGATGGTGAAGAGGAAGTTTTAATTTTACAAGGATGGTGCATTAAAAACAAAAGGAACATGAATGAATTTGGTTCTCAAAAACAATTGGGGGGGCGGAGAATGCAAATGGTTATGGAACAGTAACCACTAGAGGGCAATATTAGCACATGCATGGAACTTTGTCATCAAACTATCCCATCACGGTATTTAGGCAATAAAGAGTTGTAGACCCGATTATCATTTACAAAGAAGTTTGTACAGAGATCTCATTTGCTATATTGGGGTGCCTTTTTAAAAGTATGTTTCAAAAGACTTTATTCTAGCAGAGAGGGGAATAGAAGAGAGAAACTGGAAGACAAGAGGAAGCAGTTAAGTTGGGATAAGGCAACTGGTAAACACCTGATTAGACTTGTCCTGTGTTTCACATTGAGAAAGATTGTGAGGCATTTGCCTCCTGAACCTACAAAAACAAATCTAATATGGGATGGGAGCACATGCCTTGTATGTGGAAGTTCTCAGGTTTATTAATACTCTCTTAAAAGGGACCTGGAAACGGGGGATGTGAAAGAGCTGCTATTAGCCAGAGAAGGCAAAACAGCCTTACCAATTATAATACAGCTCATGATAAGCCAGGAATCCTATATACCATTTAAGGTTTTAAGTCATTAACACTATAGACATTTCCACCTGAAATTGTGACATGTTTCCTCCCTGCCTAGAGTTCCATGAGCCCTGATGCGTTCATAGGGATTCTTGCACAAGCTGGCTTCCCACTTCACTTCAATAGATGGGGCAGTTCTGAAATCAATGAGAGAAAACGTGTCACACAAATCATTGCCGGTATCACTGCACATGAAAATGCCAGTAGACTGAGGCATTTGTATATGTCAGTAGTCCATGGTATTTGCTAGGGGTGTGCATCAGGCTCTGAGTATACCCTGTGTACCCTGAATTATGATGTGAACCAAGGTGAGAACCATGGCAGGCGCCATTCCCTCAGCAGGTTGACCAGGCCTGCAAATTGGCACAATGCTGGCAGAAAATGAATACCTACAGGCTTTCCCCCTTTGTTTCTTTCTTTTAAATCAAAATTTAAAGATGCCCTGCATAATCATGCCCTGCTACAATTTGGCAAGGTTAATCTACTCTTGAAAGGTTGCCATACATGCAGATTTCATCCATTTTGGTGAAAAGGGAGAGGAAATTATAGCCATTTTAGATTGCCCATTATAGTAAATGGGAGTGGCTCCCAAACAGCTCAGGCTACTTTCCAAAGCTACAGACACAACTACAAGTTGTTTTAAAACAACTTAAAATTGCAGAAATAAGGTGGGTCCCAAAAATACCCACTTCAAGTGTCAAAAGCCATGGCAAAGAGATGTGTCATCAGCAATTGTGAGAAGCTGTATAATGAAGGTGCCAGACACACCTCTGTG